ATGCTCCCATGTTATATCACCATGTTCATGTCATATCACCTTGATCCCATGTTATATCACCATGTTCATTTCATATCACCATGTACCCTTTTTTATCACCACGTTCATTTCATATCACCATGTTCCCATGTTATGTCACCATGTTCATTTCATATTACCTGCTCCCATGTTATATCACCATGTTTGTTTTATATCATCATGCCCCAATGTTATATCACCATTCATTTCATCATGCTACCATGTTCATAACCTTATTATGCCCTCATGTCATATCACCAATTCAACATGTTAATAGCCTATGCTTCCTCACAGGGCTATAATGAAATTGTGAATACAGTAAAACCTGCGAACAGGGAATGCTCTTGGGACTGGAGGAAAGTTTCCTTGTTCAGAGGTTTTCCCTATAGAGAGGGGCCGCACTCTCAGCAAAATTGCCAAATAAGCATATTTGTATGTATTGATTGATTGTACAAATGCGGACTCCATACTTGGTGACGTTCTCCCCATGTTGATTTTAGCTGCTGCTAGCGTCTGATGATGTCTAGTTGATGTAATTATTGATTTGATGTGTAGAGATATATTGCTAAGAACTAAATTTCAAGTTTCATCAACCCCATTTTAAATCATTGATAATCTAGAAATTAGATCAGTAAAAGATTTAAAGAGATTTGGCTCAACATGACACATGTACTTATCTGTTATCTCCATAAAACAATTGTGTCAGTCCCTAGATTATCACAACTGATTTGATGTAATTAGGTTTTTGAAAGGAAGAATTGGTGTCATGATAATAAGTAACAGACAGATTAGTATTAGTTTTAAAATAAATCAGGGTAATTAACAGTGGGTGGGATGCTACATCATGTCAACAATTGGCTTATCTTAATCTCAATCATATTAATCCAAGCTTTTTATATTCAGATATTGGCTTAAGACTTTCACACCTCTGAAAAATAATGGAATATACAGTGTCACCAATATTCCATATTCCTTGTTCACAGGTGAATTTTCATAATTTGCCCCAAAATAGTGTTCCTTGTTCCCTGTTCACAGGTTTTCCCTACAATGAGGGTCCATTAACATGTAAGTGAATGGAAAAATATTCGGTTCTTTTGAAAAGCATTCCTTGTTCAGAGGTTTTCCCTACAGAGACAGTGGCGTAGGAACAATGTACGCCAAAACGCCAGTGCGTAGTGTTGAAAAGTGAGAATAAAAAAGACTTATTAATTTTCCTATGTTCTTTAGTCATATTTTCTCATTGTTCATAAATTGTAAAAGTAATCTCGAGCACACTAGCCTAAAGAAATGTGTTGTGGATACCATATCATTATTGGTCTGTCTGGCAAATATCATTTAACAGATTGAATTCCCTTACCAACATGCTTTATTTCATGAAAATCGAGCTACTATTGACTATCTTATGAATTTTAAAAGTAAAATACAATTTCGCCAAATATTCGTGAATCGCGTTCTCTTCACGAATTTGAGAGAAAAACTGTTTTTTCATTTTTTCTGCATGTTCCGTAATGCTTATGCAAACTATGGTATAATATGATTATAATGATGAACCTCTTTAAAAGATGTCTATTTTTTTATTCTCCCCTACCCCAATTTTTCAATTTCATTACATCGATTTATATTCCGTTGCTATGCAAAATCATAGACAGAAATTATAGTTAAGTCAGCAATTATCTATTTTCTTACTAAATCACTAATTGTTATTAGCAGTACTTCTTGAAATATGAATGTTAAAGACAAAAACAACTTGAAAATGCTGATTATTCAATAACACGTTTCATTGATTTCAGTCCTAGAAAAGCGATTACCTAGTTTTTTTTCATTTGAAAAATAATAGATTCTTGTTTTATAACATTTTTTGGCACCCCCTAAGTCACGTTGACCTCGATTTGACCTTTGTTGTGGGGGTGTTTATTTGTTTCATTGATCACGAATGCGTTTCTTCATATCAATTGATCAAACTAGTTTCTTTAATCTGTCCGTATTGTATTGCACGGTACACGATGGAATCAGACAATACTATATATCTAAATTCAATTATTAGAAAATTATTAAAAAATCTCTTATTGTTTTGGAAATTGGCCGTCTCAATCGTTCGAGACATTAGCAAAGTGAGAATGATTTGTGTCGAGATTTAAAAGATAGGCTTTCTAAGGTGATTTTAAATGATGAAAATCATTCGAACATTTTAAAGCACATTAAAAAGGTATCAGGGATTTAAAGCTTGCATATAAAATCGAAACGCCAACCTATACGTATGACCAATCGCCCATACAAATGCATCGCTTCAGTATTTCCGTTCACATTTAGGTTGTGGAAAACATTGCAAGCTTAAAATCTCTGTTATCATAAAATGATATTTTACAAGCATAAAATAGGCGTTTTGATATAGAATATTGACACAATTGTTTCATATTTTTGGCGGGATTTTTGGCGTAGTGTTGAATTTACACCTTCCTACGCCCCTGAGAGAGGTATTTCATCGGACAGGTTTTACTGTATGTCAACCCTAACTATGACAAAATAATCTAGCATTATATATTTACTTTTGGCCCCTGTTAAAATATTATAAACAATTTGTGTATGCAAACTGAATTCTCTGTTCAAAGATATTATTTCGAACTTTAATTTACATTAACTATTATGGTAAGCAAATCTGCCAATGTTCATAGAAAACTATATTTTCAGGTAACTGTTATCAGTTATAACAACAAAAAGCTTGTGGGGGTGGAGCAAAAACCCAAAAGGATGGTTAAACTATGAACAACGTTCACGAGGTATGTATTGATTTATCAAATTAATTGATTAATTCACAATTAAGATGCACCAAAAGGGCAAGCATATGCAGGGTAAAACATTACTACACCTAAGAAGAGCTGTATTTAGTAACATTCCAACTGGCACCTCTTCAGAAGAGGATGTGCAGCAATGCCTCATGGCAATGGTGAGTATTATAGCATTGGAAAATACAATTATTAGAACAGGTTCAATGATGCAGTCGTGTTCTTATCTTATTGACATTTTCAGGATTTATTCTGGAGACAATTTCCAACTTGTAAATTAAATATTGTATCAAAATTCATAATCTTATGATTTTGATAGCTTTTTTAAAAAACACTTCAGTGTCAATAAAATACAGTTTTCCATGTTGGAAATTGCCTCCAGAATGAATCTTAAAAATTTCAAGAAGAATAGTTGTTCCATTGAAGATGTCTGGGGTACTATACACTATACAGCCTATAGGTGATCTAGTTAATATATCCATTGAAGAATCAGTTAATTAACAATGAACATTTAACAATAATTTGAAAAGTAGGCCTAATGTGAAATAACTTCTTTGAATGTGTCAACAAATGTATAGATAGACATTGAGAGCGTGGAAGCATTCACTTTCCTTTTCTGAATGGTGCATACAAAGGGCATTTTGAATATGGAATCAAATACTTCTTTCAGAGGAAGGCAACAGATATGTCCCAATTATGGGAAAGTGTAGAAGGCAACAAAGGCCTAAAGGATTCAACATCCTTCTTTGAGGATGTCAAAGGAGTTGCTCAACGGTAAGTGTAAATGGGCAATATGGACTTTTTAAACTTATTTAATTTACACACTTCTAATAAAAATAACTTTTGTAATTCCTATATATGGTGCCCTATATGCCAGCAATCTTACTCCAATGGTAATAGAATTCAAAATTATTGAACTTGATAAAAAAAATTTTTTACCTTTGAAGTCTACACATTGAGTCAAAAGTAATAAACATAACATGATAAGTAATAATAAGTAGAAGGCTTATGCATAATTTTGTAATAATATTGGTAAAGAATATTATACTTACAGTGTATTAATGTATAGGACATTCATAATTCCAGTTACCACACAAGATGGGAGGACCTTAAAAAGATCCAAACAGAAGCCATCGCCATGACAAATACAAGGACTTCAGACGAATAGACAGTAGTATATCCTTCTGTGCAGCAACTTTGACAATATTATAGAGACTGCTGATCATTTCCGAAACAAATGTGTTCCTTTGTTACACAAATACTTAAAGAGAGAATCGCAGAGATAGCGAGCAGGCCAAATAGATATACTAGATTAGTAGTACTTACATACTAAATTCAATGTAAATAAGTTATGGGAAAATAAATTATAATATATATTTCGATAAAATTGTGTGTTTATTATGTTTTTGAATAAAAAAAACATAGAATTAGCATTTGTTTTGCATGTTTCAAGCTTGATTTATTATTAAATCAGTCCTTAATTTAGTATTAATTCTAAACCTTTATTAAGCTAACTTTAAGCTTGATTGATCATTAATTCAACCATAATTTTACCCAAAATATCATCAACCTTGATTTAGCATTAATATCCTCAGCCTTGATTAAGCTTATTTTAAGCTTGATTTAACATTGATTTAGCCTTGATTTACCCAAAATATTCTCAACCTTGATTTAGCATTGATTTTTTCAAGCCTGAATCAAGCTTGATTCAGCACTGAAATAACACTTGGGCAAATATTGCTTTTTCAATGCTTGAGAAGATCAATGTTAAATCAAGGTTGATTTTTTGTTAAATCAACATTGAGAAATGTTTGCTGTGTACCAGTATTTGTATTATCAATTAAATATATTATACACATTTCAGATGTGAACAAAATACCAGGGGAGATATTACAAACATTTACATGGATCATATCCCTACATTGGCTGCCAAATGATGCCAGTTGGTTTGATTTGAAGCCTCATAACAGTAGACAAGTTGCACAAGTGGCCTCTACTTGGCTAGACTTTATATGTAAGTATAATACATGGATCATGTCCCTACATTGGTTGCCAAATGATGCTAGTTGGTTTGATTTAAAGCCTCATAACAGTAGACAAGTGGCACAAGTGGCCTCTACTTGGCTAGACTTTATATGTAAGTATAATACATGAATCATATCCCTACATTGGCTGCCAAATGATGCTAGTTGGTTTGATTTGAAGCCTCATAACAGTAGACAAGTGGCACAAGTGGCCTCTACTTGGCTAGACTTTATATGTAAGTATAATACATGGATCATATCCCTACATTGGCTGCCAAATGATGCCAGTTGGTTTGATTTGAAGCCTCATAACAGTAGACAAGTGGCACAAGTGGCCTCTACTTGGCTAGACTTTATATGTAAGTATAATACATGGATCATATCCCTACATTGGCTGCCAAATGATGCCAGTTGGTTTGATTTGAAGCCTCATAACAGTAGACAAGTTGCATAAGTGGCCTCTACTTGGCTAGACTTTATATGTAAGTATAATACATGGATCATATCCCTACATTGGCTGCCAAATGATGCTAGTTGGTTTGATTTGAAGCCTCATAACAGTAGACAAGTGGCACAAGTGGCCTCTACTTGGCTAGACTTTATATGTAAGTATAATACATGGATCATATCCCTACATTGGCTGCCAAATGATGCCAGTTGGTTTGATTTGAAGCCTCATAACAATAGACAAGTGGCACAAGTGGCCTCTACTTGGCTAGGCTTTATATGTAAGTATAATACATGGATCATATCCCTACATTTGCTGCCAAATGATGCCAGTTGGTTTGATTTGAAGCCTCATAACAGTAGACAAGTTGCACAAGTGGCCTCTACTTGGCTAGACTTTATATGTAAGTAATAGCTTAAGACTTAAATTGAATTGTCTAAGGATTGTTTACTATACTACATAAGGTGTAAAGGATGTTCTTGGCTTGACTTTGCAGTGAGAACAAAAGCTTGGTGATCAAACATATTGAGTATTCGAGTTAATATGCAATCAGCATGGCAAAGCAATTCATATTATTATTTCTTACTTCAAATTCCTATCTTATTAGCCAGAGTAGCTTTCTGTGTACTGGTATCTTTGTTAGACTGTTTATTTATTTTCTTGTTTTTAAAATTGTTCCATGTAAATGTTCTTTATGTACATGTGTCTCTCATATTGATTAGTGGGTTCATAAACCTGCAAGTTAAGGGTCAAAAAGGCCCGTAGAGAGAAAATAGGAAAGTTTAAACTTTTTCTGAGCTATCAAGGCAACATTTGGCTTAACATCTTCTTTGACATACCCATTTTCTTAAAACGTATGGATAAACTATCAATTTTAGCATTAAAAAGTATAAATCCAGTTCAAAGCTTCAAAAAGGGGAAATCCACTTTTATATTTTTAAGATCCACCATGTTTCAAGAGGAATATCAGCTGAAATAATGTTTATCCAAGGGGTTTCTTTATAGATAATAAAAATAAATGTAAATCTTGATGAAATATCAAAACTATATATTTTGACACTTGTCCATGATCGTTGAATGGTTGTGGCCCCTCTGCACTAATTGTTGCACCTTTAATGGGACTTGTTTTGTTCCATATAGAGGTGTTCCTTACAAAGAGGTGCTCCTTACAGACAGGTTTCATTGCATTAACAGTATCTTTTCTAATCCAACTGAATTTTCCAGCTGAGGAGAGTGTGTGTGATTGTATCCACCTGTTGAGCCTGCTGCCAAAGGAATGCACACCAAAATGGAGAGTACACGTCTTCAAAATGACCCTGGTATGTATTCATACCTTACACCCCTTATTCTAGTCTCTTTACTATTATACACATTTCTTTTACTAACCATTTAAATTATGCGTCTCAAAGAGGAAATCTCATTTTGCACCTTTTTGGTTCAAAAGGTGTTTAATGATTTATTTGATAGTAATAAATGATAGATATGTTATGTATAAAGTAATAACAGTTTATTACGAATATTTTGAAGCCAATGATTTACATATTTTTGATAATTAAAAATGAATATAGGTGTACATGCATGACTGTTTTAAGTAAGATTCAGGTAAACAGTATAATATACTATACTATATACAGTACAGTATAGCCTTCTTTAGTATTTTGTGCATTGTTAATCGACTCTTTCTCTTCCAGACTGATACTAGGGCAAATGTTCGCATGGCGGGAATCAAGGCTTTCCCATTGATCTTACATCTTCTAGGACCCAATGCTAATCATCTGGTCTACGATTTACTCCAGTAGGTGACCAGTGCCTGGAATTTCTGTTTTGTTAAAGTGTCACGTTGCTCATTTTTTCCATTCTTACTTTGAATACATTGCTTTTTTTGTTTAGCACTGTCCGCAGGGGTGAGAAACTGTAAGAGAAATCAGATTTGTCATTAAAAAAAGAAAAAAGATATACTGAGTGAAAATACTTTTGAAAAAAACATCCCCACCCAAAAGTGGTGGCATATTGTTATATGTTCCAATTTTTCTAAATGCCTTACAGACAGTATCTTTTTAAGAAAAATAGATTGGAATTTTCAAACATGTATCTCTATTACATATTTTACAGCAACCTAATGACAGATAAGTCACCAGTTGTCTTATCAGCTCTAGCCACTATTGCGGGCCCCTTAGCATGTGTTGTATCAAGGAAGGCTGTACTCCAGAGACCCCTTAGCTGCAAAGATGGAAAGATTTATTGCAACATTTCACTGATATGTTTGTGTTGTGAGGAAAATTCAGGTATGGTATTGTTGTCAGCTACATCTCATTTTTTTTCGGCTTTTATAGCCATTTATTTCATTTACATTATACACAATATACATAATAATATATTAAAGTAGAAAAAACTTGCGCCGGAAAAAAAGATAAAATAAAGGTAGATGTCACATTGGTAAGGAGGCTTTTTCATTTTTCTTATGTGCCAGACAAAATGCTTGATGGATTGATTAAAAAAATTTCTGGGCTATATCTCATTGCGAAAAGTAGATCCGAATTTTGGCATGCTGGGTAAATTTTTAATCGGCCATTTTTGACTTTGAGGTATATTATTTTTAGTCACTCTGTTTGATGCTTAACATGAGGGTCAGTGGAACTAAAAAATGGTCAGATTCAGGATTCTGACTGTCAGTTGCAAATACTTTTCACTCGATCGTGACAAAAACAGGTTGCCTCTTGGGCAAAGGACCCAATGCCAATATATTTATTAGTTGTAGCAATATAGTTTGAACCCTAGTCCTGAACCCTGGCCAGACCAGAATCTTTAAGGTTGTTTACTTTATATTTTACAGTATATTTCCATATATGACCATATTGTGTTTGATATTTTCTAGATGGGTCCAATGTGTCCAGTCCTCGAGCAAGACCTAAACTAGTAGACCCAGCAATGTTTTTGCCATTTCTACAACTACTCACTGCTACCAGAGACATAAAATTAGGTAAATAAATATATACAGTAAACCTGTAAAGTTGAACACCTCTGTTAGTGGGACACCTCCATAAGGGGAGCACCTCCATAAGAGGAACACCTCCGTAAGATGACATTTTGAAGTCCAGTAACCCATTAAGTCATGTACTTGACACTCTGTGAATGGAACACATCCTAAGTGGAACACTGTTTTCACATACCAAAGCTGTTCCACTTACGCAGGTTTTATGGTATTCGAATTGGGTGCCTGGCCAGCACATTTCTTTAAATGAAAAATGTAGGGCCAATCCATTTAAGGGTTGCAAGTAGAATGAAGCTGTATTTGGAATTTTCATTAAGTATAATATTTTGTCACTGAAAAATATTACTGTATTTATGATGTCTATCTAAAATGTTTGAAGATGACATTTTAATGTTGACACATGCATACATACGTTGTATTGTAGGCCTCACGCAAAGTCTGTCTAAGATGTTTGGTCACATAGAGGTTCGCTCAAACAACCAAGCCACAGTGAACATGTTAAATAGTTGCCTAAATCTCATAGAAGACCCTGACTACCAGACTAGAGTTGAGTTCAGGTATTAAAATCTTAATCAATTAGTCACATTTCCCCCCTTTTCCCCGAATTTTCTCCAGCAAAATTAATTCAGTAAAAAGGCACATTTGCTATAGTAGGATAAATAGATGGCAGCACTTGATGATAGGGCAAGATACCAGTATTTACAATTGGAATTTGTTTTCCTTCTTAAATTACTTATTTGGTATATATTAAAACAATCCCTCCCTCCCTCAATTCAGTATTTTATACTTTTTCTGATAAGGAATTAAAACGACAATAGACATATCCCTCGTATACTTTTTATAAAAAATATTTTCCATAATCATTATCTAAGTATTGTTCATATTTTTCTTTCAGTAAAGTTGTTCAGTTTTTGCTGGGAGACTCAAGCAGTGAATCAGCTAGTGAAACTGACCAGTTAATAGTCACTAAATTAGCTGGCATCATGCAGAGTCATGATCATGTGCATCCACACCTACTTGAGACTGTTATACTAACCTTAGGACAATTAGGGAGGTATGTCCTTTGAATAAAATAAAAAGATTATCAACACCTGGAGAAATGTAGCTATTGTTACAGAATCTTATTACTTCCTGGTTGTCACATAACAATATAAAAAAGGGATTTGAATCAACAAATGGAAAATCGGTAGAAATAAAGTGACTAACTTGTAAAGAAATACATAATAAAAATGTCAGCACTTTTGTCACATTTAAGTGAGATATTACACTGTCTAGTGACAATTTGGCTAATATTTCCCAAAATGGCAGCCTTGGCTGTTAGATGGAATTTGCTATGCCTTGGCATTGCATTTATTTATTAACGTCCCAACAAACGAAGTTTTGTAGGGATATATGAAACCCTCCGTTTGTCCATCCATCTGTTAGTCCATCTGGAAGAAAACTCAAATACTAGTAGACTGATTTCTTTCATATTTGGTGGAAAGATGTATATTGGTAACAAGTTTTATCCTAAAATTTTTTTTCAATATGGTCGCCACTTTTAAAATGTTGGGAAAGGAGTTGGGTAAACTAGCAACAGAGAGTGCCCCAATTGAAGTGTGAAAAAACTTTTTTTAAGAATAGGAGAAAAAAACATCAGAAATGCATAGATTGAAGTCTATATTTTTGGGTAGTATTTCTAAAAAAATTTAGAAAAAATTGTTACGGTGTCTGGAGACCTTCAAAGAGGGTGGGGGCCAGAAGGAAAAAAATTCACATATTTTGCAACCCTCTTGATGAATTCCAATTTACTCAGCTATGAATGAATGTTTTTGATTTATCTGTCCAGGATTATGTAAATATATATTTATTTGATCCATACATACAATTGATTTAAACAATATGTACAGTTTAGAGGTAAGTAAAGCTTTGAAAGAACATTTCATGCTGAGTCTGGGTGACATTTTTATTCACTGGAGGTAGTAATCCTTTGAGTGTTTTCACATAGAGCATAACAAGTCTCCACTCTAATAACACCCTATGCAGACAGAGCCTGTGGGAAATATTGGGTGCGGAGCAAATGAGCGGAGGGTGCGGAGCTAACGGTTATTTTTGAATTTAAATTTGGGATATTTCTGAAACTAAGCCGTTTTGGGACTTCAAATATACCAAGATATGTGTATTTGACACCAAATATCAATACAATTGTGAAAATAGTAGCGCAATTCATGCTATAGCGACGCAGTGTGCCTTAAACCTTTCCCAGACCTATATATTTTGTAATTATCCTTTTAATACTGAGTCCCCAGCATTCATAAAAAATGGACGCAGTATTAAAAGGATAGTCTCAAAATATATAGGTCTGGGAAATGTTTAAGGCATACTGCGTCGCTATAAAATGAATTGCACTACTATTTTCACAATTTTATTGATATTTGGTGTCAAATACACATATCTTGGTATATTTGAAGTCCCAAAACGGCTTAGTTTCAGAAATATCCCAATTTTAAATTCAAAAATGACCGTTAGCTCCGCACCCTCCGCTCATTTGCGCCGCACCCAATATTTCCCACAGGCTCTGTCTGCATAGGGTGAATAAGTGCTTCTTTAGTTACATAAATGTTATATTGTTACATACAAAGAATAATTTTGATGGAGACTTATTATGCTCAATGTGAATTTTAGAACTTTATAGAAAATTTTGCCTGCCATTTTTGTTGATTATTCAAAATGGCCAAATGCTATTCATGCTGCATATGTAGGAAGCAGGGCATTATAAAATTTTAGATGCTAAAATACCTGAAACATCAAGTGGTTATATGTGCACAACATCTGAATCAGGTAGTTCAAGTGATGATGAGTAAAACTAATCAGAAAATGTTTCATTGTTATTTCATTAACAAGCCAATGATGAAATGTGTTGAAATTTTAGATGTTTTTCACCTTTAAGGTGATCTACAAGAAGTGATTATCTCCGTTATCTGTACTTACTGTTTCCTAGACATTATCAGAATGATTGATAATAAACTTAATAGTTGCTTTAAAATTATGTTGAATAATATCATTATGTTGAATTACAATATATACAGTGTGTGTGTTTAGTGTGTGGTTTTTAGCATACCCTATGTCGCTAACAGGAAGCAGGACATATTTCTCATAAAAAATAAACATTACTTTACGAGTCAAATCATGAAATGTACATTCTGAATTTAAATGAATTAAAAATAATAAAGTATTTTCATTATTTTAGGTACTTTTGTTCTCTTTCAGTGTTGCGTGGGAAGGGCGGAATATATTAATATAAATATTATTGGCAAATTGCCAATTTACTATATATTGTAATTCCAACCTCTATGAGACTAAATTCCTACAGATATTTGTGATATTTTAACCAAAAAGGTATATTTTGGTAGAAAATAATGAATTTTTTTAATTTGACCTTGACCTGGGGAATATGACCTTGACCTAAATTTTCATACATTTTTGAAACACATATATCACATAGATTAATAAAATAAAGAGAAAACTTGAAAATCAGGTGGGGCTTAAAATGGCCTTGTTTACCCAACTCCTTTTTCGCGAAAATCTTATTTTTCATTTAAAACAAAGTAATAAATATTATTGTTTGAAATTTTGGAAGTATATTCACAACATCTATCTATTTTACATTTATTCTGTGTTTTTCACCCTAATCCCCAAGGGGGCTGTATGGAGGTCTGGAAAACAGGCATTTTCATTAATTTCGAGATCTTTCTAAAGTATAGCATTATTATACACAAAGGAAAGGCAATTAAGAGTGAATATTGTATCGTTTTTCTGATTTGGGCCTCGTAAAATTCAAAATGGCTGCCTAATGTTCGATTTCGCAAAAATTTTGTGATCTATTCAAAGTATGGCTATATTATACTCAAATTGAAGGAATTCTAGAGTAGATCACAATTATGGGTATTGTTTTCTGATTCAGAATTGCTGCCTAGAGCAAGAATTCATTATTTCTTAGAGATCTCTTCAAAGTATGGTTACAGTATATTGTACTCTATTAGATCTCAATTGTGTAGATTGTAATTGTAAAATATTACTGGGCCTCTTGGAAGACCAGTCTTGTACTGTTAGAGCTACCCAGAATAAGTATAGTTTTCAAATCAAATCAAAATACTCTATTGCCATTACGATTTGTGCCTGTGAAACTCCTGAATGGTCACCCAAATGCTTAAATAAGTGGAAATTCAGATATTTCTCTAATGTACGTACTTCTAATGTCTTTTAATATCTGCCAATTTAATCAAGGGTACAGAAGATGGTAAATATTAAATTGTGACATATATTCATGAATATAGTGTTCATTGGGATTTGCTACTCCGTGGAGTTGCTGATCTCTAGTTTACAAAATGTTTCAGTGGAGACAGACTACGCAGAATGGTGAAGTCTTTAGAGCATCCACCTTCCAACCATGAGAAGTAGGGTTTGAATCCCGACAGTGACGCTTTTTTTAATTCTTGAATCACAACACATTATTTAATATTGTTCTGCATGACAGTTATATTTATTGCTTTCATGAGTTTTAATATATAGATAAAATGATTGTGTGTTGCTTTGGACTACAGTGAAACCTGTATATCTGAACACTTCTCAATATGAACACTTTTTCTAGGTACCAAATTTGGCTCAAAATTGCCTCACAATTGTTTGTAAAACCTTGAAGTTTGAACACCTGCTAATCTGAACACTTTTGACTGGTCCAAGGGGTGTTTGAATTAAACAGGTTATATTTTACAATTATACAAGCCTAACTAAGTTCAACCATAGTAAAATACATCCAAAATACAAATATAGTATAGCAACAAGCCCTTGATACCCCCTACTATAAATCTCCCGCAATCAGGTAAATTTATGGCTGGTCCAAGAGGTGTTCGGATTAGACATGTTTTACTGTAATTGCGTTTAATGCTGACAGTTTGTTGTTCTGTTGATTTACTATAAATATATCAGTGATGCCCATAATTTGTTCCTAACATATATCTAAGATATTGTATGATATTATAGGAGCTATTATAATGGGACATTTCTGATTTTCTGGGGGAGAAACCTAAGATGCTTTAATTGAACTATTTAGAATAGTCTAGAAGCAGGTGTGTCACTAGAATCACAACAGGCTAAATAAATGAAACAACAGGCAAAATTAATGGAAATCATGAATTTAACAAGGAAAAGTTGAAAGGTCCTTAAAAACAACAGGCGATTTTGTGAAAATAACTGAAAATTGCCTGTTGGCTGTTGCTAATAAAACCCATGCTAGAAGGCTCGGAATTATCTTTTTTTATTGTAATGACCACATTGCTTTGGCCTTTCAGAGTCGCAGAGGGTAAATTACAGCTTGTGGTGTTGATTAGTCTACTAAAGAGTATGATATCAACACAGCCTTTCATAGCAGCTGTTGCTCATGAACAGCTGAGAGACCTGGCCAACCACAAACACGTCACACTTCAAGATCTGTTTAAAAGGCATAGGAAGAGCATATGCCAGGTACAGTTAGCTCCTTTTGATACTTAAAGAATGCAGCCAGAATAAGTCATTTACTGCTGGACGATTTTCCTGGAAAAGTCTATCTTTTTGCTAGAAAATGTAATTTTAATCCATATGCTTGTTAAAGTGCCCGATAAAGTATAAAATGCGCATGCGTCCAGGTGTTGATAAACTATAAATAGCGAAAACCCAGGGTTTGTCACCACAAGGTAAGCCAGGACGTGTTGAGAGAACAGCTAGTGTTGATATTGAATTTATATGTAGCCAGATAAGTTTCCTTATTGAAATTACATATGGTTATTAGCAATACTTTGTTGGTGCTAAATAATAAAATATTTAGAGTATATATGAGAGAAATTGGTCATTTCGAACCTGTTGAAAAGTTTGTGGCTCTCGGCTACACCGGGGAATTTACTTCCATGAGTACACACATAAATGTGGGGTTCCCCAAGAGGTACGCGACAAGGTGACCTGGCATCAAATGTGCGACTAAATGCTACTATGGAGAAGATAAAATAACGAATACGACAATAAGTTATTGCATGTGACAATTCCGAGCCTTCATCTCACTGAAGTATATTGAAGTGAAAATAGGATTTTTGTTTTCATACATGGATTCAGATGAACGTAACTTTATTCTGACAACTAATCAAAACTGAACAAAATTGATTGTACGTAACAGACAATTTATTGTTTTACAATGTTTTGATTGGCTAAACGAATGAAACCAACAAATTATGACATGTAAAATGACAATTTTGAAATGTAAAATTTAAAAGTGACAAACACAACCTCCCTATCCACTCTTTGGGAGCCCTAGTAAATTAGTAATATGTACATGCAGCAGTGGTAGTGTGCAGCTTATTATCACACTACGCTTTGTATTCTAAAGCCTGTTGTTTGTAATAACACTGTTCACTCAACGTATGTTTTGTGTGTGGGCAGTCAACGATAATCATTGTTTTATCCCGGTTATATGACCTCGGCAATTATAACAAAACCGTACTAAACGAAAAAACGTAAATAAGAGAAAGCTTTCACACACATATAAAAAATGAACTAGTCTAATCCGCCAGTATAAACTCTGTGCTATACGTAGCCGGGTCAGGCGCACACTTTAAATGTAATGCAATGTCTAGAAAAAGTTATTTCTATTTATGGAATGTTTAGAACATTGAATATTTTTACATCTGAAATCATGTCAGAGTCTTATTTTATTTTTGATAAACTCATCTATTCTGTATTTTTAAATTACATTATATGAATCTTTTGTTTTTTAGTTTATAGTTGATAGCGTATATGACTCTGAGCCCAGCTCTGGCTCTGGAAAGGAGCCACTAGGTATATTACATGAAGTTGCGATACTGTTCAATTATGATGATGTGAAGACATTTCTTCAGGTATGTGACATGAAGCGTCACTTCATATTGTATGACAGATTTCTTATTGAGAAAATGGTTTTTCTTTCACTAAGGCATTGTTTGGAAATTATTAAGATCCATATAAAAATAGAATGCACAACTGTAAATGTCAAGGACAAAAATAGAGCACATTTAATGTCAATATTATTATTTACATTACATTTAAGGTCAATATTGTTATTTATATTGCATTTATTGTCAATTTATTATTTACATTACATTAAATGTTAATTTATTATTTACATTAAATTTAATGTCAATATTATCAATTACATTACATTTAATGTCAATATTATTATGTACATTACATTTAATGTCAATATTATTATGTAAATTACATTTACGTTTTTACATTATATTTGCAGAGTACGGAGATCTACATGTTGCCCCCTCTGGTGAGCAAAGCCACCGCCAAGGCCAGTGCACTCATAAAACTAATCGCATCACAGCTTGACAAGGTAATTGAGATAACAGTTGTTACTAGCGAATTCAATTAGAGACCAACTTTTGTCTTGATATAATTTTGTTCTTCAACCTAATATTTATGACCATTTGGATTCAGGGTTAAAATGGCCTTTCTCTATGATTATGTCAATAATCTGCAAAAGGCTGATACTTGCCCATTTAAAGCAAATATAATTTAGCAGTAAATGAATTTGAATATAATATAATTTAAACTTTCACATTTAAAAATAGATCTACGGTTTGGTTTTAACTCATTTTAAAATTGGATTGACTTCCCGGTTGGCCCATGTACCCCCCATTGAAGTCCATCTATGCTCTCAGTCCATAGTTTTGTTAATGTCCATATGTAAAATGTGACCTATTTCTATTTTCCTGTTTAAAAGTTTAGTTTAATCCAACTTCAGACTAAAAGACAATGCCTGACGAGAAACACAGCTTACATATTTTCATATTTGCTGTGCTTCTGCCAAGGGAGGCCAGGACAGTATGACAAGGCGCTCCATTTTCTGAGAGTAAGTGAAGTTTGATTTTACATTAACATTGCATTTTTTGAAGTAATAAGTTGTTTGAATCAATCAATCGTGGTTTAACTTACTTCATATTTCTGATGGTGAATTGATTCGTACTAGAGTGCTGCTGACTCGATAAAAGGCTGGCGCTGGCTAGAATTGTCTATGGTTCTAGCCAGGATAAAGATACCAGTTCTTCAACTCGACAATGGGAAGAACTGCTCTACCTAAGTGACTAATATGTCATGATATGACATCTAAAGAGTCGATAAAAGATATAATAAAAATTCCAATAATTTACTGATCGTCCCAGCGTTAGATCAAGCAGGTGCTCACCATGTTGAAAAGGGTGAAAAATTACATGCCACCCTGTTGAAAACCTACTTTTACATGACCTTAGTCCTTTTAAATACAATTTACGCTCTGCGTCATATTGTTATAATATGTTTGTAAATATTTTGAACGGAACAATAAATTTACTATAAAATATAACTTTTAAGTTACCTATGAAATTCAGTTTACTTTGACTGGTGGTGAAACAGTATCTCAGCAAAACTAGAGTTCTTGCATTCAATCAAAGATTAAGGTAATTCATTATTTTAAAATTATTTGCAGCATAACTTGAATTTCCATCTCTGCAACACAACCTGAGCGCAGTTTGCTCATATTACTTCATTAATGTTTCTAATTATTTTGATTTGTTTCAGAAAACTGGGAAAAATGGGAAGTTTCTTGTCATTAGGAAAATTAGAATTAGGAAAATGATAAAATTTGACCATTCAGCAAATTAACCACTCGGATTAAATACCACTTATACAGTATTTTCCTACAAATATTTCTTCATTATTTTGATTTTGTTTTCAGCAAGAGACTGGATTGGAGCTAGGGAGTCTGCTGAGATTAGATATGCAGAATGTTGAGAATGAGTTATTGTTGCATCTCAGTGATAACTACACACAGGTATTTCAAGTGTAATTTATGAAAGTCGTCTGCTTATGCTTATTCCCCTCATTTCTCTCTAAAATTTGAATGAAGTGTCTGATTTTTTTGCATTTTTGTACAATTTAAAGTGTTGACTACATGTCTGTTTACTATTTTCTCGTTGTTTCTTCATTTTTTATATTTGAAATCACGAACTGTTGTTTTATTTCTGTTATAACTACGCACAGGTATTCCAAGCGTAATTTCTGAATGTCGTCTGCTCATGCTTATTCCTCTCTATTTTCCTCTTAATTTTGAATGAAGTGTCTGATTTTCTTGCATTTTTATACAATTTAGAGTGTTGACTACATGTCTGTTTACATTATTTCTTGTTATTTCTTCACTTTGATACACTTTTTTGTATTAAAATCATTGCCATCATTCATTTCATTGATTTCTGAATGTCAATCTACTCTTGCTTATTCCTTTCCATTGCTCTTGAAAAATTGAAAGACATGTCTCATTTTCTCATATTTTCTGTACAATATAATAGTTCATTTTATCATCTTCTGCTTATTTATATCATTCATGCAAAGGTTTGTAAATAACACCTTTGTGGATGAAACCAGCCCAGAATGCATTGAGTTCATGGCTTAAATCCTTTACCATGTGTCACATTGTGTTTTTGTAGATGTTTAAAGGGCTGTCCATGGTGGCATCGTATGATGAGCTGGAGTATAAAGGACCTAAAGATATCAAAACCAAGGACCAAATGGCAGCATTTCTTCAACCACGACTTCTGGGATTTCTGGCATATTTTGATTCAAAATTCCTTAACAAAACAATTCCATGGGAAGAAAAACTGATGGTATATACTTCTATAAACTCATTAAGTTAAAGTAAACTTGAGGTGATATCTAGAAATTTTTGGTATATGATTCCCAAATCAATCGACCAGTCAAGTAAACTATGCCATCTACTACTATCTTTTGATGTCTTTCTTATCCAGTCAATGGGTAGAAATAAAGATTTACTTAATGCATGCAAATTTATAGAAACTTCAGGAAATTTTGTTCACAAAGACCCATTTTTGCAAAGTATAACGTCATAAATCTAGGCAATTTATTCTAATTACTCTGATTAACTTAAAGTGTGCGCCAAAGTTTAAAACTGCGCAGGCGCAGCGCTCTCGCTAACCTATTTAAAGAGATTACAAGGTACAGGCTTCAGAGGTAAGTCAGGAAGGTGAACAATCTTCGTCCCATGTTGATTTCCCGTATAATCGTAAACAGGCAAGTTTCACCATTGAAATTGAAAATTACTATTAGATATACTTTGTAGATGTTATTTATGAGCTATTAAGTGTATGCATCAATCAAATGGCTCATTTTGAACATATAAAAAGTATTTGTGTTTTGTTTCCCAGGGAATCGTATTCCCATGTAGTACACACATAAATAGTGTACATTATGTAGTACTTGAATAGCCTGGTTTATGATATATTGAAGGGCATGCTGATTGTACACACGAGTACATGCATGAAGGCCTAATATTGATATTGCTTGCATACCTAGATAAAAATAAACTCTTCTAATCCCCTAATGTAAACACGGCGGTATATCTAGTCCGATTTATCGGAGACTTTAAAGGCGTCAGGAGCAGTTGGATAGGTCTGCTGTGGATACAGAATTCATAGTAAATTAAAAGAACACTTGGAAGGATACGTATCATCATTATGTCAACATCAAAATAATGACCCCTTGCTTGTTATTTTTTGATATATATGTCAATTAATTTTTTGTTTCATCTATGTAGGCCCTGGAGAGTTTGATATCATTAATGAAAATGATGGGTGCTCACTACATCACCCCTGTTAGAGTTAAGCTCATGGCAACATTAAAGATAGTACTCAGATTCAAAGAGAAGGCATTCCCAAGTGTTTGCTGTAGAGCCTGGGAGTGCTTTGTAAAGAGGTAAGTTCATGTAATTATACCATGATCACTACATCAACCCTGTTAGAGTTAAGCTCATGGCAACATTAAAGATAGTACTCAGATTCAAAGAGAAGGCATTCCCAAGTGTTTGCTGTAGAGCCTGGGAGTGCTTTGTAAAGAGGTAAGTTCATGTAATTATACCATGATCACTACATCAACCCTGTTAGAGTTAAGCTCATGGCAACATTAAAGATAGTACTCAGATTCAAAGAGAAGGCATTCCCAAGTGTTTGCTGTAGAGCCTGGGAGTGCTTTGTAAAGAGGTAAATACATGTAGTTATACCATGATCACTACATCACCCTTGTTAGAGTTAAGCTCATGGCAACATTAAAGATAGTACTCAGATTCAAAGAGAAGGCATTCCCAAGTGTTTGCTGTAGAGCCTGGGAGTGCTTTGTAAAGAGGTAAGAACATGTAGTTATACCATGATCACTACATCACCCCTGTTAGAGTTAAGCTCATGGCAACATTAAAGATAGTACTCAGATTTAAAGAGAAGGCATTCCCAAGTGTTTGCTGTAGAGCCTGGGAGTGCTTTGTAAAGAGGTAAGTACATGTAGTTATACCATGATCAATACATCACCCCTGTTAGAGTTAAGCTCATGGCAACATTAAAGATAGCACTCTGATTCAAGGAGAAGGCATTCCCAAGTGTTTGCTGTAGAGCCTGGGAGTGCTTTGTAAAGAGGTAAGTACATGTAGTTATACCATGATCACTACATCACCCCTGTTAGAGTTAAGCTCATGGCAACATTAAAGATAGTACTCAGATTTAAAGAGAAGGCATTCCCAAGTGTTTGCTGTAGAGCCTGGGAGTGCTTTGTAAAGAGGTAAGTACATGTAGTTATACCATGATCAATACATCACCCCTGTTAGAGTTAAGCTCATGGCAACATTAAAGATAGCACTCTGATTCAAGGAGAAGGCATTCCCAAGTGTTTGTTGTAGAGCCTGGGAGTGCTTTGTAAAGAGGTAAGTACATGTAGTTATACCATGATCACTACATCACCCCTGTTAGAGTAAAGCTCATGGCAACATTAAAGATAGTACTCAGATTCAAAGAGAAGGCATTCCCAAGTGTTTGCTGTAGAGCCTGGGAGTGCTTTGTAAAGAGGTAAGAACATGGAGTTAAACCATGATCACTACATTACCCCTGTTAGAGTTAAGCTCATGGCAACATTAAAGATAGTACTCAGATTCAAAGAGAAGGCATTCCCAAGTGTTTGCTGTAGAGCCTGGGAGTGCTTTGTAAAGAGGTAAGTTCATGTAGTTATACCATGATCACTACATCACCCCTGATCACTATGATATCAGGTGTGTAAAGCAATATCTGTATGATAATACAGATATTTTTAGATATATGCATATTGTATATTTTATTTTATTTAAAATGACCAAAGCTAAATAATTTTATGAGAATTTAATTTTATGAGAATCAATGATTGTTGACAGAAGATTTGTAAAGATGTATTTTAGATATTTGTTTTTTAATAAAAGAAATTCTTTACTGCAGTATTAAGATTGCATCTCTGGGCCCTATGCTATTAAAATCAGAAATTATAAATTTGTCAAAATTGTATATACACTAAAACCTGTATGAGTGGAACACCTTTGGTTCATCTAAAAAATGTTAAACTTGGGAGGTGTTCAACTTATAGAGGTTCATTTAATATTTAGTACCAATAAAAAGTTCTAAAAAGCAAGCCCAATGTCCTGCTTAAGAACCCCTATTCTAACTATTGAAAGTGGATTCAAGCAAAACATGAATCTACTTGTTGAGACGCGATCAACTTGAGTTCTTCTGGGAAAATGAGGACTTCAGCAAGGGTGCCATTGACTTATAATGGGGATGGAATTGATTTCATCCTGCATATCTACAGTACAGTTCTTAAACAGGACATTAAAGCTTTAACTAATGTAAGCCTTTTTGAAATTTTTGTTTTGTACTAGTAACATCTTTAATAAAAGCAATTATTTCTCTATTTCAGTTTGGATATGGCATCTCTTGGCCCCATGCTATCTCAGATAATAGTCATCCTCTTACCTCTATTCAACCAACTGCCGAACCAAGTGGCGGAGATATTCAGGTTCCTCATTGTGAAGAATCGTGTCCAGTTAGAGCCTCATTTTCATGAGCTGTACTTCATGCCGGAGAGTCGAGAGTTAGCAGACATTAATGAGGTGTTGGCGAAATTTACAGCAGGACACTCAAAGTAGGTTTAATTTACACATTCATTTTGAGAAATGATTATGTGTTTAAGCATATGTGCATAAAAAAATCTTGTTTTGAATTAGGTAGTTTATTGTGGAAAAAGCAACAGTTAAAGTAAAGTACTTTAAACAAGAGAGAGATTGCGCTCATACATGAGAGCAATAACTTATGTTTATTTATGCGCTGAGCTATGTTAAAAATATTCCCCCTGTATTATAATTATTTTTCTCTTGAGAAAACCCTTTAACAACTTTAGTAAATGGCAAGTAAACATTTGATGAAACTTTTCACACATAATTAAGGGTATATAAAACACAGTCTGTGAAAATTTGAAGACAATTAATTTTTACTTGTAAAATGTCACCGTATCACATTTTTTATGTTCATGCCTTGTTATTTCTTTTTCTTATTTTAGACGAGCTAGTCTACAGATTCAGATATCCCACTTACTGAATGGTGTCAGTCATGAGAGCTTGGATGTGCGTTTAAGAGCGCTCAAAAAATTACGCCAGCTCCTGCACACTCACCAGGTGGAGCTGCATTACATGGTGATGGGGAAAGAGACATCAGATCCTGTAATATCGCAACTTGTGTCAGCTGTAAGTGAAGTAGTTTAAAAAAATTTTATTTTGATGGTGCGAGCTTTGCAATGGGGAAATTTTGAGATTTAATTTTCAAAAAATAGAATTAAACATAAATTATTTAACACCATCATTTCGGAGAAAGCAAGTGTTGAATTTATAATTGAATATAATATTGGAATGATTTCCTATTATTTAGTTGCTATCTGGATGCAGGGAGTCTGATCCTACTGCTAGAAATCTTGTGGGGGAATGTCTTGGTGAACTAGGGGCAGTTGATCCAGGAAGGTAAGCTTTGAGATGAATATGGGTATAAGGGACTTTTATACATGTTTGTTTTATTCATTTTTTGATTATAAAGATATTTAAGGTTTTATGCTAAAATTATAGTTAAGATTGAAGTTGGATAAAAGATTAGAGAGTTTAAAGGTTGGAAACATTAGTTTCATTTTTAAAACCTGTCATTTGAACATTCTACAGTGCGTATCAAAAAACAGATTGTTATCTTTGAAAAGCACAAAACCAGTGATAACAGCATTGATTTCATTCAATGCACCATAAGGCCATGTGTCTCCTCTTTACAATGATATATCATTCATTGATATTTGGTCATGGTTGGGCGAGTAATCATTCCATTTGCCAAGTAGGCCAAAATTAGCTTTTGACCAAGTTATAAACATCGCAAAAGTCAATGGATGGATGTCAATGATGAAAACAAAAATATGTCATGATTCCAGATTTTAATGCTTTTGATGATAACGAAAATATATCATGATTTGAGACTGAATTTAATGCCATTGATGATAACAAAAATATATCATGATTTCAGACTGAATTTAAATGCCATTGATGATAACAAAAATATTATATCATGATTTCAGACTGAATTTAAATATAATTGATGATAAAAATATTACATCATGATTCCAGATTGGATTTAAATGTCAATGATGATAACAAAGATATTATACCATGATTCAAGTTCGGATTACAAAGATATTATTATATTGTGATTCCAGATTGGATTTAAATGTCAATGATGATAACAAAGATATTATTCCATGATTTGAGTTCGGATTACAAAGATATTATTATATTGTAATTCCAGATTGGATTTAAATGTCAATGATGATAACAAAGATATTATTCCATGATTTGAGTTCGGATTACAAAGATATTATTATATTGTAATTCCAGATTGGATTTAAATGTCAATGATGATAACAAAGATATTATTCCATGATTTGAGTTCGGATTACAAAGATATTATTATATTGTAATTCCAGATTGGATTTAAATGTCAATGATGATAACAAAGATATGGCCAAATTCCATGCAGATGTCAATGATGACAACTATGGGTATGATCTCATCAATGAACTTGTCAGAGCCTTCCTTGCTGCAGAAAACACAGAGACACAGGTATTATATTTAATTGTATCAATGTATTGTGTTGTGTTGTATTGCATTTTATCACATAGTATGTAAAATTCCAGTGATCTGATTGGTTGTAGCCTTCCTGGTATTTCCCGTATCACAACCATGTAACTAGTGGTAACTAATTACTGACGTCATATAAGTGAAAGTTCCAGTGTAGTGACGTTACACTATTCAAACTGACGTCACACACCTTGATACCTAGGAAATTACGTTATAATAATAATGAGGTTTAAGTCATCAGCACATATTGATTTCAACAAGGATGGACGTGCAAACCACCGCTACAAGATTTGCGCCAATTAATGACATTGACATTGAAATAAAACATAAAGAAATGACGCCAAAGGCTGCGAAGAGAGCTAATGAAAAAGCCATGCGTTTACTGAAAGACTACCTAAAAGAAACAAAGTACGAAATTAATGCATTGTATTGTGTTGTATTGCATTGTATTGTACTGTGTTCCTTTGCATTATGTGTATATTATATTGTATTGTTTTGTATTGAATTGTATTATAACGTTCCATAAACATGAGCAGTACTATTTACCCTTTCGAGACGATAGGCTCCACATGGAACCCTTTTACGTAATACCTTTCAGGGCGATAGGCTCCTTTTTAAAAAAGTCTGATTCAGGAACCTCACATTGAAGGAGCCCTGTGTTCTTTTGAGTATTCACACATGGACATTCAAGTCCCCTGCCTTTTTATGTCTCCATTGCATAGTGTGGGCCCATATTGTCAGACTGGGGCGTCCGTTTGTCCGTCCGTACATCCATCTGTATGTCATACACATTATCAATAAGATATGGTAAATTACATGTGCATTTCAGGATTGTCAGACTGGGGCATCCGTTTGTCCGTCCGTACGTCCATCTGTATGTCATACACATAATCAATAAGATATGGTAAATTACATCTGCATTTCAGGATTGTCAGACTGGGGCGTCTGTTTGTCCATCCGTACATCCATCCGTATGTCATACACATAATGAATAAGATATGGTAAATTACATGTGTATTTCAGGATTGTTCCGCCTACGCTCTCCAAGAAATTGCCAGTGTGTATGGTATTTCTAACACAGCTGGAAACCACACAGCTGGCAAGAAGCTTTGGTTGAGGTTCCCTGGCCATATACAGGAGATTCTGGTTCCTCTGTTACATTCAAAGTTAGTTCCTTTATCATTTAATCAAGTTATGGGGAAGTGGAGGAGTTGATTTTTGTTCTAATTTTCTTATCTTTTTTCTTTGCATGCTCAATGGGTGGTGTATTTTGAAGACAATGATTCTGATTATACATGTACAGTATAACAAGACTAATAGTCACACACTTATTCATGTGGTTGAATCCAAAAGTAGACCTCAAAATCTTATTAGGTTTTGGTAAAATACTTGATGGCCATTTTGAAATTTTCACTTCACACTTTCCAGGTATAAGGTGACAAGCAGTGAGAACTGGTCTCAGGTACCCAAGGTCATCTATGGCAGCCATAAAGGCAAATATTTTGAGAAATGGATCTCAACATGGACTGGATACCTCATAACAATGGTAAGAAATATGTGTATTATGTTTATAGAAAAACCTACTGAAGTGAACACTGCTTTTGCCAACCAGCCTAAATTGTGGTCTACTTTTATTTGAGAAATATACTTTTATGTGAAAATGTGGGATACATTTCTCAACATGTTGTTCAGAATCTGCATTTTTGATATCTTAATCTTAATATTACTTTTCAGTTCTCTTTTCAATTTCAAAACATAACCATCCCAAAAAATCGATACCCTGGCGTGTAACATATAATGTTATATTGTACATTTTTTGTACATGGTGTTCAGCGGTCTGAGTTTGGCATATATAACAATTTGTAAGTTTGGCATCTGTAACAATTTTCAAGTTCTTATTTTTGCAATTTCTAATTATTGCAAATTGTTACAGATTTCGAACTTGCAAATTGCTACAGATGCCAAACTTATTTTAATTTTGTCAACTTGATTCCAAATATACATGTATTTATTAACACTAATATATTTTTTACAGGTTAAAGATACAAAAGCTTCAATGATCTTCAAGTCATGTTCAGTTGTCGTAAAACACGATCATAACACTGCGTTGTATCTGCTTCCAAATATAATAGTGCAGGCATTAATAGATGGCACAGCTAATCAGACTCAACAGGTTTGTACAAAGAGGTCATCTCAAACATGTTCAATTGTTGTAAAACACAATCACAATTACTTCCAAATATACTAGTGAAGCCATAAATAGATGGTACGGCTAATCAGATGCAGCAGGTTGGTACTAAGAGGTCATCTCAAACATGTTCAATTGTTGTAAAACACAATCACAATTGCTTCCAAATATACCAGTGTAGCCATAAATAGATGGTACGGCTAATCAGATGCAGCAGGTTGGTACTAAGAGGTCATCTCAAACATGTTCAATTGTTGTAAAACACAATCACAATTGCTTCCAAATATACTAGTGAAGCCATAAAAAGATGGTACGGCTAATCAGACGCAGCAGGTTGGTTCTAAGAGGTCATCTCAAACATGTTCAATTGTTGTAAAACACAATCACAATTGCTTCCAAATATACCAGTGTAGCCATAAATAGATGGTACGGCTAATCAGACGCAGCAGGTTGGTACTAAGAGGTCATCTCAAACATGTTCAATTGTTGTAAAACACGATCACAATTGCTTCCAAATATACTAGTGTAGCCATAAATAGATGGTACGGCTAATCAGACGCAGCAGGTCGGTACTAAGTAGAGGTGTCAAGTATTAACCGGTTAACCGGTTAACCGCCGATAATGCCTTGACCGGTCTGAGTTTTTATGGGCGGTTAGTTGACCGTGTATAATTCTGTTATTTCCCGCGCTTATTTTGCATGCTAATCCGTTTGGTTTTATGGTGTCAGTTTCACGTAAGCTACTCATACATGTCATAAGTCCCATAACTCCTTACAAACATCCAATCAGCAACTTTAATCCCTGCCACATTGCTTTCCCGCGCTTACTTTGCATTTTAATCTGTTTGTTTTTCAAGCGTCAGTTTCATGTGAGCTACTCATACATGTGATAGGTCCGATAATTCCTTACAAACATCCAATCAGCAACTTTAATCTCTGCCACATTGCTTTCCCGCGCTTACTTACATAGAATAGAGTAAAGCTTGACGAACGTAAAAAATAAACGCCGATATATCATTTTTCCAATTTTTTTCAACTTTCAAGATCGAAGATGAAGATTTCATTTGAAATTATAAATTTCCCGCCGGTTAACCGACTTTAACCGGTAAAAACCCCCGGTTAACCGGTTAATGCTCAAGCGGTTAATTGACACCACTAGTACTAAGAGGTCATCTCAAACATGTTCAATTGTTGTAAAACACGATCACAATTGCTTCCAAATATACCAGTGTAGCCATAAATAGATGGTACCGCTAATCAGACACAGCAGGTTGGTACTAAGAGGTCATCTCAAACATGTTCAATTGTTGTAAAACACGATCACAATTGCTTCCAAATATACTAGTGTAGCCATAAATAGATGGTACGGCTAATCAGACGCAGCAGGTCGGTACTAAGAGGTCATCTCAAACATGTTCAATTGTTGTAAAACACGATCACAATTGCTTCCAAATATACTAGTGTAGCCATAAATAGATGGTACGGCTAAACGCAGCAGGTTGGTACGAAGAGGTCATCTCAAACATGTTCAGTTGTTGTAAAACACGATCACAATTGCTTCCAAATATACTAGTGAAGCCATAAAAAGATGGTACGGCTAATCAGACGCAGCAGGTTGGTACTAAGAGGTCATCTCAAACATGATTAATTGTTGTAAAACACGATCACAATTGCTTCCAAATATACTAGTGAAGCCATAAAAAGATGGTACGGCTAATCAGACGCAGCAGGTTGGTACTAAGAGGTCATCTCAAACATGTTTAATTGTTGTAAAATACGATCACAATTGCTTCAAAATATAATAGTGCAGGCGTTAATAGATGGCACTTTTAATCAGACTCAACAGGTCGGTACTATAGAGGTCATCTTAATATGTGTTACTGGTCCAAATTGATTGACCTTGCTACTCTCAAAGAGAGAAAACTTGTCATGGGGAGATTCTTTATTTAATGTCATATTATTTATATTAGCTATGTCACCAAGAAACACCAATAAGTGTAGAAACCATAATTTTTATTAAAGTATGAGAACCATCAAGAAAGTTTTTAAAACAAACAATAAGAGTGACAAAAATCCATAAATGTGAGAACCTTCAAAAAGTAAAGATATATTGTCATTGGTTCCATTTTTTGAATTGCATCGACGTGTACAGTATTTTCAAAGTGATCATACTGTCCTGACTATTTCAGATATCCAATGAAGTCTTAGCTGTATTGAACGATGTCAAACAACCAGACACGCAACAAGGAATGGCGTCTGATTTCCGTCATCTTGCTGCACAGACTATTTTTTCCATATTAGGAATGGTTGTTAAATGGCAGCGTCACCGCATACAGTACCTGAGTGCCATTGCTGCTCAGCACAAAAACAGATCAGGTATGGTGTATGCTAATAAAATGACCGTTTTTCAAATATAAATATCTATTTGGTATGTGAATACTGTAAGCATGGCACACTGTCTAATGACACTTTTGGTATAAGGCGGCCATTTTTCAAAATGGCCACCATTTTAACGTATTTTACTATAACTTGAAAAGTAGAGGAGCGATTTTGTTTATATTTGGTATGTAAATACTATAAGCACGGCACACTGTCTAATGGCACTTTTGGTAGAAGGTGGCCATTTTGAAAAATGGCCGCCATTTTAACATATTTTACTATAACTTGAAAAGTAGTGGAGCGATTTTGTTCATATTTGGTATGTGAATACTATAAGCATGGCACATGGTCTAATGGCACTTTTGGAAGAAGGCGGCCATTTTGAAAAATGTCTGCCATTTTTGCTATATACTTTGTTTGTAAAAATGCCATCCATGGCTGTTCGATGGGATTCGCTACGCTTTGGCGTTGCCGTTGTTCTGGTTACACATACAGGCATAATGTCATGTTTTATTGTCTCAAAAATTATGTTCAGTGAAAATATAGTGTAGATGAAACACAATATTTCCACATATGCTACATTACTGCTTGATGACACATGTTTAGCTATATCTGTAACGAGTCTGAAAGTGAAATATGAGGGTTGATTCAAAAGTTCTGCACTCGTAATGTTGTCTTAATTCCAGGGAATAATCATGAGAATGACGGCAAATATAAAGCAGTGAAACAATTCATCGATAAGATACCATTGGATATTCTTGCCTCCGCCTCGTTCAACTGCCAGGCATATACGCGATCTTTGATGTACTTCGAACAATTTATCAATATGAAGAAGGAAAATATACACCAACATTTGGATTTCTTTCAGGTAAAACTTTGGTTTCATCAAGTTTTTAATTTCCGTTTACATGTATTTAGGGGTTATATGATGAGTACATACATATTTGAATACAATTTTATTTTGAGACAGTGCAGAATCAGGTGAGTTATACATGTCCTTTATAACATACCTATGATGATGTATAGTGTAAACTGTTCACAAGAATATAACTTTTGAAAAGCCTGTGCCCGCTAACTTTCTGATTGGTCAAGCGCTGGGACTACGTCATACATTAGGCCTAGGTCAAATTGACTCGTACATTTGTAAGATACAAACATGGGAATAAATCATCATTTCCGAACCATTGCTAGTCAATTAGATAAGAAAACGGTACTCTCTGACCAGACTAGATCATCATAGGTATGTTATAAATCGTTTATGTCACTATAGTTGCACATATGCCCTCGGTTCTCAGTGATCAATGTCCCTCCCAAGGTCGGGCCATATATCACTGAAACCCTCGGGCATATATGCAACGATGGTGACATAACCTCTAAATATATTCAGCTTTCTTCTATTACTTGTACCATGACAACCTATGAAATAATGTTTCATTTCTGTCAGAGTCATCCTCCTAAGCAGGTATCCAGAATCCATACCTCCTTCTTCCTGCTATAACCAATTTGGAAGTGCCCGATTAAACTGAATCACGTGATCTAATTATGCACAATGACTTATACATGATTTCTGTCGCAGTTTTGCAACAGCCAATCAGATTGCGAGTTCTTAATCGAGAAAATGCTAACTGCTTATAGCCTTATGGCAGGGGCTAAAGAGGAAAAGTATATTCTGGATTTTGAAGCCCTGTGATCGGACAGGGCCGTCAGATGGGGGGGGGGGGGTGCGATGGGTGCGACCGCACCCCCCTCCCCTTTGTCACCCCCCAAAATAAATTTGAAAAAAAATATTTTGAAAAATATTTTTTTTGTAATTTTTTTTTCATTGACTCATACACTTTGAAAGTACCCAGAAAGCACCAAATAGCATCTTAAAATTGTAAAATTTTCTAGGGGTATTGGCCACCCCTCACACCCCCCACAAAACAATGGAAAAGTTCTAAATTTATTTTAGAGTTTTGTCTCAGACACTTTTAAAGTGCCCAGATATCATCAAATAGCTCCTTGATATAGTTAGTGTTTCTGGGGGACTTACTCCCCCTCTTGCATCTTGCACTTGCATACCCCCCCCTCTGGCGCCCCCCCCCCCCCCCCAAAAAAATGTGATTTTCTCAAATTCTTTAATTGACTCATACACTTTGAAAGTGCCCAGAAAGCACCAAATAGCGTCGTCAAATTGTACAATTTTCTAGGGGGAGTGGGCCACCCCTCACACCCCAAACAAAACAATGGAAATATTTTTGGATTTTTTTTATGTATTGTCTCAGACACTTTTAAATTGCCCAGACATCATCAAATAGCTCCTTGATAAAGGTAATGATTCTGGAAGACTAACACTTACTCGCCCCCTGGCATCCCGACTCCACCTCCCCCTCTGGCAGCCCCTCTCCCTTAACACCCCCCCCCCTCCCCCCCCAAAAAAAGATTTTTGAAATTTTTTTATTGACTCATACTCTTTGAAAGTGCCCAGAAAGCACCAAATAGCATCTTGAAATTATAAATTTTCTTGGGAAATAGGCACTTTTAGGCACAGACACTTTTAAAGTGCCCAAACCTCATAGAATAGCACCTTGATATTGTAAATTTTGATATGGGGGACAAACACTTGCTCCCCCTCTGGCACCCCAGCCCCACCTCCCCCTCTGGCACCCCTCCCCCCTTTGACACCCCCAAAATTTGAAACCGCACCCCCCTTTGAGAAAAGTGTCTTACGGGCCTGTCGGAGGATGTCAAAATGTATACAATCGTCAGTTATGTGACTACATTTGTCATATGGAATATATCTTTATTATTTGGCTAATTAATAAACTGTTCAGGCTTATTTGATAGTGAATTTTAATAACCTCTATGTATATACATGTACCATTTCTTTGGATAAGTTGTAATGGTAGGCCTTTGTGCCTGATATGCTAAATACTTAATTAAAATTATATTGGTATTAAGTTTTAAAAATTGGCACCACAATTAATGCTTTAACTCAAAATATTCTCAAACTTTTGAATATCTTTGCAGAAATTGTATATAGCTATGGATGAGCCAGATGGTGTTGCAAGTGTGATTGCAATAAGAGAGGATCAACCAACCCTAACTGAACAGATACTAGCTCATGAAAGTATTGGTAAGTTGTAATGCCCTCCAAAGTGACATTTAGCTAATATACATGTATTAAGGGATCATGTCCATTTATCAACCTTGCGGGAAAAGGAATTTAATTTTGTTATGGCCCCCTCCCCTCATCTATTGAAATTTTGAAATGTTGTTTTGTCTTTCACTTGAATATTAAAAATCAACACTATTCGCTAACGACAACATCATTTGCCCCTCCCCATAAGAAATTAACTTTGTTTACAGGGTGGTCCAAAAAAAGTGAACCCCTGCAACAGGCTATATTTTTCATAATACATGCATGAATTTGCTCAAATTTTCACATCTTGTAGAGAAAGGTCTAAAATTTTTGTTGACACCATAATTTATTCTCAGTCTTGAATTTCTAAGAAATTACAAGACTTAAACAAACATGCCTCAAATTAGATTTTGTGCAAAATTTTACCGATGTGATTGACGGAAATTGTTGATACACATAGGATGATCTTGAAAAAGCTTTCAGTGAGAGATTATAAGTTCAAACCCTACCATATGACAAATGGGACACTATTTGATCAGAAAACACATTTCACACTTTTATTGATCATTTTGAAGCTGTTTTAACCATTCAACAGTTTAGAGGCATGTTACCTACACAAACGGGTAGAGGGGGGCAAAGTTACCCCTTGTGACCCAAAATCTGAGAAGCCCTTCTTATAAAATCTTACAAAGGGAAAGGAAATCTAATATTCAGTGTTTTGAGCCATATTTCATTAGAATTGGTCCATGATTAATGAAGATATTGACATGTTAAGACCATATAGGGTTATGTTGCGATTTCACTAGAAGATGTTCTTGTCTTTGGAAACATTGAACATTTCTTTTGATCACAATAACTTTGCAACTAACAGAGGTAGGATGCTAATTTTTACATCATATTTTGTGGGATTCAAAACCAAACAAAGTCAGAAAACATTAGGTTTGCCAGATTCCGGCTTAAAAGATTTCCATGGGAAGATTGTTGAAGGGTTGAAGAATCGCAGATATTGAAGTTCACATTTTACCCATTTTCAGTGATGTTTCGTTAGGGCTTATAATTTCTGGAAATTTCAATACTAAGAAAAATATATAGTACCAACAAAAATTTTAGACCTTCCTCTACAACATGTGAAACTATGAAAGGATATCCCTCACCAAAAATGTCTCTATCTCTACCAGGAATCACTAGTATTCCTGCAGGTAATAAGGGAAATATAGTCGGTTGCAACGGTTCACTTTTTTTTGGACCACCCTGTATATTCCACAACTGTTGATAATAGACACCATTTCTAAGTATCAGGCCTTATTCAATGGTAAAAAATATGTAGCTGTTTGCACCATATTAGATTCAGTGATCTCCCCAGCATTAAAGTAAGTGGGCGCAGCACCCACCTGAGATTTTGAAAATAGGCTTGCACTTACCTGAAAATCCATTTACAGCCACTTGAAAATGAGAGAAATCGTGAAAAATTGGCATATTTTGACCAATTATGGTCTGAATTGTGAAAATGATGCACCCACCTGAAAAAAAATACTGGGGAGATCACTGTATCCTGTAATTCCTTGCGTTGGATACAGAATCTATTGTACTTGTACGAGGGGTGATCAATAAGTAATGGACGCTTTTTTACACAGATACTTTTTATAGACCAATCCCTTTGATTTTCCTACCAGTTATACACCATTCAATTATCTATCAATTCTGAAGATTTGAAGACAAAAGATATAATACATATTGATATATCCCTATTTTCACGAAGAAGGTACAGGTACCCCGGGACCGACATTTACGTCACATATTCAGTTTTTAGCCAGTTTGGTAAATTTCAGTTAGATTTGAACGTTTTATATGCAACAAGTGCTGTGTTGTTTAAAATTTTTTGCTGACTGGTAACATTATAAACAGAAATATTGTAATGTCAGAGAGTTGTATGGAAGGGGTTTGCAGGTCAATTTGAGAAAGCATTGTGGAAGAAGGGGTTGGTGAGAGAAGGGAACACCCTACTCCATATGGACAATGCACCTGCCCACAGATCTCAAAATGTTCAGAAAACAATATCCCAGGACCTCAAAATTGAGCCCTTGGCCAATGCACCATATTGTCCAGATCTGCTCACATGTGACTTGTATTTCTATACTACTTATTTCTATAATGAAAGGACGCAGGTTTATTGACATTGATGAAATAAAACAACCCATGCAACTGCATCTTGCTACCATGTCAGATAATGGATTCAGCCTTGTCTCACAATCTTGAGTTAAGAAGATGAGGAATTGTGTACATGTAGCACTTAATGGAACCTATTTAGAGGGCCCTGTGGAGTGAATGTGGCATGAATACCACATAGTGATGATAAAATATTCAAAATCAACTATGGCATAACAAAATGGGGTCATGACCATAATATGGTTTGTTTTGTTCAGCCTGCATTCAACTGCATTGCATGTTAAACAATCTAAAATAGCTTCAGAATATGTGACGTAAATGTCAGTCCCGGGGTACCTGTACCTCCTTAACGGAAATAAGGATATATCAACATGTAATATATATATTGTCTTCAAATCTTCAGAGTTGATAGATAATTGAATGATGTATCACTGGTAAGAAAATCGAAGGGATTGGTCTATAAAAAGCATCTGTGTAAAAAAGCGTCCATTACTTATTGATCACCCTTCGTACACTGTGACGTCACCTCATGCTATTTTGAATATGTACAGCATACAGTAATTGTATAATGAGCCAATTATTTTATTTTCATTGCTTATTTTGATAGTGATAAAATGAGATTTGGAAATATGAGAACATAATGCAAAATTACCATCTATATATATTACATAAATTACATATGTTATGATAGTGGAACCTGTGAAAGTGGAACACCTTTGGTACCTTAAAACAGTGTTCCACTTATAAACTTACAGTATGAAAAGTGTTGTATGTATATCTTTTTTGTTGATATTCCACTTCCTATAGTTGTTCTATTTACTCTATTAGATTCTGAGGCATTTCCTCATTTTCATCAATGTTCTGATACAGAAAGGGAGTATCCTCTTCGCCTCTGAACCTAGGATTCCCTAGAGCATCCCTCAACTTCCTATAGTTGTTCTATTTACTCTATTAGATTCTGAGGCATTTCCTCATTTTCATCAATGTTCTGATACAGAAAGGGAGTATCCTCTTCTCCTCTGAACCTAGGATTCCCTAGAGCATCCCTCAACTTCCTCCAGAACAGCAATTTTCTGTCCTCTTCTTCGGTCCACTCTAGATACACCCTCGTGTCCAACAGGGACCGCAGGGTGGGAGATATCAGCTCTTTTGGAAGTAATTCCACTGGCTCTTTGAGAATCAAGATCAAGCAATCACGTCCCCTTGTTGCCAACTCACCTCTTGCCAGATTCATTTCAAATTTACACCAGCCACTTCTAAGGAAATTTTGGCTGATAACCAGTATGATTTTGTTGCTCTTGCTTATACACTCAACAATGATGTCAGATAAATATGATCCAGGTCTGAAGTTGTGGTCATCCACGCAAATGTTATATCCATACTGAGTTGCTAAATGCCCATAGATGTTATTAATAGCCCAGGTCTTGTCCAAAGAACTATAGCTCAGGAAACCATCAAAGTCATAGTCTATGTCTTGTAACTGATTGCGTCTCAGTAAAGCTCTTAGGTGTAAGGCTATGTATATAATCTTATACCTTCGCTTATATCCATAGATGACAATTCCAACGATCACTAGAACGAATCCCACTGATATCCCAGATGCCATAATTGCACTCTTCCAACATTCAAACTTCATATAAGATAGGTCCAAGTGTGTGAATTTGACCTGTGATCCATTTATGTACTGGCACGACAAATTAGTCCCTTCGTAAATAATATTTTGATGATCCTTCACCCAGTTTATGAATGAGATTGCGTCACAGTTACACATAAATGGGTTGCCATTAAGGTCCACAGTAAAATTGCCATTAGATGTCTCATACGCAGAGTTAATGTTATTTCGTGCAGATTCACCAAGTCTTTGGATAATGTTCTTGGACAAATTCAGCAATTTCAGTGAAGTTTGTGTTTTTAAGTCTATATTAAGATCAACCAATTTATTTCCACTTAAGTTCACAATCTCTATGGAAGATGTGTCCTTCAAGATGTTAAAAGGAACATAAGCCAGGTTATTGTACGATATGTCGATATGAATTAACTTTGAACAGTTCTCAAACAGGGTAAAATTCGAGCTTGAATTAGACAGCAAGATTCTGTTGTTGGCTAAATCTAGAACTTGTAAACTTTCGAAATAGCCACTTGCACATGTGAAGAATTCAGGTACAATTCTGCAATCATTGTTATTGTAAATGAAATGCTGCAGATGTACCAGTCCTTTAAGCGGACCTCCAAAGTTAGTTACTAGGTAACTGCTCGTAGCAATTAAAACTTTGAGTTTGTTGTTACTTTGGAAATGAAAGGAACAAGGGATTGATGCAGGTCTTTGGCTAATAGGAGTTAATCTTAAATTGAGTTCTTCAAGTCCCATTGGCAGAGGCCATTCTATATCAATGCAATCATCAATGTGTGGATTGTTTAGGTCCAGAATGGCCCGTCTTTCAGATTCATCAAATCGGATAACTCTTAAATGAACCAGTTTTAATAATTGAATAGCAAAGTTCAGATTAGAAGTAGGGTAAATCTGAGCTATCATATTTCTTGATAAATCAAGTATTTCCAGTTTTGGAAGATGGTTTAAAAAACCTGTTTCTATTGCAGAGATCTGATTGTGTGGCAAATGCAGTTCTTTCAGCTGACAGTTTTTAAAATATGTGAAATGCTTTTCTTTCAATATGAATGGGAATATGACTTGTTTATAAGTTATTTTCTCAATGGTAGAATTCTGTAGTCCTTCAAATGCATTTAGCCAAGCATCTCTCTCAATCTCATTGCCTTTGAAATTTCCACCTTCCCCATTCACATCAATGATTTGTATCTCCTTTAATGGTTTAAGCAGCAATGGATGCATAATACTTCCTCTTTTCCATGTAATGTGAAGATTAAGCAGTTTTCCAAGTCCTTGAAATGTATACTGACCAGTGGTCGACAACTTGTTTTCTCGCATGTCCAAAGTCTGTAAGTTTTTATAATAACGACCCAGGAGAAAATCTGGGAGAGCTGTTATATAATTGTCATATAAGTTCAATGTTGTTATATTTTGTGGCAGATCCAAAGGTAGTGATTCGATCTTCCTAGAACTACAATCGGCAGTCAACAAACTACACTTACACTTCTGACATGATTGATCAATTGTTTTAGCAACATCACTTCTTCCATTATATATGTTCTGGTTGAACCCTCCAATTTCTTGTTTATTTACTTCTCCATGTACAGTTAAATTGAAACCCATACTGAGAAATAATATCAAAATGAAGCTTTCCATTTTGTTGGGTTTATTCTATCTACCAGTATTCACTTATTTTGTGTTGTCTGCTAGATGAAAATGTTCTCCCTGTATGCACACGGAAGTTATTTGCTAATATTTTTTATCCTATATTGAAACGAAGAAGTCATGAAATAGTGCTATTTCACTTTCGGTTTTAGTAATTTTTCAAAAGAATGTTAGCATTTGTTAATACATTTTATCCTATATTGAAACTTGAAACAAGGAAGTCATGAAATACTGTTATTTCAGTTTCAGTTTTAGTAATTTTTCAAAAAAAACGTTAGCCATAAGCATGCCTGGTGATCTGAAAAATGGAATAATCTGCAAAAAATGCAAATTCTCATAGAAAACTCAACAAATCTTGAAGATTTATTTTTTCAAGTAAAAGCTACTTGTTGAATTGCTAAATGAATAGGTGCATGGTATGGTGAAAAATGTGAGATATTCTTTGAATTTTTTTGAACTGATACACTTTTTTTCATGTTCATTTCATTTATTTATTTTCAAACATCTGGTGAAAAATACAGATAAGGTGGATGACATCCTAGTGGGCATATTATCCACACTTTTAAAATATAAGATCTATAAAAAAAAAGTGCAGTGACATCAAGGGCCAAAAGCTGATGCTTTTGCCAGAAATCAAGCAACAATGGTCTACATGACCTGTTACAAATACTTGTAAGTGACATTATCATCACAAAATTAATGTAATTGCTGACTTTATAAAATAGTTTTGCCATACTGTGCGCCTATTCATTCAGCAATTTAACAATGAAAAAATGAATCTCTCAGAATTGAATTCTTTAGCAAGAATTGTCTGCTCCCCTCTCCATCCCATTTTACTGATCACCGGGCTTCAAGACAAGTTAGTTACTTAGGGGAGTTGTAATTTCTAGAGATAAAATTTCTAGGATCTCTAGAAAAGGGACAATACAGTAATTCTTGCATAGTGACATTTTTGTTTTTTGAAACCAGAAGAGTCTTGTCCATTCAGAAACCCCTACTGAACAGAATATAACTTTTACGAACTTAAGATATACCTATTTGGAGAAATGATGACACTAAGAAAATCATAAAATATAGCATTTTAAAATAAGATTCTAAAAACTGAAAAAAAATATTATTCTGCATTCCAAATGCATTTGTTTATTGTTGCAAGTAATAATGCAACATTCCAAATGCATTTTTCATTGTTGCAAGTAATAATGCAACATTCCAAATGCATTTGTTCATTGTTCCAAGTAATAATGCAACATTCCAAATGCATTTGTTTATTGTTGCAAGTAATAATGCAACATTCCAAATGCATTTGTTCATTGTTCCAAGTAATAATGCAACATTCCAAATGCATTTGTTCATTGTTGCAAGTAATAATGCAACATTCCAAATGCATCTGTTCATTGTTCCAAGTAATAATGCAACATTCCAAATGCATTTGTTCATTGTTCCAAGCAATAATGCAACATTCCAAATGCATTTGTTCATTGTTGCAAGTTATAATGCAACATTCCAAATGCATTTGTTCATTGTTCCAAGTAAATATGCAACATTCCAAATGCATTTGTTCATAGTTCCAAGTAATAATGCAACATTCCAAATGCATTTGTTCAATGTTTCAAGTAATAATGCAACATTCCAAATGGTTGTTACTTCACCGTGCCACCACTCCTAGGGGGCGTGACGGCTGGGGATGATAGATTTACTGGGGCATTATGTTTTCTGTGCTTTACACAAAGCTATGAGAGAGCCATACAAGACAATAACTGTATCACATTACCAGCATCTCTTGATTGTGAGATGGTTTCACTCAATTGATTATGTTTTAGGTCAACTAAGAGATGCCTCTGCCTGCTATTTTAACTGTATATCTCATTACCAGCATCTCATGGATATGAAAATGTTTCACTCAATTGATTATATTTTAGGTCAACTAAGAGATGCCTCTGGTTGCTATGAGAGAGCCATACAACAAAACAATAACTGTATATCACATTACCAGCATCTCTTGAATATGATATGGTTTCAGTCAATTGATTATGTTTTAGGTCAACTAAGAGATGCCTCTGCCTGCTATGAGAGAGCCATACAACAAGACAATAACTGTATATCACATTACCAGCATCTCATTGATATGAAAATGTTTCACTCAATTGATTATATTTTAGGTCAACTAAGAGATGCCTCTGGTTGCTATGAGAGAGCCATACAACAAGACAATAACTGTATATCACATTACCAGCATCTCATGGGTGTGAAAATGTTTCACTCAATTGATAATGTTTTAGGTCAACTAAGAGATGCCTCTGCCTGCTATGAGAGAGCCATACAACAAGACAATAACTGTATATCTCATTACCAGCATCTCTTGAATGTTAGATGGTTTCACTCAATTGATTATATTTTAGGTCAACTAAGAGATGCCTCTGCTTGCTATGAGAGAGCCATACAACAAGACAATAACTGTATATCACATTACCAGCATCTCATGGATATGAAAATGTTTCACTCAATTGATTATGTTTTAGGTCAACTGAGAGATGCCTCTGCTTGCTATGAGAGAGCCATACAACAAGACAATAACTGTATATCACATTACCAGCATCTCATGGATATGAAAATGTTTCACTCAATTGATTATATTTTAGGTCAACTAAGAGATGCCTCTGCTTGCTATGAGAGAGCCATACAACATGACAATAACTGTATATCGCATTACCAGCATCTCTTGAATGTGAGATGGTTTCACTCAATTGATTATATTTTAGGTCAACTAAGAGATGCCTCTGCTTGCTATGAAAGAGCCATACAACAAGACAATAACTGTATATCACATTACCAGCATCTCTTGAATATGATATGATTTCACTCAATTGATTATATTTTAGGTCAACTAAGAGATGCCTCTGCTTGCTATGAGAGAGCCATACAACAAGACAATAACTGTATATCACATTATGAAGGTCTCATAAAATGTCAGATGGAACTTGGCCAATTTGAGACAGCGGCATGCCAGGTAGATGGAATTCTCACAAAAAAGTGAGTAAATCATTTCGCAAATATTATGGGGTTAATTTTAAATGCTAATAGGTGTGACAGAGTGGACAATTGAATGAACTCTTGTGAATTAAGACATACAGTAAAACCTGTGTAAATGGAATGACTTTGCAGGGGTTGGTCTGAAAATTATTAGGTGGGGGCCAGGGTGGTGGATTTCAAGTCAAAAAAGGGAAACATTTTGGGCCCCTAAAATCAAAAATTGCCAGTGATTTGATACCTGTTTTAACACTTATTAACATTATAAGTTTTTTGTATGTTATACTTTTGTATTATTACTTTATTTTACATTCCATGTTATTTTTTATTCAAATTTTCTTTTTTATAAGAATACCTTTGAAAGCTAAAATATATTGATACACTTTCTCCCTAGAATATTTTGCCTGTGTAAAAATTAGTAAGAATATAAGAATTTCAATTGATATTTTGGCAAAGAATACCTGTCTTGTACTACACGGGCATATATCCAATCTGGTCACCAGTGTTATGCAGTATTTCTCCATTTGATCGCTTCATGATATTTTCCCAAAAAATGCTTTTTTTTTTTTTTTTTATTAAAATTTTTATTCCAAAAAATATAACATATGAACATATAATACATTAAAAATATATATACAATACAAGTACAGAAAAACACTTAACTTCTTATAAAGTATTACAAAAACTTACTTCTTATAAAATATTACAAATTCTTTTTAACATATCAAAATCTATATTGAATTTATTTAGTAGAAATACACTGTTGTAGGATAAAAGGTCTGATAAAACTTGCTGTCTAAAATTAATTTGTCTCAAGACATCTGGCTTTTCATTAAGGTTTGTCCATTTTTTATATATTGAATTTGCAATAATACTTAAAATAATATTTCTGTTTCTAGTTTTTCTGTCTATTATGTTAAAACCAACAACAATGTGTTTCCATTGAACATTAAAATTCAAAATATCTCCAACATCTTCCCAAATATTTCTAACCTTCTGGCAATCAAAAATAAGATGTTTCGCAGTGTGATTTTCATTACAAAAAATGCAGGTTGAACTTATATTTCTGTTCCATTTACTAATCATGTATCCACAGTATAAACAATTATGAAGAATTTTAAAATTAAAATCAGAAATTTTTTTACATGGCATTTCTTTTATTTTTTGCCTGTACAGTAAAACCTGTCTTAGTGAACACCTCTCTCTAGTGAACACCTGTCCCTAGTGGACACCCTTCCTACGCACATAGTCCACTGACTTCTGTATAAATTACCCTCTCTCTAGTGAACACCTACCTACAGTGAACGTTTTTTCTTGGCAAAAAAATGTTCACTGTACACAAGTTTTACTGTATATGATTTTGAAATAATTATTTGTATTTTCAAAATTGAACATTGTACTCCAAACATTTTCTAAATTTGATCTCTCGAACTGTTTATTTCTTAATATATTGTAGAAAAACTTTGACTTTTTTCCTTCTAATTTTTCATATTTTCCATTTACTGTAAAATCACATTTATAAAATATATTAGTGAATTGAGCTCTATTTGTCTGTATATTTTTCATTGCCATTTTGATAGTACTTCTAATTATCATATATTCTTTAATCCAATTTCTTTTGTCATTCAACTTGTCAAAAACATACTTTTCACTAATAAAAATCCCTTTATCATCAAAAAAATCTTTCAGATATATAAATCCTGACTTAATCCAGTTTTTATAGAAAAGGATATCTTTTTTCCATTTTAAATTGTTGTTAAACCAAACAATGTCACCAAATGAGTGTTTTGATAATTCAATCTTATCTTTGCATTTATTGAAACATGAAAATATTTCCTTATAAAATTGAGAGTTTTTTAAAAAATCAAAATGTTCAACTGAGTTTGTTTTTATGATATCTTTTATTTCAAAACCCATGTCTCTGATATACTCTTCAGGGATATTTTTCCATGCGGTTTTTGAAAATCCCAAAAAATGCTAAGTTTTTTCAGTTCTCATTTTGTTTATAATCTCTATTCCAACTGTTATTTTTCATGTGACCAATGTTCATGGTCATCGTGATAATTTTATAGTATGTTAGTTGATATCATATATGCATATAATGTCAGACTGAGATTGTGTTACAGCCATTTTGTTTGAACCATTTACACAAATCCCCATAGGATTCTTAATTCCATCATTTGAGTCTAAGACAACACCAAGAAATCCACCATCTTTGTCAAATTTCTGGATCCTGTCGTTACCCATATCAGCCACATAGATATTCCCTATGTTATCTGTACAGACTCCTTGAGGAGTGGAAAATTCCCCTGGGTTTTTTCCCTCTCTGCCAACATGGGAACGGAAATTTCCGTCATGGTCTAGAATTTTGATCCCTGAGTTTTGGTGTTCTTCAATGACTATAATTGAGCCATTTGCTCCACATGCAACATAACTTGGATCATCAAATAATAATTCTCCTCGATGTTGATCAATGGTCGTTACCTGTTTTTCACTTTCTATGTCATGCACTTGGACTTTTCCATTGTTTTTGTCGAGTATAATAAGGCGGTTTAGGGAAGCGTTATATGCTATTCCCATTGGTGCATAATCCAATTTTATACTCTCCATTGCTCGACTGACATTCGTATCAAAAAATTGAATAGATTTTCCTGATTCATCAGCCACAACTATTTTTGCGGCTTTAGCACAGTGATTGACAGTTGTGCGAATAGATGACTTAGAACTTGGTATGTTTGTTATTCGAACAGGATTCAGAAATTGAGAGTTTGCCCGATTTGGTCGCATTGTGTAAAGCCTTGGATTCCACTTCTGGAAAGCATTGCCATTTGAATCATGGAAGGTAATTGCGTAGAAAAGTCGAACCATTTTGTTGGAATGATCAACTACCGCCAGTTCAGAGTCTGATATAAACGTTATGTCAGATAAATAACTTACTGGATTAATGGTGTCGTATTTTCGTTCATAATCGCTCACTGCTGGTATCTGACATAATAGTTTTCCATATTGTATTTCTGTTTCATCAGATGCATTCATCGAACTCCTTGATGCATAATCATCTTCTATGTTGTCATACATTGGGTTCATTGTCCGCAGTGAGTTTTTATAACTATTTGAGGGGTCTCCATATGTAACCAAGGGTTCTTTTTGGCCCTGTAATAAATGTAATTCATAATCCATGTATCCCTGGGCAGAGTCCTGTTCGACTGTTTCCATACTCTCTTCAGAGTCATACTTGAGGTTATCCTTTGATGACGATTTCTGGCGAAGGATTTCATTGGCTAATTTATTCGGTTTAATCAGCCCAGTCGCGACTGATCTTGTCCAGTTTTGCTCCTCCACGGTACTAGTTGATCTCTGAGTTGTCCTGCTGGAAAGACTCGATTCATTTGAGTTTGATTTAGTTGTGTGTTGTGTAACATCTGATGTTGTAGTCAGAGCACTTGGAATGTGGTATCCAGATGAGGGAGGAACACTCCCAGCATTCTCTTTGTTGCATTGTGGACATGTTTTGTTACTCTTGTTACTGCCAATACCTGGAATCAACAAAATTTGATCAAGGTTAATTTCAAAGGATGAATATCTATAGATTAGTATTAGACACACCTTAAATACATTCCATACTTATTTTATTCAAAGGTCTGGCCAGTAGCCAGGGGTTTGGGGTTGGTGGTGTTTGAGCGCCCCCCCCCCCCATGGCCAAAAAGATTTTCAAATTCATGCAGTTTTTCACCATTCTGAGGATATTTCAATTGATTTTGGGCTCAGTTCTCAAATGTGAATCCCCAAGAATTTTTTGAAAAGTAAACCTCCCTTGGCAAAAGGTACATATAGCTACGGGCTATACTATAAATGATATGAATACATTTACATGAACTTTATTTTCCTAAAAGGTCTCAAATTATATTTGCTCACCTTTTTGATGCTGTTTCAAACACTTATGACAAATAATGTGACCACAAAGGGGTTCTTCAATGTATCGTTTACCATCCAGCTTCTCTAGGCATACACCACACCACGATATGTTATACTCTGAAACAGGCACTTGAGGACTGCTCCCATTTGTTAAGGCACCATCTACATCATCCATCATTATCCAATTCTCAGGTTTTCTACCGTTAGTAATATCTTTGTTTTCCGCAACAAGATTTGAATACACAACTGAAGGATCGGATTCGTAATCACTGTTAATGTTCAGTAATCTTACATCTGTTTGGAATTTCGTTGGTTGGTTGAACATTCGTGTGCTCTTCTTTTTTGAGTATAAGGGTCCTGTTATGGGAAGGGCTACATTGGGTTCAATTAGAGGTAGATCTGTTGGAGATTGGTCATTATCAGTGTTGGTTTCTTGACATATGGGACAGTCGCTGTCGCCATCTGCACTTCTGGGGGAATCTGAAATCAAAAAATAAAGAATTCTTGGTTTTCAACAGACATGATTATGTTTAGAAGGGAAGGGTCAAATTCTATAAATTTTGTTGCTTATGCATAAAAGTGAATCTTTAAATCAGTAAAAACTAGTATTCAATTTTTGAGTAAGAGGGAGGGGGTCAATGTGAAATATAATGCATTATGTTTTGGTACTTGTTTCTTAAAAGCTTTTATCCCATACTTGGACGTGTTACAGGTACATAAAGCAAGTTTGTAAAAACTTAAATTTTCATCAGTGGGCAGATATAGCTTTACGTCCCGCTCCGAGCGGGCAGATATAGTATATCTGCCCGCTACATCATAATCGCCACTCGCATATTTGTTCATAATTTTGTAACGTTCGCGTAATGACTGTAAACGACAATGGAGAAAACACAATCGGGATCTGTTTGATGGTTTAAAAAAGGGAAGGAGCATACACGTAATCAATCAAAAATTCGAGAAAATAAATGTGGGAATATTTGAGAGAACAGGAAGATCCACCCAAGGCCAAGAAAACAAAACTGGACATGAATATTCTAAAATATTTCCACGATTGAACAATGTGAACCAGATGAACAAGATTGGTACGGGCAAATATATTATATTGGCCTCGGGATAATCCCAATATCCTGAACCTCATAATCTCTATTTTTATAATTTTTTATTATTAAATACACCTATCATCGGCTGTATCATTGTGTATCGTTATTGACATTATCACAATTTTATTTTTGTTTGCAAGTTTTTTAAGTTTCATAAGGATTTTGAAAAATACAAAATTGAATATTGAGTCTGTTCTCCACAACATTATGTTGAAATTATTACGTTGTCCCTTGTAAAATTCATTGGATATTGTCTGTAGATCAACCAGTGGTTTTTATGTCACACATGTGCCATGCTTTCCTCATGTTATGCCATTACCCATGCTGTTAGTGGTCAATGTATGAAAATATGTATCTAGCAGAGGATGATGAACATGAGGGGTAAACACAATTTGAAAATGAAAGAAAATCAGAAAATAGAACATTTCTGTCCTGACAAAAGAAAATGAAAATGGAATAGAGAATCAATGCCAAAATGTTGAAAAACTCAAGCTGTACCCCTTACTCGTTACGCAAGAGAAAAAAACGTAAGTTATGTACGAAACAGAGTAGATAGACAAGAAAATGAAATCAGAATGACCAAAGATATACATGCATGCAGACATTCATAAATACATGTAACTATTTGATCACAATAATGAAGAAATTTGAGAGTGAATGATGAAAACAAAGTATTTTAAGCTATTTGATTAATCCATCCATGCAACCAGAATATCAAAAGTTTTACCTTTCTTTCTAGATAGCCAGCTTTTTCCTATTCAAAGGAGTAAAGTTAGTATATGTTGTTTGTATGAATTTATATGAATTAAGAATCCACCCCTTTCTAAATCTAGTTTGTAAAACACATGACTAAAATTATACATCTCTTTAGATAACATAAGTAGCTCTAAGTTCCCACTCATAAGATTCCTTGAATTTTCAAAAAATATATTCCTAAAAATTTTAAAATGAAATAAAGTTGTACTTAAAGGATATTTTTGTTGAAAAAGAAGTGTTTCTTTTCATTACTATGTATTTTTTTAAATATACAGAAATTAGTTTCTACTAAGCCTGAAATTATTTTCAAGGGACATATATTTTCTATTTACGCTTATTCCTGCTCAGTGCCATCTTTATTTGAGAAAGTTAAAATATTCCTGAAGTTCTTGCAATTTAGAGTATATTTTCCCAACTTGCTTGTTCCAAATTTCACTTTTTGCAATTTAAAACATATATTTTTGTGAGAGAAAAATATACTTGACAAGAATATTGTAGAGGGTACATATATATACTTGACTTGTTTGATAAAACTCGTGCTTGAAATTTTAAACTGATCAAGCCTCTTTTGTGTTTTATCTACAAAATCTGTTTGGTCATTATTACTTTTTTGCATTTTTATATAATTTAGAGTCCCAACTTCATGCCCGTGTACTTCATTTCTTATTGATTCTACTATTTAGTCTTCTACTTTGCATTTTAAAATATGACCATCATGATTTTTTTCAAAGGATGTTGCTAGCGTGTGCAGGTAATGAAAATCGAATCAAAGGTTTTAAATAAAATGTTTTGAATGTGTTAAAAAGTGCAGGTATTTTCTGGTGAAGAATGAAACCCCAAATTGAAAAATAAAAAATGAGACTGTATTTAGTAGAAACTTTCTTACCAGGCCTTATACAATAGAATATAACAATATAGCCTTGTATTATGTAGAATTGTATTGTATTTTGAGTTATTTTAAAGATTCTTCAGTGTCAAACATTATGGAAATTGATAATTTGCCAATTTTCATTGTAAAATAATTAAATGCATTTTTATTGGCCTTGCAAGGTCTAATGATGAGAAAAAAGATAAGTTATTTACAGTTTTAGGTCTCGAATCTTGAAATTCAACCCTCATTTACAATTTTCCTGTTTAAGACAGTAGGGAGTTTAAGCTTGCAATGTTTTTCACAACTTAACCAGAAAATATTCAAGTGATGCATTTGTATGGGTGATTGGTCATACATATGGGTTGGCGTTTCAATTTTATATGCAAGCTTAAACTCCCTAATATCACAAATTGGCTCTAAATTTTATAGAAATATATTTTGAAAAGTCTTGCTGATTCAATTCTTTCTCCGATCCTTACCTTTATGGCACTCTTTGACACACTCAAAGCACATATGATGTAGACAAGGCACGTAAACTTTAACTTTTCCTCCAATTATACGATCCATGCATCTGTTACACCAGTTTGTGTCGCGGATCGATGGATTGCGATTAAATCCAGTAGATTGGTCTTCAATACTGTTACCTTCCATTTTAAATGGTTGTTATCTGCAAAGACAGGAACAATAAATAAAAAATCATTGCCTTGAAATTGTGATTAGTCTTTTCAGTGTTATGTTGCAGACTATTAAATCCAGAGAGCATTAACTTAGGATTCTTTCTCTATATATGAAACATTTTATTTAATCAAGTTTTTGTGAGGCATTGCAACCTCACCAAAGTTTTGTAAAATATTATTTAATCAACATTTTTTCACTGATATTGAAAATGAAGTCATCATTTATGTGGAGTTATTATTGAACATGAAGTTATTATTGATATGAAGTCATCATTTTTATAAAGTCATCATTGAACATGAAGTTATCATCGATATTGAGTTGTCTTTGAACATAAAAGTACCATTGATATTAAGTCATCATTGACATAAAATTATCAGTTATATGAGGTCATCATTGATTTTGAGTCATCATTGAATGTCATCATAACATGAAATCATCATTTTTATAAAGTCATCATTGAACATGAAGTTATCATCGATATTGAGTTGTCTTTGAACATAAAAGTACCATTGATATTAAGTCATCATTGACATGAAATCATCATTGACATGAAATCATCATTTATATGAAGTCATCATTGATTTGAGTCATCATTGAACATGAAGTCATCATAAAAATGAATCATCATTGACATGAAATCATCATTAAACATGAAGTTATAATTGATATGAAGTCATTTTTGACACAAAGTCCCCATTGAAAACATTGAGAATGAAGTCATCATTTATATGAAATCATCATTGACACGAAGTCATCATTGAAAACACTTAGAATGAAGTCATCAATGATGAGACTCTCGAAACCCCATGCTGTATTCTGCAGTGTTTAACAGAAATTCACCTGTCATTCTGTCTGAAGATACTCATACTCAACTACCTTTAGCAAATTGCTTGAATAAAGTGACCACACATCTTTATCTCTTATAGTGTGGTCCATATTTCAAAACAGTCAAGGATTTTGATCAAGCTGCCTCAGATAGAGGACAGTTTCTATATATCATTGCCTATTTATTGTCTCTTCCTGTAAGTTAGCTGCCTCGCTTATCTGAACCTAGCTCACCTATTTTAGATTCTGACTACGCCTTTAATATCTGTGTAACAGTGTTATTGATTCTGTTTTGCATATTGATTGTATTAAACCATGGAAAGTTATTGTTGTATTATTCTATGTTGAATCAAATACATGTACTATCAATGGCTCTCTGTATTATTGTTCTGGAAATTAGTCCTCTCATAGGTCATGCTTATTAATGTGAAAATGAATGTCATAGAGAGGAATTAGCAAGGAATAAAGTATATAGGCTTGTAGTTAAGACTCTAAATTGTAGAGAAATGCAAGAAAATCAGGCTGTTCATTCAAATTTTAGAGAGAAAATGAGTGAAATAAGCATGAGCAGACGGATGTTTTCGACATGAAGTTTTATATTCTGTCAATTGATTCTATTGTCTGAATCATATGTCTTAGCTATATAGCACTTCTGTAGATTTGAATGGTTGTTATTCATTATGTACATTATCTGTATTATTTTCTGATCTTATTAGCAACAAGTTGCATTTTCCCATGGGATCGATCATATTCTAAAGTATCTTGATTCATGCCAATTGTGTTGCTTGCTTAGTTGTTTGTCTTGATTGCTTTGTTTGTTTGTTTGTCAAAATGAATTTTTACTCTTCACAAATGCAATTTCAAGAGTTCTGGCAAGCAAGGTATAATTCTTTCTCCTTTTTTTATTATTATTATGACATTTATGTTATCATCTTGTGCCAATGAACAGGGGCGGCTCAGCCAAGAAAACTGTTTATCCATTTAGATTTAAAATTCTACCTATGCAAAAGCAGATAAGCGCCAAGATCTGAACAGATTTTGAGCACATTTGGAAATTTAAAAAGAGGCCATTTTGAATTTCAAGTGAGATACTTAATGGTGTCTTCGTAATTAAGTAAAGGAATCTACAAGGAAATGTGTTTTCTATAGTTGCTTCATGTGATACACACTTGGCCTCTAAAAATCAATGAACACGATTACATGAATATAAATGTAGAGATCTCGTTTAATCTCAATAGTCGAAGTCATGAAATTGATATCCATTAACAATTTTTTTTTGTTTATTCAGCAATATTTTAATTTTTACATTTGTTTCCACAGACTAATTATCAAAAATGTCTCAGTTTTCTTGATACTAAATTTTTTAACCTGCTTATAACATCACAGATCTATGCAATACATTTATCAAAAGATATATATTCTAGTTTCCTCAGTTCACTGAATTGAGCCAGTAATTAATGAAAAACCTGAACTAAACTGTTTTCATTTAGGATTTTCCTATCTGTTACCTTAATAACTAAATTTAACGCATAATTCATATAGTGCACTGTACACATATAGCGTCTCTCCCTTCATCTATTTATTTTGAACTTATTTACTTTCTATACTTATTGATCACCCCTAGTGCTTACTGAAAAGTAAACTGAATTGCTGAATTGAAAGTTAGTTTTATATTACACTATTACAGTAAAATTAGCTATGTTCCTAAGTTCTATAAAAGTTAACATAACCTAAAATCAATTGAAATAATTTAAATGAGATGTAGCAATTGCTTTAATTGAAAGAATCAAGTACAGATTTTAGTACAGTCTTTGAAGTGTAGGTTTATGCCGTTGAATGTTTATGGTTTTGAATATTTATGGTATTGAATTGTTATGGTATTGCATGTTTATGGTTTTGAATATTTATGGTATTGAATTGTTATGGTATTGCATGTTTATGGTTTTGAATGTTTATGGTTTTGAATGATTATGGTATTGCATGTTTATGGTATTGAATATTTATGGCATTGCATGTTTATGGTTTTGAATATTTATGGTATTGAATTGTTATGGTATTGCATGTTTATGGTTTTGAATATTTATGGTATTGAATTGTTATGGTATTGCATGTTTATGGTTTCGAATGTTTATGGTTTTGAATGATTATGGTATTGCATGTTTATGGTATTGAATATTTATGGTATTGCATGTTTATGGTTTTGAATATTTATGGTATTGAATTGTTATGGTATTGCATGTTTATGGTTTTGAATATTTATGGTATTGAATTGTTATGGTATTGCATGTTTATGGTTTCGAATGTTTATGGTTTTGAATGATTATGGTATTGCATGTTTATGGTATTGAATATTTATGGTATTGAATATTTATGGTATTGCATGTTTATGGTTTTGAATATTTATGGTATTGAATTGTTATGGTATTGCATGTTTATGGTTTTGAATATTTATGGTATTGAATTGTTATGGTATTGCATGTTTATGGTTTTGAATATTTATGGTATTGAATTGTTATGGTATTGCATGTTTATGGTTTCGAATGTTTATGGTTTTGAATGATTATGGTATTGCATGTTTATGGTATTGAATATTTATGGTATTGAATTGTTATGGTATTGCATGTTTATGGTTTCGAATGTGTATGTTTTTGAATATTTATGGTATTGCATGTTTATGGTTTTGAATGTTTATGATATTGCATGTTTTTGGTATTGAATATTTATGGTGTTGATTGTTTATGGTTTTGAATGTTTATGGTATTGAAAGTTTATGGTGTTTGAAGTGTATGTGCTCAGAAGGGTTACTGTAGTCCTATATTATTGGAAACATATTTTCAGAAATATTTTTTATAATACCTCAGTTTTTCTCAAAATACTGATTATTTTCTACTTATTGTGTCATATTAAGGATTTCTCATACTAGGCGTGGTCAGCTATGAGACAGGAGCAAAAATCATGTTTCACAGAAATATAATCATTCTCGTTAGAAATATAATCTTCTCGTTAATTGGTTTATGTTGTTCCACACCTTTATTTATTTCCCTTACCTTGTTCACGAACCTTGCTTCACCCTTGGGTATGATATATCCCAAAACTAACTAAAACTAGTATGTTATATATTTTACTTCTATAGTATTACATGTATCATACTCATGTATATATAAAAGGACTGCACTTACCTTGCCTATGTTATCAGAAGTGTGATCCTACCTATCTAATGATACATGTAGTATATTGGATGTGTCTCTGTAAAGCATTGTAATCTTCAGTGTCTTGCGATATTGAATTGAACCCTTACAAAAAATGTTAAGCTTTATTTTGATTTTCTTGATATGTCAGAAAATGGAGGATTTTGCAAAGAATTTAGTGAATGTGGCCAAAGTGTATCCATGGAATTTTGTAAAAATCTGAACATTTGACAAATTTTATTCAAATTTTAAAGAGAAATGAGTGAAATAAGAATGAACAGAGTGATTGAATATTGTACTGCATGACAATTGATAAGTGCAATCAATATATGTTATATTGCTTATGTTTCTTCACTTGCCAATTGTTTTTTGCTTCTGCTAAACAATTCCATGTGTATCAGATATCTTGATATAATAGAATTATACAGCCTGGCATTTTTTTTATCATGTCAAAGCAGTTTCTTACAAAATGCAAGAAACATCGATTTTTTAGGTGATTTGAATGTATATATACTGAATAAATGTATAAGTAGCTTATAAATATAATAGGGTTATGGTATGACATATAAAAGTAGATCATGCATCTGCATTATGTTATTGTTCTTTTGCAATTGGTTAATTATGGCATCTAAGATGAAATCTGAGAATACGATTTTCTCATTTTCTTATAGCATAGAAATATATACAGTAAAATAAGAACACTTTTCATGACCTATTGACCTTATGTTTGATAAGCCTCTGTAAGTAGAACACCTCTCAAATTGAACACTTCAGAGGAACCAAATTTGTTACATTGAAACACTTTTTCTATATTTCTGTAACTCACCTGAGTTGGAAGTTAGTTCAGTGTCTCAAAGGTAAAACAAGGTAAATTGTATCAGTAACACTGAACCATGACAACTATGAAGATGAGCTTCAGTGTTCTATGTTTTGTGAACAATTTAATTCTTTCCTTATTGTCTCTCTTAATCCATGATAGCTCTATCGCTTAATTAATCACAATGAAGCGAATATTTACTGTTCTATCGCCAACATCTAGGTTTCATATACATGTACGCTGATATTTTTGCTGTTTCCCGTCTTTTAGCCTTCATTTGTTGAAAGTGATATTGGTTCGATATTTATTCATTAATGTACTCTTTGCTGATAAGTTGCAGGTAAACATTATATTTCTCTGTCAAAAAATAGCACTGTGGTCATGTTTTGTAATGGGAAATAGAGTGGAAAAGAATGGAATTAGCAAGAAATAAGATCAACAGGCATGATGTTAACACTCTAAATTGTATGGAAATGCAAGAAAATCAGACACTTTATTCAAATTTTAAAGAGAAATCAGTGGAATAAACATGAGCAGACAGACATATAAATAGGGTACTTACAGTGCAATGCAGCTTTTATTGATCCATTTAATCAATGGAAAAACCAGTATCTGTGAACAACTATTATAAAGGGAGTTCTATTTCAAGTGCATTGATTCACATGTGGACCATTAATTAACCAGCAGAATTATTGACATTGATATGGAAATAAATAAAATCCCTATTAAGTGATTCTCATGGCTTAAACCATAGTGCCATAGCAAAGGAAAACAAATTGTGCCACATCCCCAAATTCATACTCATATACCACATCCTAGTACCTGAATAAGTTCAGTGCAAATGTGACCAAGTTTAAACGGAATGATTTTTGCTATACTTTTAGACCATTATACATATCCACTACACTGGTTTTTGCATCTAAAAAGCTGCTGAGATCAAATTAATTGGTGACAGTAGGAGAGTATTCCATAAACAGTCCCCTTTAATATAAACAAGTTGCTTTAATGTTCACAAATCCCTTTAACATAAACAAGTCTCTTACATTAACATGTCTCTTTAACATAGACAGGTCTCCTTTACAATAGACAAGTCCCTTCAACATAGATCATTTAATATAGAAATATTCTCTTAATACTGACAAGTCCCTTTTACATTAACAAGTCTCTGTAACATAGACAAGTCCCTTCTATGTAGATCTTTTACATAGAAATATTCCTTTAAGAAGTCCCTTTAAGAAAAACAAGTCTTTTTAAGAGTTCATTCTGTAAGCCTATTTTGAAAATGAGTTATAGTCATCCTGTATACATGTATGTCTTACAATATTTTTTATTTTGTTGTATCGCCCAATCATGGTTTGGATTTTAGTGAACTTACTTCCTGGTACTGCATTAATAACAAGTAACTTTCTTAGGTGACATTATTTATAAGTTGCAGTTGCTGATCTGCCATTTGAATGCAAACTGTCATTATTTAATGCTACCTGATACACACAGTATAAAAATTGTTTATAAATGAAAAATTGAAAATATCAAAAACGACACTTACCATTTGTAATTTTGAAAGAGAAGGTAATGGCATAACCTAATACTGAATTTGAATACATGTACAGTGCTCTCCCCTGTACAAACTTTTAACTCTGCACTTTTTGTGCAATATTTCAGGTTTTTGAAATTTTTAGTGCATACTTTTAACAATTTGGAATTTTTCTTGCAACATTTTGAGGGTTTTTATGGAGGATTTTAGGGAACACATAGAAATATTGGAGGAGCATTTTTGTGAGATTTCAATGTGGAGACCTGAGATATAAATTACAATCTACAAAAACCTCATTTCATGTTCTTCTTTGTACATCATATCTATTGTATCTATTGCACTTGTTACACAAGAGGATCAATGTCTTATGTATAAATCGTATAATAGACTTGTTGCTTTTTCGAAATTATCTCTACTGTTTTTCTCAACCTCGAATGCAATGTCATACAATCTAATTTAGTATCTTAAAAGTTTAAGGAAATGCGAAATGCACAAAATTATTATGTGTAAAAACACTCAAATATCTTTAGTCTTAATATAATATACCCATTCTTTGAGACTTTAGAATTAAAAGAATGTTTTATATTTCTCACCTGAAATTATATTTGAAATAACGAACGTCCTTGTCCATTGATGTTCTTACTCTCTATGTTTATGTACCTATATTTCTGCGTGTGCGTACCTTTGGACTATTTTTATGTGCTTGTCCTATTTGTTTGTGATTCACCATGATGTCATCGTGACCTCTTTTCACTTTTAAAGTGTCCGTCTGCTCTTTTCTTTGTCTATATCATGTTATTTCCCCTTAAAATTTGAATGAACTATCTGATTTTCTTGCATTTTTATACAATTTAGAGTGTTAACTACATGCCTGTTTACTTTATTCCTTGCTGATTCGACTCTTTACCACTCTATTTTGCATTTAAAACATATCACCATGATAATTTTATTTTGGGTTATAAACATGCCTTAATGCACCTAAATAATATCAATAAAATGTAGGTGTTTTCTAACCCACATAAAGCACTTTATTATTTTTTACCAATAATATGTTTTAATTCGTAGACAAGACTTCTTATTAAAAAATGTATACATGAGTCATCATTTTGGATAAGTCATAAATAAAATGCTTATTTTGTCATTCTTTGGAACCCAAAAATTTCATACCTTCTCGTGACAACACTTGGATATCTGAACACCTCTCAATTTGAACACCTTTACATGTAATCAGTCATTGACCACATGCTAAAAAATCTTGGAATATGAACAACTGCAATCTTAATGAAATGTTCACACACCCAAACTAAATCTAAACTTACTTACTTAGCTTTTTTCCATTCAGCACCATGAACACTGTTTAACAGCCATCATTTTTATTACAATGATATGTAATCTCAATTCATTTATTCTATAACAAACCTTTTGGCAGTTATTTGTTCACATAATTTTATAATTATCCCACCGAACGAAGTTCGAGAGGGATATAGGAAAGCCGTCCGTCCGTTCGTCCGTCTGTCCGTCCGTCCGTCCGTCCGTCCGTCCGTCCGTCCGTCTGTTTGTCCGGGCGATAACTCAAATAACGTTTCACGGATTTGATTCAAATTTTATAGGCTTATGCCTTATGGGTGTAGGACCTCTGCTCGAGAAGGAATTTTCAATATGGCCACTGAATTCAAAATGGCCGCCATTTTTCGTAAAAAATGTAATCTTTAATAACTCAAATACTAGTTTGCGGATTTGGTTAAAATTTTATATGCTGATGCCTAGGGACACAGTTGATATGTTCGAGTAAAAATTTTCAAGATGGCGGCTAGATTTCAAAATGGCGGCCATTTTTCGTAAAAAAACTTAATCTTTGATATCTCAAATACCAGTGAACGGATTTGGTTCAAATTGTATATGGTGATGCCAAGGGACACAGTAGATCTGTTCGAGATACAATTTTCAAGATGGCCGCTGAAATTCAAAATGGCGGCCATTTTTCGTAAAAAAACATCTCTGGTAACTCAAATACCAGTGAACGGATTTGGTTCAAATTTTATATGCCTATGCCTAGGGACAAAGGAGCTTCGCTCAAGATGGGATTTTCGAAATGGCCACTGATTGTCAAAATGGCGGCCATTTTTCGTAAAAAAAACGTAATCTTTGATAACTCAAATACCAGTGAACTGATTTGGTTCAAATTTTATATGATAATGCCTAGGGACACAATAGATCTGTTCGAGAAAGAATTTTCAAGATGGCAGCCTGATATTCAAAATGGCAGCCATTTTTCATAAAAAAAGGTAATCTTTGATTACTCAAATACCAGTGAACGGATTTGGCTCAAATTTTATATGATGATGCCTAGGGACAAAGGAGATCTGTTCGAGAAAGAATTTTCAAGATGGCGGCTGAATTTCAAAATGGACGCCATTTTTCGTAAAAAAACGTAATCTTTGATAACTCAAATACCAGTGAACAGATTTGGCTCATTTTTTATATGATGATTCCTAGGGACACAGTAGATCTGTTCGAGAAAATTTTTTCAAGATGGTGGCTGAATTTCAAAATGGTAGCCATTTTTCATAAGAAAAAACGTAATCTTTGATAAGTCAAATACCAGTGAACAGATTTGGTTCAAATTTTATATGCTGATGCCTAGAAACTCAGTAGCTCTGTTCGAGAAAAAATTTTAAGATGGCGGCTGATCTTCAGAGGCTTCAGAATGGCTGCCATTTTTCATTTTCATTTTCGTAATCTTTGGTAACTCAACTGCCGTTCGGTGGGATTTGCTACTCCGTGGAGTTGCTGTTTTTCTAGTTCAGCTCCGTTCTCAATCTGTTGTCTCCTCAATGATCAGAGTCTACATAAGTGTTCAATACTTACCACTCAGTATGTTGATTTAAGATTAAACTATCTTAACTTTTACAAAAATAGTGCACGTAACGTCATTCTATAATAGGCTATAGTTACTTCTCTCTAAACATTGGATGAATTCATTAATTTCTGGCATTTGTATATGATTCAGAGTATTTACAATATGTTTTGTTTACATAATTTGGGGTTTATTTCATTCTTTTTCATGCTATTTTGTGTTATCACACCTGTGATACTTTATTCAGTGGTTTTATCATATTGTAACCTTTCATGGCCTTTCGTTTATTTACTTTTAGGCAGTTCTTTAGATATAGTCCTGTAATAAAAATATAAATCTCTATTCAAGTTTGGAGGTCTTATTATTATTATTAAACATAAATATTGCCTGGACACCAATATATTCAAAATTCAGTTTTGGTGAAATTATATCGATAGGAACTAAACGTTTTTCTAGAGATGAACATTATAGTAATATTATTACCAAATTGGTTATAGCCAGTCAAAAGAAGATTGTGATGAATGCTGGGAGCAGATCCTCCTTTGATAAGAACTCTTGTACTGTGTATTAATCTTGATAAACCCTGCCATCTTTTGCTGAACCAAAGAAGCTTGTATGAGCAGTTTTGTGATGTCATTTGTTATATGTATAAATATATGAATATTTATAAACGTCTCACGCCATATTATATAAAATAATACCATAATAATGCAGTATCAGTTAAAATCTTCGACCCAGCCAGTGTCGACCTATGGGAGACTTATATCTCCTAGTTAGATTGATATACAACCCTTTTTGCCCCTTGTATCAAAAACTCATAAACCTTTTTAAAAAATTGCTTTCAACCTCCATTATAATTCTCAAAATATTGTTTTGTGTACATAGTTCCCATGGCAATGTTCACAATCAAGCGTTTGTAATTAATGAGATACTAAACAGTAATACCTGCATCCCTAAACACCTCTCTGAACTGAACACCTCTTATTGTGAACTCTTTTTGTGGTCCCATTTTTGATCTGTTAGAGACACCCATTTTAAAAACCCTTGAAATGTGAACAGTTCCATTTGGAGTATAGACAGGTTTAATTGTTGTATTCATAGTCGTTGATTTCAGTGACTTTGAGAGAATTGGGAATATTAAAGACATGCTGCGCCTTAGGAAGTGAATAAATCATCTAGAGAATACAGAACCTTTAGGGTTGAAATAAGTAATTTCTATTTTATAAAGATTGATATATTCAGATCATTGACAACATTTTAATGATGTACTTTACAGAGTATGGTTGATGTCATATGACTGTTAATTGACTTAGTTCCTCTGCTGTTAAAATATCCTCTTTTTTCAAAACCTCTTTCTGGAACCCCCTTCTCTGTTGAAATCTCTGCTGTTTTATCCAAACACCTTTCTAATCTGAAAACCTGTTAATGTGAACGCCTCTCAATGTGAACACCTTTCAATGTGAATGCCTCTCAATGTGAACACCTCTCAATGTGAACACCTCTCAATGTGAACACCCCTCAATGTGAACACTTTTTCAGTCTGATTTCTTAATCTGGCATAGATTAGCATGTTAAAAAACCTTGAAATGTAGTACAGTAAAACCAATATATCCAAACACCTCTCTAATCTGAACACCTCTCAATGTTAATTACTTTATCTCTGTCCCAAATTATTTTCTCTCATTGACTCACATTTTTATAAAACCTTGAAATGAGAGCATCTATTAATCTGAACACTTAGCTAGTTTGAGAGGCGTTCTGATTAGACAAATTTTACTGTACATCCAGGTTTTGTTATTTCAGCTTGCCTTATTTGATGAAATGACATTTTATAGCTATGACGCAAATATATATATAATATCTATATTACATATACTGTAGCTGAATACTCTATATTTGTATTAGTGAGAATGACGTGTGTGTATTTGTAGAACACAATTTGCTAATATACAATGTAATGACAAAACATGATTAGGCTACTGCATGGAACAATAAAAGTTGCATTATAGCGATTGTTTTTTCTCATACAAATGTTTACTATTATACAGTTTTATGCTAGTGAATGGTAAGATGCTTACTACGAGGGTTGATCCAAAAGTTCTGCACTATTTGCTATTATTTATACTTAATAAATTATTTACATATTTAGTATATTAGTTTTGAATATTAACAGGTTTTGACTTTGCAGTTTTTTCTATATTTAAATAATTGAGATCTCTTGTTATACCTACTTGTTACAAGTTAATCAAAAAAAATTGGAAAATCTGTTTACTTTACTTGATTTCAAGACAAGTAGAGCACCAGGTGCTATAGCTCTTCGAAAAGCAGAAGATATGTTGATGTACTTTTTATTAGTTTTTTTAATGAATCCAATTTCTGTTCTAACATGTAGTGGTTCTTATATTTGCAGACCAGAATGGCATGGGACAATGAACTCATACCGAGTCGAGGCAGCCTGGAAATTAGGTCAATGGGACAACTTAAGAACACACCTGGATCAAGTAAATTAATAAAAATCAAACAAATTTTTGATTCAGACATATTAATTGTGTGTATTTCCCCCGTTAATTGTCATTGACAGAAACTTTGTAAAGTTAAGAAATCCCAAGTCAGTTCTAGTAACCATGTATATAATGATGCAATTATAAGAAAACAATGGACGAAAGAATTCTGTAATGCAACAGCCACATTTGATCCAATCTTCAATGCAAGCATCTAGCCGATGAGTATTTTGTTCAAAACTGAATGCAAATTATGCAATAATACAATAATTTATTAAATCCATCTGCAAAGTTGGTCTTTCCAGAGACCAACTTTTAAATATATTGATGAAATCAATGTGTCACATGTCAACTTAAAAGTTTTTTTTAATTTTAGTTTTTTATATATTTATATCAACATTTTATTGTTCAACAGGAAAGAGGGAAGAGAACTTGGGCTGTTGGCATTGGCAACACACTTATGTTAGCAAAGGATAGGGTGAGAAAATGTTATACTATACTGTTTTGTGGTCGGTGGTCAGCATTATAGCATCTGTAACAAATGGCAGGTGGTGAGATTCCACATTAATGCATGCTATCTGTGTCACATTCACTATATTGAAAAAATATTGTTTTATTCAGGATGAAGAGGGCTTTCTTCAGCAGTTGCAGATTGTTCGCAGTGAGCTTATGGGGCCCTTATCGGCTGCTAGTATGGAGAAGGGTTCCTATCAGAGAGGATATGAATATATTGTGAGGTAGGTATATCTATTGTGAGGTGTTTTGATTTTTCATCCGATTGTGAGGTAATGCCAAATTTATTTTTTGAAAGATTAATTTTTTTTAATAAATAATTGTGAGGTTATATGTTGTGTATATGTTAGGAAATAGGTTTATATATAGTAAAACTTGTAAAGTGGAACACCTTCATTAGTGGAACAATTGTGTAAGTGGAACACCTTCATAAGTGGAACACTTTTGTAAGTGGAACACCTTCATAAGTGGAACAGTAGTTTGAGACATTCAATATGCACATGTTCTACTATATATTTATATAGTGGGTAATTGTTCACTAATTTTTAGAGAACACCTCTTTTAACAAGGTTCTACATTATGAGACACGCCCGTAGCCAGGGGGGGGTCGCAGGGCCAAAAATTCTTTTAAAATCATGCAGTTTTTCACCATTTTGAGCACTTCTCAAGTGATTTTAGCCATATTTTGGCCAAAATTGTCAAATGTGAACCCCCCTGGAAATTTTTGAAAACCACCCTTGGCAAATCCAGGCTACGGGCCTGTGAGATGAACATTGTATAAATTATCTAATACAGTATCTTCATCCACATTATACGAGATAGCATTTATGTTATTCCTTGCTACATCAGAATTGATATAACATTCATGATATCTCACATTTATTATTTTTTCTGGCTTGTAGGCTTCACATGCTTAATGAGTTAGAGCAGGGGGTGCGTGAGCTGCTACATTTCCCCACTAGAGGGCCACAGGAACGCAGCGGACTCGCTAAGCTAATTGAACTCTGGGATTCTAGGCTTTCTTTGACACAGGTATGCTACTCCCATCTTTTATATGATATACAGTAATTTATTTCCTCACATTTATTCTAGTATTTTCAGCTCTGTTTTGATTTATTGTTTTTACCACAGTATTGAACTTAAGATCTTTGCTTATGCTTTACCCATTTTTATGTCACCACCAAAAGGGGGACATATTGTAATGTAGTCTCTAACAAATGGCAGGTGGTGACATTTTGCATGTTTATGCCATGTTTTAACAATACAATGTCTTATCCATGTAGGCCTCATTCAGAATGAAAGAACCAATATTAAACCTCAGGAGAACGTTATTTAGTCTGGCAGAGGGCAACACTGATGTCGATCTTCATACAGAGATCGGCAAAAGCTGGCTGAGGAGCGCGAAAGTTGCTAGAAAGTAAGATAACATAATTTATATATATATATAGAAATTGTATAGAAATGTAAGAAAATCAGACACTTAACTCAGATTTTTAAGAGATATAGAGTGAACTCATCACGAGTAGATGGACAATTTAAGGAAGACTTATATCGGTTTCATTTAATGTTTTTATATTACAGGGTGGGCCACCTTCAGACAGCCTTCAGTTTCCTGTTGAATGGATCATCCTACCATCTTCCAGAGCTGTTTGTTGAAAGAGCTAAATGGTTCTGGGCTAAGGTATGTATGCTTGCAGTAACAATTTTGATTTGGAGTTTTTTTGTAATCTCTTTTAGCTGAACTTTTAATTAGATTGTTCTTTTTCATTACTTGTAATTTTCATATATTCATTTCATTCAGTAAGCACTAGTCGGGAGGGGCCCTGGGGACAATGAGCATTATTTCCCCTGTTAAGGTGAACTCTAGGATTATGATTCCTCACATTAGTCTCCTGATATCTCTAAAATACTAACTAACTCCCTCGCAAAAGTTAATACACTTAGCTGAAATAAAAGTTCGGAGCCAGGACTCGTATAGATGGCAGTTAACTACAAGGCTTTTCCTCACATCTGGCCCATTGGTTTGTGTGTAAATATTGCTGTTTTAAAACTTCAAATTCACTACACATATCAAATAAATATCATATTTTACTTAATTATTATTTACAAATATGTTTCAAGATTCAAAATCAAAAGTTTCTGGATATTTTCAATCACATTTATCTTGGGAGATGTTTGGAGCGATTTTTACATGTTCAAGTATGCTATTAAGCCCACTGAATATTTCGCCATCTATTGACAGTCCTGAAGGCCATTGTAAAAAACAACATTTTAACCAGCGTGCAGAGTGGAATAAACATATAAAGTAAATTTTATTTTGTAATTGCATCTAGTTTATCATGTTGTGAGATTTTGTAAATGCCATATTTCTATTTCATCATATTCAGAATGATCATGACCTTGCCCAGACATGCATAGAGAAAGGCCTACAGGAGTTCTACCCTGACTGTACATTCAAGGACAATGCTCTGAGGAGAGACACAACCGAAAAGGGACTTCTCAGAAGGATTGAATGCGCAAAGGTTAGAATACAGTTTGGTGCCAAATAATGAGCCAAATAAGGCTTAGGGGCGTAGGTGGGATCTTAGATTTGTAAAAAGTTGTACATTATCTCCTTTAGACTCCATTTTCACGTTAAACTTTTTAGTTTAGTTAAAATGTATGAAAATGATTTTTGTTGAATATTATGATGAGACAGTTACTTTTTCGGTCCTGGCTGCATCCACTGGCTTTTCTAAACTCAACGGCATGCTGGCTGGACTCTTCAAGCAGGATATCAAAATATTCCTCGCCTCCCCCTTGTTGTTTTTCAGTACTCGTCATGCAAGCAATTTTTGGGCCTAGTGATAAAAAATGACATGTGATGAATGATAATAATTCAATGTTTTCAAGTCAATTTTGCAATTGAAAACATGATCAACATAATATTTTCTTCATAATTTGAATTTTTTACTGTAGGCCCTACTATTGTGGGAATCAATATGAAGGAAACATGAAGCATTTATTATCATAATGATCCTGTTTTTAAAAAAACTTTGCAGGCCTTGCTCCTGTGGGGAATGTACAGTGAGGAGACCTCAAGCATTGAAAGCAATGAAATCGTGAAACGATACAGAGACGTCATAGATATGAATCCAACTTGGGAAGATGGACACTTTTACCTTGCCAAATATTACGATAAAATCATGGTTCATTTGACTAACAGTGATCGACCAGATAGACAAAGGTATGTGGGAACTTGTCGATATATGGATCGAGTTGTCTGATTGGTCAATTTGCCAAGGATTTCCTAGAACTCCCAAAGAGAATTCAATGTGGGATATACTCTCACTCCAAGAAATCTTGTTTTAAAATCTTGAAACCTCAATGTTTTTAAAAAGTTTTTGAATAATGCTTTGAAAAAGTTTTTGAACAGAATAATTTCCACAAACAGTTTTAAAAGATCGTATTTCAAGGGGATTGCATTTGCACATAGTTCCCCCCCCTCCTGAAAAGTTTTTGAACAGAAGAATTTCCACAAACAGTTTTAAAAGATCCTATTTCAAGGGAATTGCATTTGCACATAATTCCCCCCTCATGCGCCTCACCCCTCTTGGTGATTATCCTGTCCTAAGACATTAATCCTTTTTGTATTTTAACTTTAGTGTAAATAAAAAATTATTTTTTAACAGATCAATCTTGGAGCCGATCATAGAGAATTATGGGAAGGCTCTAAGAAACGGAAGCCAGTACATCTACCAGACCATGCCACGCATGCTTACAATCTGGCTCGAGTATGGCTCTAAGATGGTAGAGAGTGAATCAAAACAAAACAAAAATGAAACTGCCATTGGACAACAGAGGTTTACACTACAGACCATGAATGAGGTATGAGAAGGAATTTTATTTATTCTGCTTCATTCAAATATTACTAGCTTAATTAACTAAAGGTCAGCATGGGTACTGAACTAAGAGAGATAAATAAAACTTAAAGGACCTGTCCAATTTTATATGCCATTTCAAGCAAAACAAGCTTAAGCTTTACGGCACTAATTTCAAACTCCTTTTCGATGCTTTTAACTTCATTCAGTTCATAAATCAAATTATTTCATAATTTTCATAAATCTGACTTCCTCCTTTAAAATAAAGCTAGCCCCGGCTGCAAACCTCCTGAATGTATGTAAATGTAACACTTGATAATAATTCTATTACATGAATAAAAAAATAATAAGAATAAAAATGTAACATTGACAATTTTTATACATATTGAAGAGCTGTAGTCATAGTAATTTAAATATATGCACTTGATTAAAAAAAGTATCTGCACTTGAATTTGGAATTTGAACAATTGAAGTCTTATTTGGATATATAGAGGAAATCCTATGACTTTTGAGGGATGTCATATTTATAGCTATTTGAATATATAGAGGACATCCTATGACTTATGAGGGATTTCATACTTATAGTTATTTTTACTTTTTTAGGGATATCATATTCATTCAAAATTAATTCGATTTTTAGATATTACTGAAAGAATAGGATTGAGGCTAGTAATGCTTAAAACCTCATTTTTTGTATTTTCAGTCTATTGCAAAGTTAGGGAATGAGCTCCCACCTTACACTTTCCTGACGGCTTTTCCTCAGCTTATATCTCGAATATGTCACCCTCATAATATGGTCTTCCAAGTGCTGAGCGTAAGTACCACCCTTATACCGGGGTTTGTTTTTTAGCTCACATGGTGAGCCTTTGCAATCGCTCACTTGTCCGTCTGTCTGTCCGTCCGTCCGTGCATCCGTCCGTCCGTCCGTCCGTCCGTCCGTCCGTCCGTCCGTCTGTCTGTCTGTCAACAATAGTGGCACGTTTTAAAACCTCTGTCGATAGGATTCCTGTTTTAAGTTATTTCTGTTAAACATCAATACAGAAAACTCCCCTATGAATCCTGGTTCAAAAGCTCGCCTATTTTCAAAATGGCCGCCATTTTTGTCTCGCAAAATTCACTTTTCACTGGCACGTTTTAAAACCTCTGTCGATAGGATTCCTGTTTTAAGTTATTTCTGTTCAACATCAATACAGAAAACTCCCCTATGACTCCTGGTTCAAAAGCTTGCCTATTTTCAAAATGGCCGCCATTTTTGTCTCGCGAAATTCACTTTTGACCCATTTCCTAGCTTTACAAATAATTTCAGGTGTCCTACATTGTAAAAATCTGTGTCAATGTAAATAGTAGATATATGAAATAATTTTGTTACAAAAAATCAGCGAAAAATTATATCTATTTTTTTATTTTCAGCCATTTTAGTTAACATTGATTTGTCCATCTGACTTGTGAAATCCACTTTTCCGTCAACAACAGTGGCACGTTTTAAAACCTCTGTCGATAGGATTCCTGTTTTAAGTTATTTCTGTTCAACATCAATACAGAAAACTCCCCTATGACTCCTGGCTCAAAAGCTCGCCTATTTTCAAAATGGCCGCCATTTTTGTCTCGCGAAATTCACTTTTGACCTATTTCCTAGCTTTACAAATAATTTCAAGTGTCCTACATTGTAAAAATCCATGCCAATGTAAAGAGTAGATCTATGAAATAATTTTGTTATGAAAAATCAGCAAAAAATTATATCCATTTTTTTTTTATTTTCAGCCATTTTAGTTAACATTGATTTGTCCATCTGTCTCGCAAAATCCACTTTTGGACCATTTGCCTTAAACCCTCTGTCGATAGGATTCCTGTTTTAAGTTAATTTTGTTCAACATCAATACAAAAAACTCTCCTATGACTCTTGGTTCAAAAGCTCGCCTATTTTCAAAATGGTCACCATTCTTGTCTCGCAAAATTCACTTTTGGCCCATTTCCTAGCTTTACAAATAATTTCAGCTGTCCTGCATTGTAAAAAGCCATGTCACTGTAAAGAGTAGTTGTATGAAATAATTTTGTTACAAAAAATCTGCAAAATATTATATCAGTTTTTTTTATTTTCAGCCATTTTAGTTAACATTGATTCGTCCATCTGTCTCTCAGTCAGTCTAAAAAAGTGGCACGTTTTAAAACCTCTGTCAGCACTTTTTAAATCCTCTGTAGATAGGATTCCTGATTTAAAATAATTTTGTTCAACATCAATAAAGAAAAAAACCTGTGACTCCTGCTTCAAAATCTCGCCTAATTTCAAAATGGCCACCATTTTTGTCTCGGGAAATTCACTTTTGGCCCATTTCCTAGCTTTACAAATAAGTTCTGGTGTCCTGCATTTTAAAAAGCCATGTCTTTGTAAAGAGTAGCTGTATGAAATAATTTTGTCACAAAAAATCTGCAAAAAATTATACCCGTTTTTTTTATTTTCACTTTTGAGCAACACCATGTGAGCCCAGTACCCACGGTACTAATTTTTTGTATTTTATATTGAAATCAATTTTAAAGATCCAGGTTTCAAAAATGCATTAAAATGTGCAAAAATGCTAAGTGAACTAGGTGGAATTTTTATATGGTTTAATACTCTAACCAAAATATGTGTATTATCAAATCAGGTTCAATCTTTTGCTTTCACTTTAAGCATGTTTCTCGGGTTAAATCTTGGGTCTATCAGCTGTTTACTGTACCTTGTCACTATCCTTTACTCAGTTGAAATAGACAAGACTACCAATTAAAGATGTTATTATCCCACCGAACGAAGTTCGAGAGGGATATTGGAAAGCCGTCCGTCTGTCCGTTCGTCCGTCCGTCTGTTTGTCCAGGCAATAACTCAAATACCGTTTCACGGATTTGATTCAAATTTTATAGGCTTATGTCCTATGGGTGTAGGACCTCTGCTCGAGAAGGAATTTTCAATATGGCCACTGAATTCAAAATGGCCACCATTTTTTGTAAAAAATGTAATCTTTAATAACTCAAATACTAGTTTGCGGATTTGGTTCAAATTTTATATGCTAATGCCTAGGGACAAAAGAGTTTCGCACAAAAAAGAGATTTTCAAGATGGCCGCTTAATTTAAAAATGGCGGCCATTTTTCGTAAAAATATTTAATCTTTGATAACTCAAATACCAGTGAACGGATATGGTTCAAATGTTATATGATGATGCTTAGGGACACAGTGGCTATATTCGACAAAATATTTTCAAGATGGCCGCTTAATTTCAAAATGGCGGCAATTTTTCATAAAAAACGTAATCTTTGAAAACTCAAATACCAGTGAACATGATTTGGTTGAAATTTTATATGATTATACCTAGGGACACAGTAGCTCTGTTCAAGAAATAATTTTCAAGATGGCGGCTGAATTTCAAGATGGCCGCAAATTTTCGTAAAAAACGTAATCTTTGATAACTCATATACCAGTAAACAGATTTGGTTCAAATTTTATATGCTGATGCCTAGGGACAAAGGAGTTTCGCACAAAAAATAGATTTTCAAGATGGCCACTTAATTTCAAAATGGCGGCCATTTTTCGTAAAAATATGTAATCTTTGATAACTCAAATACCAGTGAACGGATTTGGTTCAAATTTTATATGATGATGTTTAGGGACACAGTAGCTATGTTCCACAAAAATTTTTCAAGATGGCTGCTTAATTTCAAAATGGCGACAATTTTTTGTAAAAAACGTAATCTTTTATAACTCAAATACCAGTGAACAGATTTGGTTGAAATTTTATATGATTATGCCTAGGGACACAGTAGCTCTGTCCAAGAAATAATTCTCAAGATGGCGGCTGAATTTCAAGATGGCCGCCAATTTTCGTAAAAAACGTAATCTTTGATTACTCATATACCAGTGGTTCAAATTTTATATGATGATGCCTAGTTCACAATGGTATAAATCAACTTTGAACCAAATTTCATGCTTCTATCACAAAGTGCACAACCATTTAAACATTTACACTAGCTATAATAAGCATAATATGTTTTGTTCGGTGGGATTTTCTACTCCGTGGAGTTCCTGTTTTTCTAGTTCAACATGAAATATTACCCATATCCTTCCCCAATTGTACCTCCAATATTGTATGTTTGAGTTTAATTTCTCTTTATTACCTTTTATTTCTGTAATTATGTATAGATGTCAGGCCATGCTGTCAGTTTATATGCAAAGAACTACACAATTGAATGTTTACAATTTATTGTACTGTATTCAAAAATGCAAATAACCTACAAAATAAACATGTTTGGCATAGTCTATAGGGAATACATCCACCACGGTATTAGCTACATGAAACCGTTTACGAGGTCAAGACAATATAATTTCTCCTCATATTATGATAAACATGCTTAATTGGACGTTTATCATCTAAGCATGTTTATCATAATATGAGGAGAAACCTTGAAGCTAGGAAGTTATACGTAAATTAATGAATATATATGATATAATGAACCATAAAAAAGGTAAACCTTCACTCCTGAACTTGTATAATATAAGGAGAACTATATATAATATAAGGAGAACTATATATAATATAAGGAATGTGTATTATACAATAAAATGTCACCTCTCAAACTACATGTGCAGCATTTCTTTTCCTATACAAACCAGGCCTGGATATATATTAACCAACACTCAAATCAAGTACAAAGGTTGACATTCAAATAGATGTCTCATCTTGATATTTTATCACCTTTGTTTTGTAATTCTAAATAAGTGCGTAACAATAAATGTTGACTCTTGTATGAGAACTTCACGTGCAGTGTGTCTATTTTATTTCTAATGATTTGTCAGATAAGGTGGTATAACAAATAAAATAAATATAAATTAATAAATGAAATCAAGATCATTTTACATCAGGTTAAACCATTTATTCATCTTTTATATTACAAATATTTACATATTAAAAATGAATGATAAAGCATGCTTAAAAATGTAGATAAGGGAGCCAGCTACCATTTCCTGTTGTGTTCGGCATGAAGTACTTAAATGTCGCCAACATGTTAAATAGTCAGTTTTCATTGGTGCAGTCATTGTAGTAAGATAAAGATTTATTTACAAGTTAATAACTTATCAAATCTCTTTCAATACTTTTATTTGAGCAATGTCATTGAAATCTTGATTGATTCTTTTACACCATAGCCAATCATGGCAGAGTAGCGGTTAGCTCTCTATGTTTGTGTACATGTTTTGCAAATAGGCTTTCATAAGTTGTTGACTTTTCTTTTGTGTAGATCTTAAATCAGAATAATGTAGTTCATTATGAATGACTATTTGCTGTTTATTTATCAACATTTAGCTTTCTTGTGTGAAAATGATCAATTGAAATCCGCATTTAATCCATTATTCTTTCATAAGCAGCCTTTCGTTTGCTAATTTTTTCACATATGTTTATTTTCCTAAATGAGTTAGATAGGTTAGATCATTGCAAAGTTCATTCAACACCCTTTAGAGCTGAAGCTTTAATGATTATGCATTTTGAGGTGTTAAGCATTGTAATGTGATGATGTACTAAGATTGTCTTGTCATGTGTATTTTTTGCGTGTGGCTATTTTTGAAGTCCAAATCATGTGCCGTCTGTATGTCTGTTGCAAACAAAGCAATGTGTCTTTCCATGGTATGGATGAGTGGATACATAGAGTTCCCATGCCAAGACATCTTCAAGATTGAGGATTGGTATCATCATGTTTTGTTGACACTGATCACAAACATATTTGCTCATGAAGTTCCTTACCGCAAGAGTTATGCACAGAGAAGCTGGAATTAAATGTACTCAAATACTGTACTTAAATGTGGCATTATATTTGAATTAAAAATAATTTGAAATACTTTTTTAGGTTTTTGCATTTGTGAGATTCTGGATTTTAGAGAAATGTGAACATATTTTCAATAAATATTTCTAGTTCTATTGACCACATAGCTTTCATTGCATTCTAATACAGTAGAACCTGCTAAGTGGAACGCCTCTTTAAGTGGAACACCTCGCAAGTGGAACGCTTTTTCAAAGTCCCATTTTAAAAACCCATTGACTTAATGTTAATTGAACCTCTGTAAGTGGAACACCTCCAAACTTGAACAGTGAACACCCCATATTGAAAAGTTAACCTGCTAAGTGGACTAGTCAATTTTCCATAAATTTCAATATTGATACTTACGTAATAAAAAGAATTAACCTTTTACAGTGATATCTGGGTATGAAAACAGGTAATACCATGATAATTGGCAAATTAGGATCACCATATAGCAAATTGGATTAACCTCCTGTAGAGATCAACATGTGATGCTACCACTAATTAATTTGATAATTAGCAAATAAGGATTTCATAAGATTATCATTCATCAAATTGGATTAACCTCCTGTAGAGATGGACATGTGATGCTACCTCTAATTAATACCCCTTGCTGTTTGTTTCAAACTTGATAAGTAAGATTAAGAATGTCAGTTAAAAACAAGTGAATTATTAGCAATATGTACAAGTCTTTGAAACTTAATTGCCAAATCTTTGTGCTTGAGACTGGCAGAATGAGAAGGATTAAGAATGTCGGAACATTTTTGGCAGAATGAGGAGGATTACGAATGCCACATACCTTTTTGAGTAAAACAAATGGATAGTTAATGGAATATAGCTGCCCTGCAACAGTGCAATGAACGGAGAATCAGTTTTCCGGTGATACATAATAAACCCTATATTTGATCTTGTATGTTCTTTAAATCTCCGCGAACCCACAATTGGAATCAATGGGAGAAAAAAAACAGGACCAAAAAAGTGAAAATTGTTGACTTCTCCAGAGGTCAACTGACAACATTATAAACCGAGGGACTGTAAACCAAGAAAATACTGTTGACAGCAATCATGAATCATGATTGAATGAATGACTCTGAAAATGGGAGGTGTTCATATTAGCTAGGTTTTCAGATATACAGGTTTTATTGTTAGTACCTCAGTGGAAATACTCGCATTTGATTGGTCAATTAGTGGTCAACATTTGAATTATGGGAAAAATACATTTCTCACAGTCTTCCCAATAATGTATTAAATGCTGTTATTGATATTATTGAAGAATATATGTTGTCTAAATCACCAATGGTAAAATCATTTTAGATTTGGGCACAGACCTAGTGAGGCAATGTTGTCAAAAAATGGCATATGCTTCCTGTCTTTTATTCACAGAATTCATTATGGTCTTTGTTCTTTCAGTCTTTGCCCCCTCGTTTTGTAATTTAGATGACATAAAAATGCAAACGTTTATGCAGATTTTTTAATGACATTATTACAATTAAACTCAGATTATATAGAAAATACATTATTGTTACTCACCCAGTATTGTGTCAGGTCTTGCCATAATGCAATGCTATAATTCTCTAATGTACTGAAATGTGTGAGCAGAAATTGTCACCTGTATCAATTGATACCAAGACATTTACTTTTGCATAAACTTCAGATCGGTCTCAGGATTCCCCTACTTAAACTGATCAGTTTTTTTTTGTTAATTGTTACTTATCAGTTTTGTTAAATTTTTTTAATTTTTTTTCTAAAACTTAAAACTTCAGTTTTGTTAATTGCTTTTTAATTGTTTCTTATCAGTTTTGTTAAATTTGTTTCTAAAACTTAAAACTTCAGTTTTGGTAATTGTTTTTTAATCGTTTCTTATCAGTTTTGTTAATTTTTTTTCTAAAACTTAAAAATTCAGTTTTGTTAATTGTTTTGTTAATTGTTTCTTACAGTTTTGTTAAATCTTTTTCTTAAACTTAAAACTTTAGTTTTGTTAATTGTTTTTTATTAATTGTTTCTTATCAGTTTTGTTAATTTTTTTTCTTAAACTTAAAACTTCAGTTTTGTTAATTTTTTTTAATTGTTTCTTACTATTCTGTTATTTTTTTCTAAAACTTAAAACTTCAGTTTTGTTGATTGTTTTAATTGTTTTTTATCAGTTTTGTTAAATTTTTTTCTAAAACTTAAAACTTCAGTTTTGTTAATTGTTTTGTTAATCGTTTCTTATCAGTCTTGTTAAAACTTAAAACTTCAGTTTTGTTAATTGTTTTGTTAATTGTTTTATTGTTTTGTTAATTGTTTCATATCAGTCTTGTTAAAACTTAAAACTTCAGTTTTGTTAATTGTTTTGTTAATTGTTTTGTCAGTTTTATTAAATCAGTTTTGTTAATTTTTTTTCTAAAACTTAAAACTTATCATTTTTTTGTTAATTGTTTTGTTAATTGTTTCTTATCAGTCTTGTTAAAACTTAAAACTTCAGTTTTGTTAATTGTTTTGTTAATTGTTTTATTGTTTTGTTAATTGTTTCATATCAGTCTTGTTAAAACTTAAAACTTCAGTTTTGTTAATTGTTTTGTTAATTGTTTTGTCAGTTTTATTAAATCAGTTTTGTTAAGTTTTATTAAATCAGTTTTGTTAAATTTGTTTCTTGGTCTCAGGTTTCCCCTACTTAAAATTTTTTGATTTATTGATTCTTAACCCATTGAAACTTAAGTTAAACTATTTAGGTTATTGTGACATGAAGTTAGCTTTATATTTTAGCCACATCAACATTTGATGGTTAAATTCAAGACACTCAATAAACATATATGAGAAATAAATTTGCAAATAACAATAACATCATATATTCCATTGAATAATTTTCATGAATATTTGTTTATTTAAAAATTGTATTTATTTATTTCTACAATATATTATTCTAAAATAATGTACACTCATTCATTAGTGCATTTGTAATTTCATACAAGCTGTATATATATAGTATAATACAATACAATGTAATATGATATGATATGATAAAATAGAAATTATAATATTATATAAATAATATATTATAGTAGAAATTATAATGAAATAGAATTACATTGTTTGGTGATTAATTGAAATTAGAGGGTTAACTGATCACCGTAGTACGCTGTGACTTTCATATTACCATTCAGTTGAATACATTATTTGAATAGAACAGATGAACAAACAAGCCTAAAAAAGAGGAGGTGCTTAAAATAGAGAGGCTTGCCTTAATAATTGTATTCTTATCATTTGATATTTGATTTCATAAACACAACAAGTGGGTTGAGATAACCCTGTCAGCGTTCAAGATAAATATGCCCCCTGACCAAAAAGAAATCATTATCCATTTAAGTTAAATTCTTCCAAACTTTCAATTTTGAAAGGTCAGATACTGATCAACCTACAGCTTACACACAAATCAATCAAATGATTTTTTAAAGTACAAATATTTTTGCACCTCACCAATAAGCTTGCTTCAGAGGCCCTTCAACAGTAGCATTTCAAATTAATAGACACGGGTAATGATCTCCTATTAAGTGTGTCATTGAGTAAATAATATTAATCCTTGGTAATGTAACAAGTGGCTCATTTACTTTCACTTTCATTTTAGACTACAGTGACATCTTTTGATCTTTTACAATATTAAGTAACCTTAAAATCTTTCATTATATCTAATATTACAGGCAGCTGGTGGGAGGGCTCCTTGCTCCTGATTGGGTGATAGTGTAATTAGTTTTCACCAATCACAGTGACCAACATGTCACATGACCAGGATCTGAAGCAAGGAGCGGGACCGGTGTCTATAAGTCAATTGCATTCTTGGTCTTGAGGTGTCAACGCCTGTTCTCATTAGATATACATTTGTACTTTACTGTTATACATAGAATATTATTTTATACAGGATAAAGGACATATAAACCCACATTGAGTGTTTGTTATTGATAGAAAGCGTGAAACCAGTGAGACTTTAACATAAGCAAGTCTTATTGAGACTTGGAACATAACCAACCCCCTATCACAGAAGTAAATCTCAAAAGTTATCGGCCCTTGCTTCAGTATTTATACTTTTTTTTTATTGGTGGCATGAATGCTAGTAGGTATAGAGAGATATATAATGTTGATAGATTAAAAGATTGATAATGAAACTAGATACATGTACATTCCTTGGATTTTTGATCTATCGTGTATTGTATTGTATTTTGTTTACCACCAATGAAGGTGAGCAATACCTCTTGGGTATATCCTGTATATATACGGTCATAATTAATGTAATTAGCCTGGATGATAGACCCAGAAACCCCTCCTCAAAGGAGCCCTGTGATCTTTTATGTGCAATGAGCAGGGGTTTCATTAGCAGCAGGCAACAGGCTATTTTTCACCGGTTGTTTTCAAAAAATCAGCTGTTGTTTTTAGGGACTTTTTAACTTTTCCATGTTAAATATATGATTTCAATTTATTTTGCCTGTTGTTTTCATTTATTTTTAGCCTCTTGTGAGAAATTCTAGTGAAACCCCTTCACCTATGTTCAACGATCTTGTCCTTTAATGTTTTTCAGGAACTAATAAGCAATATGATGCACAACTACCCTCAACAGGCTATGTGGCTAATGATGGCTGTCTCTAAGGTATATTACACATACGGTAACATCTTCTTTGGCCAACATCACTCAACTCTATTTTGATTTAAAATTGTCCTTAATAGTGTGCAGCAATTAGCAAAATTTTCAAATTATTTGTTTGTTCTGCTTATGTCAACAAAATAAGTTGTTGTACTATTTGTTTAGTTACTACATGTAGTTATTGTGTCTGTAACAAATGGTTACACTATTGTAATTGCTACCAGGTGGTGACACTAGGAAGATTAAGCTACACATTTTCAAGGCAACTTGTACGTGAATTTGTAGAATTATTGTATTTTTTATGTTGCAGTCCTCGTACAAGATTAGACAGTCCAGATGCCACACAATAATTGCAAAAGCAAGGTGGGTCAAAAGTGTTGAAAAAAATATTGGTCAGAGATAGATTTGATCATTTTAACTTCCCCTTTCCCCTCATATAAAATGAAACTTGATTGAATTTTGCCTATCATTTTTTTATAAACATTATTCAAGCATGTATTTATGTCTACCTGCTATGGCTCATTTGCAGAGCCAAGGTTACCCATATTGCTTTGTCATGGATTTGATTTCCTGTTCAAACAAAAGGACGATTTTTTGGTTTGGAGAACCAAAGATGATTTTTGGTTTGGAGAACCAAATTTACTGCATATTTCAATGTTATCAATGTACCAATTGTTACCAACTTTTTACCAACATCTATTGCATAATTCAGTTGGACCGATGTAAAAACAACAGATAATAAACCTTGACATGTCATAAGCATATCATGAAAAAATCATTTGAATATGCTTCTTAATTAGAAATCTTAGAAATTGAAAAACAATAAATTCTTAAATTGCGTCTCACAGGATTATGCAATACATGTTGTATGAATCATGAAAATGACTTAGGGGGTTCGCTAATATTTTTTATGCAAAAATTTAAGATATTACCATCATTAAAACTTAAAGTATGCAAAAGAGGACGTTTAAATATACAATATGTAAAAAATATGAAAATCTTTGTCGACATTGATAACGTTGAAATATGCAGATGAATTATGGTTCTTCAAACGGAAAATCATCTTATTTTGCACCCTGATGTATCATGTATGAAATCAATTTTTTTTCATAGGCAAAAGGACAAATCACTGAACAAGTTCATACACGATGCAATAAAACTTGCTGATAGGCTACTGGATTTATGTAACAGGCACGTCGAGTCAGGACAGAATGTGTTTAGCATAAGCCAGCATTTCAAGCCACTTCAACGTCTCATGGATGATGTGTAAGTATATTCTTTTTTGGCTCACACAGTGAGCCTATGGGATGGACTAATTGTTAATACCATTTTTATATACCTACATGTAACATAATATAAGTGTTTTCTTTTATATGTAGTCTAGTTGTCATTTTAATGATTTCTGTTAAACCGCAACATATACCCACTAGGGTGTCTAGCGGCTTGTTTTTATAGTGTATATTATATAAGAATTATGAAATAAATAATTGAATTGAATTGAATTGAATTGAATTGAAAATTGAATTGACTAGGCATCTGTCTGTCCTTTTGTTCATAGAGGGCACTGTATATGTAACCAAGGCAGCGGTTTTGTTTACATTATGTTTTATTTGCACACAATGACAATCTAATGGTGCAACATTTAAAGCAATGTCATATATTAAAAAAGAGTACAGTAGGTCATTGTTATTGCTTTAGGCATAATACAAATTGATTTATTGTAGGGACATTGCTTGGTAAAAAAATCTAGACCTGATTCATGGATTCGATGGAGACTGAGTAAATTTTAATGCAGCCATTTTGATTTGTGTTGACTTTAATATGATATAGTTTACCATGTGCTTCAATAAATCTATGTTGAATTAGTCTCTGGAAAACTACATAATGTACTGACATTTTGGTGTATTATGCTACTTTTCAGTGATTTCAGCAAGATTATCATCCCACTCCAGACAATGATGAATGTAACACTACCAACTACATCTGGACCACATAGTGAGCATGACCCATTCCCAATAGAACAGGTATATATTTATGTTATCTTAAAATCATTAAGATTATAATCCCACTCCAGACAATGATGAATGTAACACTACCAACTACATCTGGACCACATAGTGAGCATGACCCATTCCCAATGGAACAGGTATATATTTATGTTATCTTTAAATCATTAAGATTATAATCCCACTCCAGACTATGATGAATGTAACACTACCAACTACATCTGGACCACATAGTGAGCATGACCCATTCCCAATAGAACAGGTATATATTTATGTTATCTTTAAATCATTAAGATTATAATCCCACTCCAGACAATGATGAATGTAACACTACCAACTACATCCGGACCACATAGTGAGCATGACCCATTCCCAATGGAACAGGTATATATTTATGTTATCTTTAAATCATTAAGATTATAATCCCACTCCAGACAATGATGAATGTAACACTACCAACTACATCTGGACCACATAGTGAGCATGACCCATTCCCAATGGAACAGGTATATATTTATGTTATCTTGAAAATCATTAAGATTATCATCCCACTCCAGACAATGATGAATGTAACACTACCAACTACATCCGGACCACATAGTGAGCATGACCCATTCCCAATAGAACAGGTATATATTTATGTTATCTTAAAATCATTAAGATTATAATCCCACTCCAGACAATGATGAATGTAACACTACCAACTACATCTGGACCACATAGTGAGTATGACCCATTCCCAATGGAACAGGTATATATTTATGTTATCTTAAAATCATTAAGATTATAATCCCACTCCAGACAATGATGAATGTAACACTACCAACTACATCTGGACCACATAGTGAGCATGACCCATTCCCAATGGAACAGGTATATATTTATGTTATCTTTAAATCATTAAGATTATAATCCCACTCCAGACAATGATGAATGTAACACTACCAACTACATCTGGACCACATAGTGAGCATGACCCATTCCCAATGGAACAGGTATATATTTATGTTATCTTTAAATCATTAAAGGCCCAATGTGAAGTTTAAACTGCTTTGGCAAAATTTTTGATCTCACCCATTCATATCAAAATTTTCACTAGATTTAATTAATGTTGCCTGTCACATGCCTTTATTTTATTTTTAAGCAATAATTTACTCCAATGTAAAACATGCATTTAAATTTAATTTCCAAATGTTGAAAAAAACTTGGTCAAGAAATGAGAAATTAGCTCATAAGAACAGAAAAGTGGTTCAGAGGAAAATTCATTTTAAACCCTACCCTCTGTTCTTTATGACTTTGCAAAGAAACATCAATGCCATAATATTTTTCCACAAGTGACATAATGAGCAAAAGCACATGTTAATAGAGTTGTTGATGGACAAAAATCTGACCCTTTGACATTTCAACAGGTCTACATTGATGGCTTTGACGACACTGTAGAAGTGTTGCCATCACTACAGAAACCTAAGAAGATAACAATGAAAGGAAGCGATGGGAAGCGGTACGTCATGATGTGCAAGCCAAAGGTTTGTCTTTTATTAATTTAATTTATTATTTTTGTGTCATCATACTTCGAAGTGTTATATGTCAATCAGTCAACGGTTTGTAGTTTATTATAATTTGAAAATTAAAACAGTAATTTGAGTGATTTTATAAAACTGAAGAATGTGTCATATATACTTATATAAAATATCAATGATATTGGACCAATGGTATTTGAGTTATTGCCAGGGAGGACATGTTAAATTTTTCCATAGAATTTACAATCCTAATTTTTTTTCCTGAAAATAATTTGAGATATGATTTTAGGATGACCTTCGTAAAGATTGCCGCTTGATGGAGTTCAACAGTATCGTCAATAAATGTCTGAGAAAGGACCCAGAGAGCCGAAAACGACAACTCCATATTAGGACATATGTAAGTTCAACATATCAAACCAAATATTTAAACTAAATATTCTATGTACAGTGACATTATTTCACTTTGTAATACTCTATTAGTCGTCACTTTTGGCAATTTATGTTAATTCTATTAAGTTTTCAAGAAATGTTTTGAAATATAGAGCAAAACGCTTTGTTCATTCAAAGAAATAACCAATGGGATGTTTAGCTTTTGAAAAATTCCAGGAGAGTTCAGATTTGGACAATTAGCCTAGAATTACCTGAAATTAAACATGTACAGTAGTTGGGATTTACATGTAAGTAGGGATTTTATTATTATTTTATTTTAGACAGTTGTTCCCCTAAATGAGGAATGTGGCCTTCTAGAATGGGTGTTCCACACTCAAGGACTCCGACCTATCATCATGAAACTTTGGAAAGAACGTGGAGTCTCACATAATTTTAGCTACATCAGATCAGTCATTGCATCAAGAAACTCCAAACTGGAGTGAGTGAAGCACTCAAATGCACAATAGATGTCTCTACTGGTCATGTACATTTCTTGGATTTTCTCTGTAAAATTTCAAAGAACTGAGATATATTTTTGCATTTCCATACAATTTAGAGCGTCAACTACATGCCTGTTTACTTTATTCCTTGCTGATTCTTCTCTTTTCCACTCTATTTTGCATTTTAAAACATGACCGCCTCAGTTATTGCATGCAAGCGGCACTCAAATTCTTCTATATTAATATCATGCTTGTTTTGAAAAGCCAAATTGAATTAAAAGTAATTTGGAACCAAAAATAAAAAATAAAAAGACATCCGATGATTTATTTATTTTTAAATGCGATAGACTGGTAAATAAAGGAATTAGCAAGGAATGAATCAAGTAAATGGCTAACTCTCTAAATTATATTGAAAATGCAGAACATCAGGCAGTTTATTTTTAGGAATGTATGCATGCCGTGACCAATAGAAATAGGCACGAATGTTACTTTTAGTACGGACACTACAATAATGTTAACAATTTCTATTATCTTTTTCAGAAATATCTTATTTTTCTCCTGACTTTAATTCCTGATAAATAAGTAAGCTTTGAAAAACTCTGAAAACATAAATAATGCATGTATTAATATGATAGTTTAAGTGTCAGCTTCACAAAATAACTCAAAATGAGAAAAATTCCAAGAGGTGTTTAAATTAGACAATTTTGGCCCTAAATCACTTGGAAATGATGATTACTTGGAGGAAATTTTTGGATTTGCTTGACGTCCCCCCCTGGCTTCGGGCCTGAAAAATTCTGAGGCAAAACAAAAATCTGAATTACACACATCTAAATGACATCATGACATATATGAGATTCATTGCTTAGTTCAATATTAATATGGGTCCAGCATACCTATTAGTCACAAATCCTCCATTTTATGAATTAAAAAATGAAACGGCCTCTATCCTAGATTCCCACCTATTATAATAGGTATTTTCCCATTTTCTATGTTAATTTTGGGAGTGTACTGTGTATTTTTAGAGAGAATATAATCTTTGATTTACATTTTTTCCAGGCCTCAAATGTAGGACACAAATCTTTGTCTTATAACAGACCCTTTGCATGTTTGTTTTCAAACACTGTAAAATAATGCTAATATTAACATTTTATTTAAAGAGACACTTTATCCATTCTCTCTCTATCTCTTTCTCTCTAGATGGTTGTTCCGCTTAATGAGGAATGTGGTCTGATTGAGTGGGTTGACAACTGCCACGGCCTGCGCAACATACTCATTAAGATATACAAGGACAAGAAAATATATATGACTGGCAGTGAGTTGAAACAATGTAGGCTGCAAATTACAGCCACGCTCGAGTAAGTTCACGGGAGGTGGAGTTTAATTCATGGGAGGTGGAGTTGTTTCAAGGAGGTTGGAGTTAAGTTCATGACAGGTGGAGTTTAATTCATGGGAGGTGGAGTTGGTTCAGGGAAGTTGAAGTTAAGTTCATGACAGGTGGAGTTTAATTCATGGGAGGTGGAGTTGGTTCATGGAGGATGGAGTTTAATTCATGGGAGGTAGATTTAAGTTCATGACAGGTGGAGATTTTAATTCATGGGAGGTGAAGTTGGTTCATGGAAGGTGGAGTCCATGAAGTAAAGTTAATAATCCCACCAAACGAAGTTCGAGAGGGATATAGGAAAGCCGCCCGTTTGTCCTTCCGTCCGTCTGTTTGTCCGGGCGATAACTCAAATACCGTTTCACGGATTTGATTCAAATTTTATAGGCTTATGCCTTATGGGTGTAGGACCTCTGCTTGAGAAGGAATTTTCAATATGGCCACTGAATTCAAAATGGCTGCCATTTTTCGTAAAAAATGTATTCTTTAATAACTCAAATACTAGTTTGCGGATTTGGTTCAAATTTTATATGCTGATGCCTAGGGACACAGTAGATATGTTCGAGTAAAAATTTTCAAGATGGCGGGTAGATTTCAAAATGGCGGCCATTTTTCGTAAAAAAAACTTAATCTTTGATAACTCAAATACCAGTAAACAGATTTGGTTCAAATTGTATATGATGATGCCAAGGGACACAGTAGATCTGTTCGAGTTACAGTTTTCAAGATGGCTGCTGAATTTCAAAATGGGCCATTTTTCGTAAAAAATCGTAATCTCTGGTAACTCAAATACCAGTGAACGGATTTGGTTCAAATTTTATATAATGATGCCTAGGGACAAAGGAGATCTGTTCGAGAAAGAATTTTCAAGATGGCGGCTGAATTTCAAAATGGACACCATTTTTCGTAAAAAATGTAATCTTTGATAACTCAAATACCAGTGAACAGATTTGGCTCATTTTTTATATGATGATTCCAAGGGACACAGTAGATCTGTTCGAGAAATTTTTTTCAAGATGGCGGCTGAATTTCAAAATGGTAGCCATTTTTCATAAGAAAAAACGTAAATACGTCAAATACCAGTGAACAGATTTGGTTCAAATTTTATATGCTGATGCCTAGAAACACAGTAGCTCTGTTCGAGAAAAAATTTTTAAGATGGGGGCTGATCTTCAGAATGGCTGCCATTTTTCATTTTCATAATATTTGGTAACTCAACTGCCGTTCGGTGGGATTTGCTACTCCGTGGAGTTGCTGTTTTTCTAGTTTTGTGAAGGTTGGAGCCAAAAACAATGAAGAATAAAAAATGTTTAGAATCTGTATTTATTTTATTGTTTTATTGTGTCTAAATACTATTCTAAATTAAATAACTCATCTTCTAAAATTTGAAAATTAAAAAATAAACTTTAGAGGCTCCCATCTTGAAATGATCTTCTGATACTGTCCTTATGCACCTCTTACTATTTCTATATTTTAGTTAAGTCTTTCTAAAATTATTTAGTTTGTAATGTACTGTACGATAAATTTTTTTTTTTTTGATGTAAGGTACAGTGACCTTTCCAACAGAAATTGTAAATCATTATTACATTCATACAATCGTACAAATGTGCAAAATTGAAAAATCCACCATTTCTATAGTTTTACTATACATGTCTTTGCAAAATTTATGTTTTTATTTACTCCATATGTAGCTGAGTTTCCAATCTAAATTCTAAGAACTCAGTAAAAAGTTTATCTAGTTTTCCGGTAAACAATAACTTAATCAGGGACAAAGCCAGGATCTAGAAAAAGGTAGGGCAAATTTAAATAGGTGAGGCAAAACTGAGGCATAAGTCAATATAATATTTTCATGAGAGGATTTCAATTTCACAATTTCAATAGAATTTTGGCAGTTACCTCACCTGCAGTTGCTTCGCCTGCATTTGCCTTGCCTCTAGTAGCCTCACCTGCAGTTACCTCACCTGCTTCATGCATGGCTATCCCATGTCAGTTTTACAAGTACCATGGTTTAAAACTGAATGTGAATTTTCTCATTTCTAGGGAAAAAATGCGGGTATATAAAACCAAGCTACTACCTCGTCATCCTCCTGTATTTAAGGAGTGGTTCCTGAAAACCTTCCCAGATCCAACATCATGGTGAGATACATTTTTTTTAAAAAATATTATATACCTTAATTTTCATGCAGTTGCTAGGAAAATGAAGCCAGTGCAGAAATAAGAGTCTTTGGTCAGAAATGTTTGTCAAAAGATAAAAATTATTTGAATCTCCAACTTGTCTGTCTGTCCATCTACATGTATATATATAGTATTATTCCATCAGTTTCTCTGTTTGCCAATTGCTTTCAGGGAAATGAAATCTGATATTTCTCTTAACAGATGTTCTCATCCATTTTCCGAGAATATCATTCTGTTAATTTGAAACTGGCTTTATGTCATATTAGTCATTTTACACTTTATAACTGTATTCTTTTGAATATAAGGTATATGGCACGTCAGTCTTATGCCAGAACAACTGCGGTCATGAGCATGGTTGGCTACATCCTGGGACTTGGTGATCGTCATGGTGAGAACATTCTGTTTGATTCAACAAACGGCGATGTTGTACATGTCGACTTCAACTGCCTGTTTAACAAAGGCGACACCTTTGACTGGCCAGAATTGGTACCGTTTAGACTGACACGCAACATGGTTGATGCAATGGTGAGTTTAATTGACCAATCCAGTAAATCATATCACCTTGGTTACTGTATGATATCATTGTTGTTGTTGTTGTTGTTGTTACGAAGTTAAGGCAAAAACTTGGGTTGAACAAATTGGGTCAGGATTTATTGGTTACGTTTTACTTGTGAATATTTTAAGGGTTTAATACTGTATGATAGTTTAAATGTAATCTGGTTGTAATGTACAATAACAATAAGAAAAGGCATATTCAGTATTTTTTACTAAGTTGTATTGACTCACTTATTAAAAATGATATGAGCTTCGTGATATTGTGAATATTGTAAAATTTATATTTGGCCAATTAAAAAAGCTTTCAAAATGTTATAGAGATGGCTCTGACATAAAAAGATCTTAAGTTTTGCCATGAAAAGTACTTTGATGATAATAAAAAGTGAGATGATTTGGTTTTAGTGTACCATCTTTGCAATGTTAATAGCCTCGTTTGATTTTGAAACAGATATGAACAATTGTCAAAATATAACCCTAGTTAGATTTCAAAACAAATATGAACAAAGAAAGTTATCCCAATTGTCGAAATATAAGTGTATGAGTTGCAATCAAATTGCATCTGTACTACATGTATATTCTAGTGCATTGGAAAGGGCACAATTCTATTCTGGTGCCCTATGTGTCACATTGGAAAGGGCACAATGCAAAATCCCTTTAACCTTTTGAATCCCAGGCTTTAAAATTGGTTGAAACCAAACCAAGAGATTTTTTCATTTTTGCCACCTTTTGACATTATACTACATACCTATACAGCTACAGATGCTCAACTTAGTAAAATTAGACGGCAGAGATAATTTCTACACATTTTAAAAACTTTTTTGTGTAAATTGGATGAAAATTGTTCAAATAAGAGCAATTTTTGTGAAAAATTTTGTGACGGATTTTCGAGAAATCTCGTCACTCCAGGTAGTCAAGAGGTTAAAGTCAGCAATTTTGTCAGTGTCTTGGTTCAAAGAATGAAGTATTTTTGACTAGAAAACCCTGTGATTCATATGTTACAACTGTTATACATGTATATTGTTTCAGGGACCAATGGGATATGAGGGCTTGTTTAGGAGGGCTTGCGAGGTGACCATGCGTGTAATGCGAGACCAAATGGATCCTTTAATGAGGTACATTTGTTGTGCTTTCTACCTCTTTAAGCTCTTAACTGCGCCTCCTTTTCAACATTTATTTTGATAAATATTCTCATTTTATGATCATGAACGGAAAGGAAATGTAAAGGACCGGGAGTTGTATGTAGAATGAATTCGGGAGTTTTTTAATGCATTTCTCTTATGCTTTAAATCTAAAAAAAACATGAATACTCTTTCAAACATTTTTTGACTGTAAGATTACAACATATGGTATAAAAATATTTTCTCATTTTCATAGATACTCCACACAGATTAACACCCGGGTGTTTTATTTCTAGAACTTTACAGTGCTTGGAATCATTGTTATTACAAGGTCAGCAAGAATGCTGTTTTAAATAGGTTTTACTTCTGCGAATTTTGCGGCCATTTACAACTTATTTCATATACATTTTGCATTATCAACCATTGATGACTTTTCTATTTGACAGCAAATCTTAATTCTTTCAAGAAGATTGTCAATTCGTATAGATGGACTTATATTGTACTCAACTTCCCAGGATTTTTATATTCTGAAAAATGTCAGGCATATAAATTATAAAAATATCTTATGAAAATATGAGTTGATATTACACATTATGGTAATCTCTTCTGTTGCCTGACCTAAATCACTAGTGCCATCTATTTATTACCTATCTATGTAGCAAGTAATCTATTTACTATAGATCTATACTGTCAATACAGATTTCCTTTAATAATTGTATAGATAATATATGACTGTTTAATAAAAAGACGTTTCGCATTACATTTTTGGCTCAATGTATCTAATATGTGTAACATATTCACTAGATTTATGTGTAGCACTTCAAATATAATGAGATGTGGTTGCGGATATGTTTTAGCTATAATACGTACAAAACCTCTCTATTGATATTCTGTATTGATATTATCTGCCTTTATTCCAGTGTGTTGAAAACCTTTATATTTGACCCTCTTGTCGAGTGGGCAGGTAAACCCACAAAGGGACGTTCAAATTCTTCAGAAACTGGAGAAATCAAGAATGATCAGGTAAGTAAAGATTAAAAGATTAGCCTTTTTAATAATGTCATTCCCCAATCTCTCCATTTGAAACCAGTGGATGTTTGCACCTGTACTTGGGCTCTATATACATGTATTATGTTGATTTAATCGGCTTATGTTACAAAGGAACATTCAAATTCTTCAGAAACTGGAGAACTAATGACCAGCTTAGTTATTAAGGATACATACAATTAAAAGATTAGCAACCTTATTTCCCTTCTATTTTACCATTCATTTTTCAACATCTTTTGACACTTAGATATCGTCTATAGATGTCAGTATTGTATAGCCAGAAATTTTGGACTGCGATGATCACTACATGTAGGTATGTCAACATACCACCAAAAGTGATGACATATTGTAAGTCTTTTTTGTGGATGGTGTTTTGTGGTCGGTTGTTTAAAAAATGGCAAGTGTTAATATTTTGTATGTGTATGCGCTGATTAACTTTCAGTGGCCATCTTGCTTTCTGGGTCAACAAGCCCAAAGTGCCATTTAAAATATTTTTCACCCTGTGCCTTGTTAATAATTCCCTTTTTGGTTCAATTTCAGGCTCAGATGAATGTTCAAAACATTGAATGTCGTATGAAAGGGGAGCTCAAAGCAAATAAGCACAAAAGGAGTAGAGGCCTTCCCTTATCAATTGAAGGCCATGTAAACCATCTTATAAAGGAGTCTACCAAGGATGAAAACCTGTGTGCCATGTACATTGGTTGGGCTGCATATATGTGAACCAAAATTTTCGACTTGTAGATTGGTACTAAGTGACATTTTGTAAATAAGAGAGTTTATGTGGACTATTTTATAATTTAATACATTGAATTGAATTTATGGGCTATTAATGCAAACCAAAATTGTGACATGTAGATTGATACTAAGTGACATTTTGTAAATACAGGGTGACCGGAAAAAAAGGAGACCATTGAAATAGGCAATATCTCCTAAAATAGACTAGTGACATCAATGAAATTTTGCATACATCAGGACAGTTCTATGGAAATTTGTTCCTGAAAGTGTCAATACAAGCAGTCAACTGGTTCAGGAGCTATGATCATTTACATAACATGCTCCAAATAGGCGCAATTGAGACCAACGCAGAGCTGGATACATTTGGCAAATACCCTTACATATTCCGACCTTGTTATGGCATTACATTTAGCATTTATTGCCACCTTTAGGTCAGCAATTGTCTCAGGATTGTTTTGGTACACATTGTCTTTCAAATTGCCCCACAAAAAGAAATCAGGTGGATTCAAATTTGAGGTGTATGGAGACGAAGCTTATCTGACCTATGGCTTCTGACTCAGTGGTCCCACTCAGTTACAGTATCATCCTAAGGAGGTTTTGGGCAGCCCTTGGTTTCCATATGGGATTTAATTGTGCCATATAGTGGTTTTAGTAACATGGCACTATGCCCAATACCTAAAGTGACTCTTAAGATTGGGTAAATCAGCACTTTGGCAACAGGATGATGAACCACATGTCAGATAACCCTTCATTGCCATTACAGCCTAGACTTGAATCCTGCTGATTTCTTTTTGTATGGATATTTGAAAGACAATCTATACCAAAACAATCCTCAGACTATTGTTGACCTAAAGAAGGCAATCACTGCTATATGTAATGCCATAATAATGCCATAGAGGGCAGAACATGTAAGGGTAGTTTGCCATATGAATCCAACTCTGCGTTGGTCTCAATTGTGCCTATTTGGAGCATGTTATGTAAATGATCATAGCTCCTGAACCAGTTGAATGCTTGTATTGAAACCTTCAGTAACAAATTTCCATATAACTGTTCCAGTGTATGCAAAATTTCATTGATGGCACTTGTCTAGTTTAGGAGAAATTGATTACTTCAATGGTCTCCTTTTTTTCCGGTCACCCTGTAAGAGAGTTTATGTGGACTATTTTATAATTTAATACATTGAATTGAATTTATGGGCTATTAAAGCAAACCAAAATTTTTCGACTTGTAGATTGATACTTAGTGACATTTTTGTAAATAAAAAATTTAATGTGAACTATTTTATTTAATACATTGAATCGAATTTATTGGGCTGCATATATGTGAATAAAAATTGTAACTAATAGATTGATTCCAAATGACATTTTTTGTAAATTAATTAATTTTACATGGACTATGCGTTATTATTGTTATATATCCTGTATGTTTCTAGATGCTCATTTGCTTATTTATGGTCACATAATATGAAATAGATGAATTAATTCCTGGAAAGTCCTAAATCCCTGCTAAGATGAAAAGTCCTAATGACCAGTTATGTAATGTTACCAGTCAATAGTACTCTTTATCTTCCCTACTAGCAGGAACTATAGGAGTTGAATGGCAAAATGCCTTTAATACAAATAAAATGACAGCATTACATTTTGAAATTAAAAGACTTCATTTTGTTTTTCTTTATAGAGTACATGTGGGGTATAATAAAACAAACTGTGACTGCCGCATTTTTTCAGAAAATAGTGCAAAAATCTTCCCTTAAGATGTATGTGATTTTCGCATTTTTCGGAAAATAGCGCAGAAATCTTCCCCCCCCTCAGAAAATGTGTGATTGCCGCATTTTCGGAAAAAATGCAAAAATCTTCCCCTTAGAAATAAGTGATTGCCGCATTTTTCTTGAAAATAGTGCAAATCATCCCCCAATAATATGTGATTGTCGCATTTTTTGTACAAAAAGTGCAAAAAGTTCCCCCTCAGAAATATCTGCCAGCTAACATGCTCCTCGGCCTGCAGCCTCGGAGAATGTCGGTGGACAAGATACATGTATTCCCTTGGGTAAAATAATTTGTACTACATGTATTTCCCTCATTGACAGTCACTACTTGAATATTAATACATTGGTTTGGCAACATATAATGTATATATACAGTATACATGAATGGTATATGAATCGAAATATTTCAGAGAAATGCTTTGATTAAAAAAGTTGATATCCCTTTTTCAGTTTCAACAAATTTGCCCTCTCAAATCATCATAAATCCATATACAGGTTCATGTCTAAAGGTAAGATTGTATACATGTAGCACCGGGTGAGGCAAAAAGTAAACAGGTTTCAATTGTTTTGATCTGAAAAATATTATTCTGTATACATTTGGTGAGGATATTGCCTCACATGTATAATGCCTGGCCATGCCCATGTACATGTGCAATATGCTGTACTGTCACTGTAAAACAGGTTCTTAATTTCAACATACCCCGCTTTGTTTGTTATTTGTTAAGATATTTAAAAAGCAAGCAATACACTTTTGTAGCTTCAGATATTTTATATTTACGTTGAATTGTGTATAAAGGTTTCGTTAAACTCTTAACATATTCATGGTCTGACGGGCAATTTTATTTAACGGAGCCTTTACATTAAAAGGATTCCTTTGCATGTTAAAACATTTAGGGTGTTTGAAGAAACTGAATAGGCCGTGCCTCAAAAAGAAATAGTTCTTTTTGACAATTTATTATACATACATGTACATGCGTTTTTTAACAAGCTTATCAATCTTTAGAATTTGATGACTTGCTTGAGGTTTCATCGGAGTTCATATCCACAATATTTTCCCATGTTATGTGCCCATTTTTGGTCGTAGATTTCTTTATTGTCCTATACCGATTGTTATCAGCATAGAGCACGATCTGTTCACGTTTCACAATACTTTCTGGAATATTTTCGATGTTGTTGTTTGTCACTCGAAGGAGGTTCAGTTTGGGGAGTTTTGAAATAAACCCTGGGAATTCATCAAGGTCATTTTCTGAAAGGTCAAGTTTTTCGAGATTCATCGCACCTTTGATTTCTTTTGATAGAGTTCGGATATAGTTTTTTCTAAGATTCAGTACTTTTAGTGATGTTAGTTGGGTAACATTGGGATTCAGACCAGATATAAGATTATTGTCCAGATAAAGTTCCTCGAGATTTTGGACATTTAACAATCCCTGGGGCATTTCTGTGAGAAAATTATCACTGAGCGTAATTTTACAAAGTCTTTTACAGTGTTGAATTTGCATAGGTAGAGCTAGTAGGCAATTCCCACTGACATCGATTGACACAAGATTCGTCATTTCACCGATGACATCGGGTAGCATTGTTAAATAATTGACACGTAAGTTCAGAAATGTTAAGAGTTTGAGATCCCCAATTTCAGAGGGTAGGGTAAATATTGCATTGTGGTGAAGATCTAACTTGTTCATCATTTTCAGGTTTTTGATTTCAGAATTGATTTCCTGGATTTCATTGTATCCGAGATTCAGTCGTCGTAACTCTGTAAGCTTGAGAACTCCATGTGAGATTTCCTGGAATTTATTGTTACTGAGGTCAAGATTGGTCAGTTTTGTAAGCTCAGAGACCTCTATTGGCAGGTTTTGTAATTGATTGCCCCCTAGGAATAACTCCTTCAATTGTTTTAATCTTGATATTTCACTTGGAAGTTGGCCCAGTTCATTTTTACTCAGGTTCAGTCTTACTAAGTGTTGCATTTGAGATATATGTTTTGGAATGATCTGGATGTTGTTGCATCCTAAATTTAAAACTCGTAATTTCTTCAAGTTAATTAAATCTAATGGAATATGTGTGATGTAGTTTTCTTGGAGGTTGAGAAACCCAATTTCTCTGTATGCAAAGATTATGTTCGGGATTTCTGTTAAGCCCCGCCCCCAGAGGCTTAACATCTTTGTGCCATCCTCGCATGACGTTACAATCATATCCCTTATTAGGTAGTCCATTGGATGAGGTTCCATTCTATAATAGTTTGCATCGATTGCGGAATTTGTGATTTTGGGCAAGTTCCAATCTGAAAATGAAATTAAGTTTTGCATGAACAAAAATATGAGTATGCTATGATAAAGGTATATGTACATGCTACATTACTTCATCATTTTGATATTCAAAGAGAAAATAAATACTTCAAGTGACTTCATGATATTGAAATTCCATGAGGCAGTATATGATTAAAGCTCTGTGATGTTGATATTTCATCACAATAAATCTGTTAGCATAGGGTATTAAATACCCTTTGCATTCGCTCGACTTCACTTCTTAAAAAAGAGCTTGTCTTGCATACGCAGGGTAGGTATTAAAATCTCTTAGTAAATTCTTCGGGTCATTGTATAGAATTGCTTCAATCTGCTAGGCTTAGGGTACCATTGATTCATATAGAGTATCAGGGATAATAATTTTGATGGAATAACTAATGAAAAAGATTGTAAAACTTACCACTATTTTTTCCGTTTAGTTTCTTCTGTTTCATATTTAATCTGTTTTTGAAGAAGGAAAACATCTTGGATCTTGATGTCATAAATCCTCTTATCACTGTATTAGGTGTCACAAATAAATGATTGAGCTGTCATAAATCTGCATTACTACATCTCGATATACTCCCAATATTGCATTTACATTCAGTTGGACTGTATGTATAGCCGATTTTCCTGTCCAAAAACAATTTTCAATCTCTTCCATTATTTTACCATCATCTATCTTAAAATTAGATAGAATTATAAAAAGAACTTTGCTGAACAACTGATTGATATATATATTGTTCTTCAATTCTAAAATCCTAGATTATTTTTCTAAATTTACAGTAAATTCGTGAAAAGGATAGCTGATTTTTAAATTTATTTTTAGGTTTGAAGTTAAGTTCCCACAGTGTTTGAATTTGTTGTTTACTCTTCACCAAAAGAAAAACAGACGAAATGTTTTCTGCCCAAGATCATTTCGCGCCTTTTCTCTCTAAAATTTGAATGAACTGACTAATTTTCTTGCATTTCTATAAAATCTAGACCTCTTACTACATGTCTGGATATGTTGTTCTTTGCCAATGCTGCTCGATTCCTCCCTGCTTTTGCTTTTTAAATATGACCTTTATGTTATTTTATTTACTGGTATATATAGCTTGAACGGGACAAACTTTGTAAAGATTCCAAGCACCTTTATATTTACTTCACATAAAACAGGTTCAGTTTCTTTTGAACCAGGAGTAAAACATTTCATGAATGAACCCTTTGAAAATATAAATAGGTTTGATATAATGAATATAACCTTATAATATACACATTATTCTCAAATTGAAGTAAATTAAGGGTAGATCGCAATTATTGTATTATTTCCTGATTTGTGCCTCAGAAAATTCAAATTGTCTTTATTATTTGTGCCTCTGAAACTCTTAAATGGTCACCCAAATGCTTAAATTGGTAGAAATTCTGATAAATCTCCAATGTTTGTATTTTTTGTGACAAATACAGATTCATATATATTATAGTATTCGTTGGGATTTGGTACTCCGTGGAGTTGCCATTTTCTAGTTATATCATTGATAAGTTATTAACTTATAAGGGTATATTTTTAGAAAATATGATATTAAGACCAAAGTGATATGATGATACACAATGTTTAGTCAAAGGTACATATCCTCATGTTAAGTCAATAGCCTATATATAGACTACACTTGCTGCAATTTTAATATTCTCAGGAGAAAGTTAGTAATTTGTATAGTAATTTGTATAGTACATTCCCAAATACCCAAAATTACACATTAAAGTACATATTATTTTCAAATATCAAATCTCATTTCTACTGAAAATATAAATTCTGACGTATTGTGAAGCATGATGAGGTCTCTGCACTTAATGACCCCTATCGCAGCCTATCTGGGTTCAAACTCTTAAATATTCTCCAAAGTATAATTTGACATTGAATAAGTTATTGTAAATCTAAAAATAATCCATTCTGGCTATATGGGGTACTTGTAATTTTGAAGTTTTCATAAAATTAATAAATGATCCCTTGGGGATGAAAGGGTTAATATCTAATTTTGCATTTACTAAAAAGTCAAATGGAGGTCAGATTCTTAAAGCTGACCCTTTCCGCTTCCTAACGGTGTATTGGAACTACACACTTCTTTCAAATCTCTTTGACTGAAAACATAATGGGGCCGTGGCCCTTAATGACCCCTTTCTCTGAAATGTTCTCAAAAGTATAATTTGGCATTGAATAAGTTATTGTAAACTTAAATAAGTTATAATAATAATCCATTCTGGCTATTTAGAGTGTAAGCAGGTCCGGAAAAGGCTTCATTAATTTTCCAATAATGGCGTTTGAATATAGAGTTAAGCCACCTACACATTCTTGGCATACTCAAAGCCCTTAGCCTGTAGCGGTTGATTGTCTGGTAGGGGTGATGGGGCAGGGATATTGGCTGTTATAGCTACCAAGTAAAGATAATACCGGTTAAGCCTGAATGTTAAGTTATTTGTTTAATAAATACACAACGATAGATGCCATACTCACAGGATTGAGAGCTTATGCCCCAACCCTTCTTTCATTAAAATTAGACCAATCAAAGTTATGTTGTTGCCATGGTAACGTCAATAAAAGGAGAACTAAATGGATTTTTATAGTTAAATGTTCAAAAATGGAAGAGGCACAAGTTATTATCCCATTGAACATGTTGAACGAGGGGGATATTAGGAAAGCCGTCCGTCTTATTCGTCCGTCTTATCCCTCCGTCCGTCTGTTCGGGCAATAACTCGAATACCGGTTGACGGATTTGATTCAAATTTTATAGACTTATGCCTAATTTTCAATATGGCTACTTAATTAAATATTTTTTGAATAGTCTTGCTCAAGAAGACATTTTCAAGATGGCCGCTATACAAGGCGCGATCCATATATTCTGATAAAGATGTTCTCGTTTTGTGATTTTTTCACTTATCCCTCTCATTTTTTCAGAAAATGTAGATTATGTAATTACACATACAATGCTTAAATATTGTAGCTACATGTATATCTTAAATTAATATTGAGATAAAGTTGCCATGGTAACCTGTATTTAGGGTAGGCTGGCCAATTGAATTGATATAACAAATAAATTGTTATTTTAAAGCATGCGGAAATCATATATTTTTTCTCAAAAAGTTGTTGTTGCGAAACAAATGTTTATTTGTGCTCACTATAACATCACAACAGCTCACAATAGCATTTTATGACAAAATGGGCCAATTGACATTACATGCCATGAGACTCCAAAAATCAAAACGGCTGATGAGGTGTGTGGCTGATGCTGAGTATGACATTAACGGATACATTAGTACCATTAGATTTATGTACTGTACTTTCAAGAAGACTACACCGTCAGATTCATATATGGAAACTTTAAGTGTATGGGTAAGGTGTTATATCTGCTTAAAGAATCTATAGGAAGTACTGTAAAAGGGAAGTTATGATCACTGTTGAAGATCATCCATGATCTTGTTGCAAGAAGAGCTTGCAGACAGAGAATAACACTAAGATAATTAGTGCAACTTGGGAAGAGAGCAGTATCTCATTGTGTATATTAGCAAACAAAGGCAATAAGGGTACGGAACAGTTCAGGGAATAGATGGCAATGACGGGAAGATGCGTTTGATCTGCTTAAAATAGGTACCGAAGGAATGATTAATTAACAAATTTATCTATTTTATACGTTATGATTTAACTGACCTGCCTACCCTAAATACAGGTTACCATGGCAACATTATCTCAAAATTAATTTAAGATATAGCTATTACATTTTAACATTGTATGTGTAATTACATAATCTATATGTTCTGAAAAAATGACAGGGATATATAAAAAAAATCACAAAATGAGAGCATTTTTATCAGATTATATGGATCGCCCCTTGTATTTCAAAATGGCCGCCAACTTAAATACCATTGAATGAATTTGGTTCAAATTTTACATGCTGATGCCTAGGGACATAGGAGCTCTGCCCAAGAAGGGATTTTCAAGATGGCAGCTTAATTTGAGATGAATTTTTTGGCTAACTCTCTAATACGCTATCTGACCATCTTTCTTTGCAGAGATGGCATTGGGTTCTATTATATGTCAATTTTTTGCCTATCACCTAGTTGTAAGTAGTGTGCATTGGTGATGTAATTTCTTGTTCAAGATTTAACGAATTTAGATCAAATATCATTATATTTAGATTGGCAGTACATTTTTAAACATTTTTAAGATACTCCGCTGTAATTTATTGGAGAAAAATCCGTTTTATATGCTTGAATATTTGGACAGTGAAAACCCAGTCTGGAGACAGTTTATGACATGCAGCACTTTCTGCGTACCGTACACTGTAGGTGCAGAAAATAAGAAAAAAACGAATCGTCAAGTTTAGAGCATCACAAAACTCTGCTCAAACTCGGAACTCGTGGTTCCTTTAGTCAATTGCCTAAACTGATAAAGAAAAAGTGCATATCAGAAAAGGAATTTGGTATGAAGATTGTTCAGAACTTTGTAAGCCATGGCTACATAAAACCTTTAGATAGCGCCAGGCTTGATGAGTTGTCAAAAATACCATATGGGCCAAACGCTGAAGAATTTGAAAGACTGATTTTGAACTATGTGGATAAAAGTAATAAAACTCGCTTATTGGCCCTCCCGGCAGAAGCTCAAAAAGCTGCATTTGCCAGTCTGCCAACAGATATACTATTACGACTTAAAATGGCCTACTTAAACGACCTTTAAAACGACCTTAAACGACACTGCGACGTCGCAAAGACTGCTATACCTTGATGAATAAGGCCTCTGAAATTGTTTAATTATGATAACAATTAAGAGATGTGTATTTTGTAAAAATCTTTACCTTAACCACTATAACAATAATGTTTGTCATAAATCACGCTTTTCCAAAGTCACACTGATTTGCCAAATATCATGGTTTAACTCTCAGATGGGAAAGATTACAGTCATTTTAAAATTTAGTATTTTCCAAAAAATAAGTTCAATTTTACGCCACATTACTATTGAAAATTCCTTCAAATAGTGGTGTGGAATTTTGTAAGCCTCTTTATTAAAACCATTTAAGGCACTTTAGAAGAGTTTCCTTTGAGTATCTACCCTCACCATTCTCTCCCGAATCGTCAAGTTTAGAGCATCACAAAACTCTGATTAAACTCGGAATTCGTGAATCCTTTAATCAATTGCCTTAAAACTGATGAAGAAAAAGTGCATAATTATTAGAAAAGGAATTCGGTATGAAGATTGTTCAGAACTTTGTAAGCCATGGCTACATAGAACCTTTAGATAGCATCGAGCTTGATGAGTTGTCAAAAATACCATATGGGTCAAACGCAAAGAAGAACTGGAAAGACTGATTTTGAAGTATGTGGATAAAAGTAGTAAAACTCGCTTATTGGAGCTATTTTCAAATTTCTTCCATGTGCATATAATAAAAAATGGGTCATTTACCTGGAGGTTTAGGCTACAGGGTTTATCCTGAGGAAAATATGTGGGGAACAGTACTAGGCATCCTTGGTTTGAGGGAATTGTACTTCTACCTTTAATAGTTCCAAATGCAACGAAGCCTTTTGAGGGGTGTTTACCCTGCGCGCAGAGTCTAGTTAAACTACACTCGTGAAGACGAAGCTCTCTTTTAAGAAGTGAAGTCAAACGAATGCAAAGGGTAGAATTTATATGCACATGGTCAATGTTTACACATGTTTGGAGTTATTGAAGAAAATGTGATATGGGTGTGGTTCCGAATTTGAAGTCATTGCTGGAAAATATGATTTTAATACGTGAAATTATATCTATAAATACAGCACTAAAAATAACAGTACACATGAAGTACATGTATGATTGTGTCCAGAAATGTTTGAAACCCTTACGGAAAATTCTGTCTACATTTTGTCACCATTGCTCTTTCTTCCCGCATTCCAGTGCTGTTTGAATGAATTTATTAATTAATGTATTTCTAACTAAAATATATCACATTTATAAACCACAAACATTTAAAAATTCAATACTTGAGTGAGCACGATATGCAAGGGTTACTAAGTTGACACAGTAAATGACCACTGATATTGTGTTAGTCCATGCACACAGCGTATTCTGCTACAGCAAGGGGGGCCAGTAAAGAAGACTAACATGTTTGCATGGCAAGTTTTGATCGAATATGTGAGACACTTCAAAGCTTTATATGAGGATTTTGGAATGATAAGTTATAAAGACGGAGTCACTATGATATTTGCTTGTGAGAAGGGAGATCTTACATTGCAAGTTTTGTCAATCACCTACGCAATGTTCCTGTTCATCCAGACAAGCTTCATTTGCAATTTAAGAGTCTTATACGACTTATGTTTAAGATGTAAATAAAGATGCAATACAATTTAGTTGTTTTGCTCTCCAAATAAACGGGGGAAATAGAGAAACATAACATAACATATTTGTTTTGTACTTGTATATTTATTCAATCACCAATTTGGTGACAATACTTTCTTTTTTACAACATATTTACATTACAAAGGACAGAGTAATAAAAAGTATTATTTACACAATGCTACATTTATCTATTGACTTAATTAATTTAGTTCCTTCAATTTTACATTTCTATAGTTATACATATTGCATATCATTTTGCAGCAGTGGAACTTAATAGTAAAATCCATTTTATCATTTATACCTGGTATTTCTGGTAATCCCATCATGATATAAAACCTTTCAGTTTCTGATCTCATGTAAAAGCATAGGCTTTCAACTAGAATTGAAAGCCCATGGTAAAAGTTATCATATGAGATTTAATGTCAAAGCTGGCATTGTTGCATAGACTAAGCTTATCGGATTTGATATGGGAACATTGTTCACTAATAATTTAACTAAGATATTACCACGCCAGTATTTGCCGCGTTTATACATATAACGAGTAATATCGTTGGGCTCGGTCCAATAATAATGTAACTCCTTCTGTGACTTAAAATTGGAACAGGGAGACAGTGGTCCTGTAAGTTAAGCCCGACTTCTTGAAGCATGTATACCAAAATTTGGAATGGGCATTAAACTAAGGTAGGTGATTTTGAACGAAATTATAAACACAGAGAGCGATACAAAAAGCAAAGCCAATTGTCTTATTTGTTGTTCCCTCTTCAAAAGAAAGACGCGAAAGATTTTCCTCAAGGTAAAAATATTTCCTAGAATTTGAACAAGAAAGGTATTTTAATGCAAGTTTACCAAACTGTATTTTGAATATATTTCATGTAAGTTTAGGACAGGAAATCATAAGCTTCCTATTGAGAGAGGTACGTATGAATAGATTTTGTGATTTATGTAAATCAGATAAGTTGGGAGATGAATACCAATTTATTATTGAATGTACATCTCTTCAGCATTGAAGAATTAAATTTTTGCCTGGATATTTCTGTAATAATGTTAATACATTGAAATCAACTAATGAGTACCAGGGAAAGAAAGTTGTAATTAAACTGGCACATTTTATAAAGGAGGCAAATGTTTTTATGACTAAGCATCATTAGTGGTAAATCATGTATTTATTAAAAAAGTGATTAGATATGGTGTAGAGATTGGTTGTTATTGTGTCGAAAATTTCAAAATTATGTTACTAATGTGATATAAGGTAGATAATATGAGGGTTTGTAATTTCATTCGACTTTCAACACTTTCATTCGAATCTTACCGGACTACTTTAGTGTTCATTGTACACGCTGTTCTTGATTATACTACGTATAAAGCGTGCGTGTGTAAAAGCAAAATTGCGTAATTAATTTGATTCAGAACTTTCGGGTCACACAAATAGCTACGCGAGATGTATCGTTGGAAAATATTGACCAATCAAAATTTGTACTTTTTGAGGGCATTTTAAGTACATATTTTCGTACCTTCTCGATTAAAGAGCGAACCACGAAAGGCTTAATTGGCTCATTTTTAAAACCCCAGTAACTAAAGCAATGAGTTTATAGGAAAAGTTCCCAACTGATCAAGAAGAGTTTTCCTTCTTTTAAGAGAATTGTCAAGACGCATCTTAAAAATAAAAATTTATCATTACCCACCTCTCCGTTAGAACCATCACGAAGGAGTGAAATATTTTTAAACCGCATTAGATGTAATTTTATTTTCTCTGGCCAGCTTTCTTACATAATTTTAGAGATGTAGAAAGTTTAGAAGGTTAAGGAAAATGTTCAACTCATTGTTACTAAACGGCCATATGAAGAAGCAGTCATATAGAAAACGTTTAAAATTCGAACGGATTTGTTCTGTATAGTAATTGCTGTGTCTAATGTCGTTTTAGTAAGGCTATTAAGAAGGACTTCTTCGATGTACGCCATGCCTCATTGTGGGATCCACAGCCTTTACTATCCTTTTTCTCTCAAAAGCGTTAGGTAAAGAGGGATTCTGATAAATCAGAATGGCCATGCCTGGCCAGGTTTGCATACGTCGGCTCGATTTTGGTTCCCATCGCCGTACCACGTATTTGTTTATATATCATTTTTTTTCTAAAATGAAATGAATTTTGCGCTTTGGGAAATGATTTTTTGGATAATGTATTCTGTTTTAAAGGAGTGGTATCGATATGGAGAACTTTCTGAACACACGTTTCTCTTAAACCAGTCATAAAAAATCTAAAAATTTAATGCATCGTCATTTTAATGGTAATCTTTTGAATTTTAACAATATACTTTGAAATATATATATATACTTTCAACTATATTGTTTTAGAAAACACATCAAACACTTGTTTTGTTCTTGGTATCATGTTTCCAGAGTGAAATGAAACATCTTTCCGAACCTCATTGGAACATCATTTACAATTGGTGGATAATTGCCACGATTCATGTAACGAATATCCGTCAATCCAATGTTCTAACAAACATATAAGTTAATAAATAGAAAATTGAATTTTACTTTATTGAAGCTCCTTCTTCGAAAATATTTGGACAATTCGGAGGTGCAAAAAATAAAGAAACCTTTTGGGAGCTAAGTCTGTCAAACCTATAGAGGGATGTATGATATTGAAAAAATATTGTATCCTTTTTAAAACAAATGTTATCTAAGAATATAAATTATAGAAAAAGTGACCATCCATACATTCATTTGTAATTGTCTGTTCGGCTAATAAGATGATCGGATCTAGCAGAGAAACCAATAATTTTTCAGCGGTTTGCCCCTCTTGATTTTTACCCTTTGCATTCGTTAGACTTCACTTCTCAAAAGAGAGCTTCGTCTGTAGTTTAACTAGACTCTGCACGCAGGGTACTTGATTTTATCAGAACCGCCCCCGTAGATTATAAGCAAGTAGGACATCTTCACTTTTTCAATTACAAAAGGACGAATAAATGAACCACAACAAACATCAAACATTGATGCATTCATATAGAAATAATTGGTTAAATCAAGCTTTTTGTTTAAATAAAAGAAAATCTTTACAATGTATTTTCCGAGAAACCATTTCCGCACTCTACTGTCTGAAGCACATTCTGGTTAATCTTTTATTATGATGTTTTCAGCCTGTCACATCCAAGCATACTTGAATAATATTCGGAACAATGAAGGTACCGTAAGGATAACTCACCCAAGGATACGCCTATTCAATTTTTACTTTGGCTACATGAAGGATATTAGTGGGGCTGTATGGAAAGTTAAATTGTACCAAAAATTATAACATACATCTGGTTCAACAGCTAGAAATAAAGATCAGAATGAAGAAAATTTTACTTCTAGTGCTACTAATTTTAGTGACCTGCCTATATATCTTCAACCTTTGGCAGACATTTGACACGGATACACATGTGGAGGTACCGAAACCATTGCAATATATCCAAGCAAAGGGCAACGGGAATCGAATACAAGAGAGAAGAAAATCATTGCACGAAAACTGTCGCAGACATACAAGATATTATAAGAATGATACTCGCCATCAAGAAAGAATATATAAGAGGGTGATCGTTAATGAACAATTCAAATTTCTCTTCTGTCCCGTTGCAAAGACTGGCAGTACATTTTTTAGAACAATTTTTAAGATACTCTACTATAATTTAACGGAGAAAAATCCATTTAAAATGCTTAAACATTCAGTCTGGAAAGAGCCCTTCCCAACGTTACTTGACTATAACAAAGTTGAACGAGCTAAAATACTGAGAACATACACAAAAGTCCTTTTCGTCAGGGACCCATTTAAAAGACTTTATTCTGCGTACCAAAGTAAATTTCGAGCTATAAATGTAGTCAATACAGGTAAATTAACGAAAGCAATTATGAAGGATGTTCGACAAAACCCCAACAAAAAATCGCTGGCCTGTGGCCTTGATTTAAAATTTGAAGAATTTCTAAGTTACGTAATAGCTTCTGAAAAGGATGATGTAGAAAACATGAACAATCATTGGATACCAACAGACGTCGTATGTGATCCGTGTATGATCGATTATAACATTATAGGGAAAATGGAGACAGTTTATGACGACATGCAGCACTTTTTGCGTACCATAGGTGCAGTAAATAAGATAGAGTTTCAAAAGCCCGAATCGTCAAGTTTAGAGAGTCACAAAACTCTGCTTAAACTCGGAATTCGTTATTCCTTTATTCAATTGCCTAAGCTGATAAAGAAAAAGTGCATATCAAAAAAGGAATTCGGTATGAAGATTGTTCAGAACTTTGTAAGCCATGGCTACATAGAACCTTTAGATAGCGTCAAGCTTGATGAGTTGTCAAAAATACCATATGGGCCAAATGCTAAAGAAGAACTGGAAAGACTGATTTTGAACTATGTGGATAAAAATAATAAAACTCGCTTATTGGCCCTCCCGGCAGAAGCTCAAAAAGCTGCATTTGCCAGTCTGCCTACAGATATAATATTAAGACTTAAAATGGCCTTCTTAAACGACCTTTAAAACGACCTTAAACGACACTGCGACGTCGCAAAGACTGCTATAGCTTGATGAAAAAGGCCTCTGAAATTGTTTAATTATGATAACAATTAAGAGATGTGTATTTTGTAAAAATCTTTACCTTAACCACTATAACAATAATGTTTGTCATAAATCACGCTTTTCCAAAGTCACACTGATTTGCCAAATATCATGGTTTAACTCTCAGATGGGAAAGATTACAGTCATTTTAAAATTTAGTATTTTCCAAAAAATAAGTTCAATTTTACGCCACATTACTATTGAAAATTCCTTCAAATAGTGGTGTGGAATTTTGTAAGCCTCTTTATTAAAACCATTTAAGGCACTTTAGAAGAGTTTCCTTTGAGTATCTACCCTCACCATTCTCTCCCGAATCGTCAAGTTTAGAGCATCACAAAACTCTGATTAAACTCGGAATTCGTGAATCCTTTAATCAATTGCCTTAAAACTGATGAAGAAAAAGTGCATAATTATTAGAAAAGGAATTCGGTATGAAGATTGTTCAGAACTTTGTAAGCCATGGCTACATAGAACCTTTAGATAGCATCGAGCTTGATGAGTTGTCAAAAATACCATATGGGTCAAACGCAAAGAAGAACTGGAAAGACTGATTTTGAAGTATGTGGATAAAAGTAGTAAAACTCGCTTATTGGAGCTATTTTCAAATTTCTTCCATGTGCATATAATAAAAAATGGGTCATTTACCTGGAGGTTTAGGCTACAGGGTTTATCCTGAGGAAAATATGTGGGGAACAGTACTAGGCATCCTTGGTTTGAGGGAATTGTACTTCTACCTTTAATAGTTCCAAATGCAACGAAGCCTTTTGAGGGGTGTTTACCCTGCGCGCAGAGTCTAGTTAAACTACACTCGTGAAGACGAAGCTCTCTTTTAAGAAGTGAAGTCAAACGAATGCAAAGGGTAGAATTTATATGCACATGGTCAATGTTTACACATGTTTGGAGTTATTGAAGAAAATGTGATATGGGTGTGGTTCCGAATTTGAAGTCATTGCTGGAAAATATGATTTTAATACGTGAAATTATATCTATAAATACAGCACTAAAAATAACAGTACACATGAAGTACATGTATGATTGTGTCCAGAAATGTTTGAAACCCTTACGGAAAATTCTGTCTGCATTTTGTCACCATTGCTCTTTCTTCCCGCATTCCAGTGCTGTTTGAATGAATTTATTAATTAATGTATTTCTAACTAAAATATATCACATTTATAAACCACAAACATTTAAAAATTCAATACTTGAGTGAGCACGATATGCAAGGGTTACTAAGTTGACACAGTAAATGACCACTGATATTGTGTTAGTCCATGCACACAGCGTATTCTGCTACAGCAAGGGGGGCCAGTAAAGAAGACTAACATGTTTGCATGGCAAGTTTTGATCGAATATGTGAGACACTTCAAAGCTTTATATGAGGATTTTGGAATGATAAGTTATAAAGACGGAGTCACTATGATATTTGCTTGTGAGAAGGGAGATCTTACATTGCAAGTTTTGTCAATCACCTACGCAATGTTCCTGTTCATCCAGACAAGCTTCATTTGCAATTTAAGAGTCTTATACGACTTATGTTTAAGATGTAAATAAAGATGCAATACAATTTAGTTGTTTTGCTCTCCAAATAAACGGGGGAAATAGAGAAACATAACATAACATATTTGTTTTGTACTTGTATATTTATTCAATCACCAATTTGGTGACAATACTTTCTTTTTTACAACATATTTACATTACAAAGGACAGAGTAATAAAAAGTATTATTTACACAATGCTACATTTATCTATTGACTTAATTAATTTAGTTCCTTCAATTTTACATTTCTATAGTTCACTGGCATGTAGCGATTATAGCGGTCCTGTCTTGGCTTATTGAATTGTTACGAAGTTACGTATGCGGTGCGGAAGTTAGAGAGCAAATGACCATCATTTCAATGTAATAGTTTATGCAGGAAAATTGAGATTAGGCCATTGGAGTATTTGTTTCATGCATTTGTAAAACAGTACCCACTCATAGGTCATACTTATCGTTAAACCAATAACTCAAATATATGCCCTTGTACACCGATCACCTGTTGAAATTAATACAGGCCGATTTCAACAAATGTAAACGGCGATATATTTAAAATCGTATTCAAGCATGACCACGTCCCAACTTCTTTTGTTTTCTTTACAACTAAGCTATGACTGCAGTCTATTCAGTGTTGCGTATCGAACCTTGTTTATTATAAAAATAGTGCAACAACAAGCAGAATTCACACATTTACCTTACACTTATTCTCAACTGAAGACATTGAATTTATCTCTTAGGTTTTACATTATAAATATCTTAAGATGCAGAATACGAAAATAGAGGCTTAGGCCCAACTTTGTATGAATTTTATGAGAATAGTCTGATTTTAGAGAAATGAAAAGAAAAATGTCCACACCCTACACAAAATATTTATGGTTCCCCGGGAATACGTATGTGCTGCTTGTATATTAGAATCGTATTCCAGTTACAGAAAGAAGTACATATCATGGTTAACTATATACAACAGTTATGCACTTGGAGGTTTTGGATACAGGGAATATCCCGAGGGATATATAATATATCTTCCCTTGGTCCCTTCGGTCCCTCGGGAAGATATATTGTATATCCCTCGGGATATTCCCTGTATCCAAAACCTCCAATTGCATAACCCCTATATATTGGCCAAGGGATAATCCCAATATCCTGAACCGCGACTATAGGATAATATGTTTATCCCATACCAATCTTGGTCATCTTGTTCACATTGTTAAATCGTGGAAACATTTTAGAATATTCATGTCCAGTTTTGTTTTCTTGGCCGTGGGCGGATTTTCATGTTCTCTCAAATATTCCCATATTTATTTTCTCGAATTTTTTATTGATTAAGTGGATGCTCTTTCCTTTGTTTTAACTATCAAACAGACCCTGATACTATATCTATATACAGTGTAAATAGTTTAAATTTTGATAATCAATTCTATAAAACTGCTATGGAGCAAAAAGACTCGTTGGAAAATGCTTGTCAAAATGATACTTCGTCAGATGAGGCCATATTGTTGAGTGAAGTTAGTTTGGCCATAAATGCATTGAAAAATTTCAAAACTGTAGGATATGATTTAATTCCCAATGAAGTATTGAAATATGAAGTAATAAAAAGGGCACTTTATGTATTTTTCAATAAGTGTTTTGATTTAAGCATTATCCCTAGCGTGTGGTTAAAAGCTATTGTATTCCCTATTCCTAAAGGAGGTGACAAAGATCCACGTATACCTCTTAATTATAGAGGAATAAGTATGCTTTCATGTATCTATAAGCTGTATAGCAATATTATCAATAAACGACTTGTTATGTTTTGTGAGGATAACGCTTTACTTGAGGATTCCCAGAATGGTTTTAGAGCCAATAGATCCTGTATTGACCATATATTTTCATTAGACAGCATTATACGTAACAAAGTAGAAAAGAATGGAAATATTTTTGCTTGTTTTATTGATCTAGAGAAAGCGTATGATTATTTAAACAGGGATTTGCTACTTTTTCAGCTGTTAAACAATGGTGTTGAAGGTAAAATGTATAAAGCTATTAAGGGATTTTTGATAGGGACCCAGTCTGCTATAAAAGTTAATAATTTTATGACCAGTTGGTTTCCTACAGAGTCTGGTTTGAGACAAGGAGATACAATTTCTCCAATATCATTTTCAATATACATAAATACACTTTTAAAAGAATTAAACTCAAGTCCATATGGTGTGAAGATTGAAGATTCCAAAGTGTCAGTTTTAGCATATGCTGATGATTTAGTCCTGTTAGCAGAAAGTGAAGTGAGTTTACAGAAGCTATTAGATATTGTGAATAAATGGGGTTTTAAATGGCGTGTCAAGGTTAACATTTCAAAAACTAATATTGTGCATTTTAGAAAATTAAAAACAAAAAGAACTAATTTTCATTTTAAGCTAGGTGATGTAAGTGTTAATATGATCGATCAATACAGATACCTTGGTGTTATATTTAATGAAAATTGTAAGTTTGAAGAAGCTGTAAAAATGCTATCTGACTCAGCAGGTAGAGCTCTAGGTGCTCTAATTAATAAGTGCAAGTTTAATAGAGACATAGGATTTAATACTTTTACAAAATTATTTAAAGCTTGTGTATTGCCAGTGCTACATTATGGAGTCGGAGTATGGGGAGCACATGATTATTTAAAATATTGTAATTTAATTTATGACAGAGCACAAAGGTATTATGCAGGAGTACACAAATTTGTGCCTTTACATGCTTTGCATGGAGATTTTGGGTGGACACCTTTAATTTTAGAACAGCAAATTGAATTAGTTCGATTATTTAACCGCCTATCATGGCTGGAAGATGGGAGACTGACAAAGAAAATATTTTTATGGGACATTAAATGTAAGAGTAAATGGTCTCAAACTGTAAAAAGCATTTTAGAGAAATGTAATCTTACTGAACATTTCAATGATATGACATATTGTGATACAAAAATTGTGCTAAAAAATCGTATGGATGATTATAAAAATAGATGGCCAGATATGGTTAGTTCAAAACCAAAGTTAAGGACTTATGCAACTTTTAAAAATAATTATGAAACTGAAAAGTATTTGACATTGAATTTAAGTAAATATGAACGGTCACTTTTAGCACAATTGCGTATGGGTATTTTACCATTAAGAATAGAAACGGGTCGTTTTAAGAATGAAAAACTAGAAGAAAGATTATGCTGTTTATGTGAACAAAATTGTGTGGAAGATGAGATACATTTTGTGTTTCATTGCCATTTTTATAATGAAATTAGACAGAGGTATTTTATTGATAACAATTTTAAATGTATTGACACAAATGTAGAAAAGTTAAAGTACCTGTTTGGGAAAATGACAAGACAATTTGCTCATTTTGTAAGGGAGTGCTTTGTCAAAAGACGTAACCAT